CCTGAGTCCATTAGGGCACTGCAGGAAAACTTCTTGTTATCAAGGGAAATAGATACCTCAAGGAGGAATCTACTTTTGTTTTTGTTAGAGGACAACTCCATCACACCTAAGATCTGTCCCCTTAAAGTTCTTAGGTGCGGAAGTTTTCCGGACGCACTGGACAATTAGTTATCATATGTCCCTTTCTACCGCAATATGGGCATAACCCCTCCCTTCTCCTATACTGTTTTTCGGCCTCTGACAGTCTAGTGACCCCCAACTGCATAGGTTCTGGGTTCGGACTGTACAGGGAGGTTAGACAAAACAGGTTTAGAGAATTGAGGTGCTAGGGACATAGCCGTACGTCTGGTCTTGCTTCTGGTGACTTCTCTGAGTCTTAACATATTATCAATATGCATGACAAACGTAATAAATTCGTTAAGACTCTTAGGTAATTCTTTAGCGGCTATCTCATCTAGTATAGTCTCAGAGACCCTTTTTGAACGCTGAGATTAACCCATTGTTAGTCCAGTCTACCTCGGAAGCTAAGGTACGGAATTCAATAGCATAATCCGAGATAGACCGGTTACCTTGTCTGATGTGCATTAGGGCAGTGGAGCGTCATCCTCTCTACCCAATGGCTCAAACGTGAGCTTGAATTCGGCAAGGAATTCCTGGTAATTATGAGCTATGCTCCGATTACTCTCCCACAACGGATTAGCCCAGGCAAGGGCCTTGCCCTTTAATTGATTCATTAGATAACCAATTCTTGCTCTGTCCGTGGGGAATGACCCTGGTGAGGCCTCAAAATGGTACTCCACCTGATTAAGAAAACCCCTGCATTCCTGGATATTGCCATCAAACTGTAGGGATGGTGATAAGGAGATGCTAGGAGTCCTATTAACAGTGGGTGGAGGTACACAGGGTAGAGGTGCTATAGGAGGAGATGCTGCAGGCTGCAGATGCTCCGTTCTAGCGAGAAGCGTACTTAAAGCCTGAGTGAATTGATCCATGCGGTGATCATTCTCCTCTAATTTCCTCTCGCAAGCAGCTATGTGCTGACACAGTTCTACAGGATCTATGGCCATGTCGTAATGTCAGGATTACTGTTTGATCCAGCACGTAGAACTGTACAGCACGGATGACAAATAAGTAACGTATTACCGGTCCTTAGAATGGCCGGATTTAACGTACAAAGAATAGTCAAAAATACTAGCCGAGGTCAGGGAACACAGAAAGGGACACAGCGATGAGGAAAGCCAGGAGTCAGGATACCAGAATATAGAGAAGTCAATAAACAAAGCCAAAGTAAAAAACCAGGTAGAAAACTATAAACAGGAACGCGCTCTCAGACAACCACAAGGGAAACCACGACAGGGCACTGAGCAGGCTGAGAACTGGGCCTAAATACCCCTCCTTTAGTTCTGATAGGCTGTAACCGGCCTTTGACCCCAAAGTCAGTTACCAGGTTTCATTTGCATAATTGCTGCTCAGCATTAACCCTTCTGTGGATTAGGTTGCTGCTTGGCACAACTTTTCCTGTGTGGACAGTAAATGTCATTAATCACTTTTCTCTAAGCGGATGAATACATGACACCAGGTTTCATTTGCACAATTACTTCTCAGCATTAACCCTTCTGTGGATTAGGTTGCTGCTTGGCACAACTTTTCCTGTGTGGACAGTAAATGTCATTAACCACATTTCTATAAGCGGATGAATATGTGACAATTCTGCATTCTGTTAAACAGCACTTTATGAGCTTTATTGAAAATTATTGGGTCGCTAAAAATAGCTGATTTGAAAAACCTAATACCTACAACATTCTTTTTAAAAGATCAAGGTGACCCGAATTGATGTTTAGTAATAAACATCAATTACAAATCACATGAAAAAACCTGTACAATACACAATATAAAAACACATCATAGTGTAGTATATTTATATATACTGAGTAATCAAGACAACTTGGAACACACAAGTTTTAGAGCCACTTAGAAGTTAGCTCTGACGGTGTAGGCGATTTCTCAATAGAGAACAGGTATACTGAAAGCCAGGTCCCACCAGATGCAGTGGTTTTCTTTGCCAGGTACTCCGGAACTAGCTTAGGTAAAATACATTTTATTGCACATTTAACAAGTATAAGTATATTGCACAATGCGCTTCGACCTATAAGTAGGTTTTCCTCAGGTGCATGTGATTTTTAATTCTTTTTTTAGTCTTTTTTCCATAACCACTACACACAACTTAGGTTTCTCAACACCCAGCATAATTGCCTTACCCTTGAACCTTTGCATTTCTCATTTAACATCCCCCATCCATATCTCAACCCTGCTCTTATCTCTCCACCTCCAGCATTATTTTAGTACTTTAATTTATTCCTTATTAAGCATTATTTCCTCTCTTATTTATCTTCCGCACTCCTTTATTTTCTTCATGCTATATACACTATAATTTCAACATCCAAGTGATCAATTTATATTCCAACATCATCTAATGTTCCCATATCGTCTCAGGTCCACTTTTATCCTTTCCACCTCTTCCCATTATGCCATCTTAATGCCTACTACTCTTCTCTCTTAACCAGCTTTACCCCCCCAAAATTATATTGATGTGCAATAGAAGATTTTACCTTAGTATAGGCTAATATGAACACTAAGTTTAGCCAGGGTTTGTGACTACTTAAAAAAATGTGGTTAATAAAATATACTGGACTACCATTATTTGTCTACCTTTACAAATGATATGCTATGATGGGGGTAATTTTCTTTCCTGGGCTGCTAAATCAATCTGGCAAATTTCAATGTGTAAAGATTGAAATGTACAAGCTCTTTTTTTGACACTGTAACTTTCCAACACACTATGAAACCTGCACATGGGGGACATCGTTGTACTTGTGGATTATCACAGCATATGTGTTTTATTGCAGTAAAAACTAACAGTATTATGACATTCACAGTTAAAAAGTTTTGTTTTGATTCAGAACTTGGATAATTGCGTTCGTCCTTAAAGGGACACACCAGGCAGCTAAACAAGTTTAGCTTAAATTAAACCGAATAAGCTCAAATATCTGTGGTTTGTTTCTTTTCTTTCAATTCTATGTAGTTTTTCTGCAGTGCTGTAAAATGTTTTGCTGATTTTAACAGTATAACCCAGCCACCTTAGCCAGGCCCCACTCACATTTCAACATGTTCCTGATTGCCAGTCTCTGAAGGAAACATACCCTTTTCAGCCAATGACAATAGAAGAATGTCTTCTCTAGTATAAGGAATGCTCATTGCACAGACTGCACTGCAGAGAAAAGGCTATAGCTAATAACAGTATGTGTATGTAATATGGTTTTTGTTACTCTTTTGCCTTCACTTTTCTTTGTTCTTTATTTCATAGCTTTGGTGTACCCTTATTCTGTTCTCCTTCCCTTCCTCCTTTCTTTGATATTGCCCACCCCATGTACCCAGCCACCCCATATGTGCTCCTCTCCTTCCTCTCTGTAGTTCAAGTAATAGATTCCCTTCCAGCCCTCTGTTAACCCCTTGCCCTCCAGCCCCTGTCATTCAACCTCACTACCCACTGATAGCTCCTCTGCTCCAGCCCCTGTAAGACAGCCTCTCTACCCACTGTTAACCACTTCAATGCCAGTCCCTGTTTCCGCCATTCCCACTGGCAACCTCTTTCCTGACAGTCCCTGCCATTCACCCATCCCGATGGTAACCCCTTCCCTGCCAGTCCCTGTTATCCGCCATCCTACTGCTAACCCCTTTCCTCCCAGTCCCTGTTATCCGCCATCCTGCTGCTATGCTAACCCCTTCCCTGCCAGTCCTTGTTATCTACCCATCCCACTGTTAACCCCTTCCTCTCCAGCCCGTGCCAGCCAACCTCTCTACCCACTGTTAACCCCTTCCCTGCAAATCCCTGTTATCCGCCCACTTCTCTGGTAACCCTTTCTCTGTCATCCATTGTTATCTGCTGTCCCATGATATTATTATTAAAGAAAATTCATAACAGAATTTTCTTTAAATGTGTCCGACTCACAGCAAATATTATTAGTAAGCAAAGAAAGGAACAAATCACAAATCCCGTGATTGCTAACAGGAAGTTCAATCTCTAAATGTATTTGTATCCATGTGCAGAGAGAATACAGAATATGAATGACCTCTATAGTAATTCTCTATGAAATAGAAAACCATTATTTTAGATGAAACTCAAGAACGTCACCATACACAAAAAAACAAAACAAGTTTTGACAGTTGTAATATAAAACTTGAACAAAGAGTGGTTTTTGGTTTCGCTAACACCATCATTATAAGCGATAGTGCATATTCCATTGTATCGTTAGCGTCCGGACTCATGATGTGTCCTGAAGATGGCACAAGCAATGCATGAGTATTGAAATCTGTTTACAAAGAAACAACTGGCTTTACAGTATCTACCAATTAAACAACGCCAGCTTGCCTTAATCAATACCACTACTTGTTACAATTATGCACAGTTTTGATCACATCCCAGTCATTGGGATCTTGACTTTTCAGATTATTGGAGGAGCCAAATAGTTTATGCTAGCCAGAGAAAATATGAAAAAGTAGTACACATTTCATTTGTCCATTGATTTTATTAAACAAGATGGTTTAGTTAAAGGAACACTTGAAGCACCATAACTACATAACTACTACCATGCACCACTACTACCATGTACCTCTGGCACCCCCCCATGTAAGTAGTAATACTGTTAGTTAATGGTTTGAGTTCTTATCTGGTGTCTGCCAGGCACCAGTCCCTCACACTTCTCTTGTTCTATAGAGAGCAGAAGCTCCTGTTAGGCCCAATATGTTTTGTCCAAGATGTGCATACTGCATGAGCAAGGCACATGCACAATTTGGACTGACTTCCATCTCCTCCATATTTAGAGAGACAAGGTGCAGCCATTATGCACTATGTTGTTTTTGTAACGTATAACTTTATAGCTAGGGAGAAATATATTTACCAGTAACTGTGTTCTCTCAAACTTTTTGTAGGTTATCTTGAGATGTTTTCAGGACTTTGGAAGCTGGATGGCCGAAGCTGGAAGAGATCTAGCCCGTCGACCAAACCAGTCATTCTAACTGTTCACAGAAATTACACCTTTCATATTTCTGATGGGAGCAACATCTGCTTGAAAGAAGGGGATATTCTTGTATTGCTACGCAAGCTTGACAATGACTGGTGGCAAGTTAGGAAAATAGGAGACAGTGAATGTACCACCCCTTTCCATGTGCCCTCCACCTGTATCAATGAGCTGATTGCTGGAAAGTGTGTGGGACGCAAAAACAAAACTGTGGAAGGTATGAATAAGTCAAAATGATGCATATCATTATTTTTCATCATAACATAATGTTATCATTTTGCAGAAATGATCAGTGGATACACAAACTAAGGGAGTATTCTTCAAATGTATCTGCATGATATATCATCAGGTAATAGTAACCTAATTATGACTGTAATTTACACAGATATGCAGAATAAAGACACTCCGGGATAACAGAAATAGCAGCTTTATTGGGGATCTGTTGTCCTGGAGTGCCTGAACCGTTATTTATTCTGCATATCTTGGAAGTGAGGCCTGGCCAGCTCTGGCTTCAGAGCACCTGGGTTATTTGCTGAGTGTGGTATCCAGTAAGTCTCTCTAATTTACACAGAGACATAAACTATATGAACCACGCATTGGTGCACCTGACCATTACACCAACAGAGATTGTATGACATTACATTCTAAATACACAGACATTAATATATAGTTGGTTTCCTCTTTGCAGCTATAACATCTTTGATCCTAGGGAAGGCTTTCCACAAGGTTTTGGTTTGTTTCTATGGGAATTTTTGCCTATTCATGCACTACAGCATTTGTGAGGTCAGGCAGTGATGTTGAACAAGAAGGCCTGGCTCGCAGTTTCCATTCCAGTTCAACCCAAAAGTGTTTGAATGAGTTAAGGTCAGATGTGGGCCAATCCAGTTCTTCCACAGCAAACTCCTCCATCCATGTCTTTAAGACATTAAGAGGTGTGTCCCAATACGTTTGTCCTTATAGTGTGTCCTTATAGTGTGTGTAGGAGACATCCAACCATGACCAATGTGCTGCTGACACACAGTGGTTGACAGGAGTATGGGAACAAAAATACTAATAACTATATTGGAATGAACTTCAAATAAATTTACCAAAATCAATATATTTCCCTACTTGATAAATGCAGTATTATATTTTTCTTGTTATATCAGGCAAGCTCTTATGCAGTCCATTGATGCACAAACCATTATTATCTTTTGTAGTGTTGATACTAATATTTTATTTTTTCTCTGTCATCCATAGGAACCAAATCATTCCACAAATCCCAGGATAACCTTCTAGTACCTGGTAATACCTCCTCTATAATGGAGCATAAGTCATGCAACATTCCTCATTGTGATACTTGTCAGATGGAAACAAATAAAATCTCCTATTCTACCAGCAAACACAAAAAATCAGCAAGTTTCTCCCTGAGTTCCTCTTGGCATGGGCAGTTTCCCAAGAATGAAAAGCAGAAGATTCATAAAAGTGTTTCAGAAAAGGTGAATTTAATTAATCATGCAATTATTGCAATATTTTTTTTCTAGGAATTATGAAACCTCATGTTTTCTTCAAAAAAGGATAAATTTCATTTAATTTCCTAAAGAATAAATACTATGCTCTTTCCTCTAACCTCAACTCTTAACCACAACCATATCCTGACCTCTCCGCAAACTGACTGCCATAGTGTGGAGACTAAACAAAGTTCTCTTTACAAAAGAGAAACTTTCCTTGTAAAATCGGCAAAAACCTGGTGCCAAATGCTCTCATTTTAGGGCTAAGAGAGTTTTGAACATGTCCTGTATTATTAGTGACATCATATACCTCTATTTTGGACAGGAATTATTTTTAAAAAATCTGCTCTATCTAGATTTGGGGACCTGGATATATATTTTCCCTATACACAAAGTCTGTAATATTCCCTACATTTAATTTTGTGTGGAATGTCACAGACTTTGTGTGTCCCACTACCATAAAAAACACATTTATATTCTGCCACTGCTCCAGGGTACATCCATACCCCCACAGAAACATATGCCAGATTTTTGAGAATGTATAGGATAAAGTTACAGACATGCCAAGTTCAGTTTTACAGTTTTCACTGATTTGCTGGGCACTTGGTACGTTTATGAAAAAATAGAAGCCCAAACTGCCCTTCAAGCCCATCCTGACACACCAGTTGCAAAAGTAGACCGCTTAAGCTATTAAATGGGCAGACTTTTGTGCTTTTACATGTCATTTAGTCACTAATGTCTTCCAAATATAGAGGTCAATGTTATTGTAGAATTTACCCACATACTGCAGAGCTGCAGAAGCTGGGTACCAGGCATTCATGACCTGAGAGCATTAGCTGACCACTCAGCCAATAAATGCAAATCTGTGCATAGAAATATGCACAGAATTGATATTAGCCCATCCAAGAACTCTTGTAATAATGCCACAATGATGGAGTTAAACTTCTGGCAGCAAAGTGTTTAAACTCAGTATGTGGAGCTTTTCATAGCGAAACACTGCACATACTGAAGTGGTCATGGTGCTTGGAGTAACCTTTAAAATAAAAAATCACAATGTATTCTCTTCTTAGTAAATAAACCTATAAAAGCGTTTTTGTTATTGTAACGGAACTCCCCGTACTACGACTGAGTACCTTCCATTGATGGACGCTTCCTAGCCTGCGCGAGGATCACAAGCACCGCACCGGACGTCACAACCACTGCAGACTCCACCACCGCCGTAGCTTAACTGGAGTCTCGCTGTCTTCTGTCCACCCTGGATCAGCTTCTGTCCTCCAGGACCGTGTGGGGAAGACCTCTCCTCCAGGAGAGCGTATCAGGAACAAGCTCTTAAAAGAGCTAAGTGATTAAAGCTCAAGGGAGTATGCAGAGCATAGCAATCCCCAGTGTGATTATAGCAGTTCCCTCCAATAAAGAGACAAGGCTACGTTTTGAAGGGTAAAGAAGAACTGTGTTTAATTAGCACCAAAGGGCCTTCTTTTATGGAGGTCTTACACATACAGGACCGCCCACAGGGTTTTTCAGAAGAACCAATAAAAATATTACAACACGTACAATAAAGTAAACCACTAACAGAATAAATCCTCCCCTCTGCTTGTGATGCAATTATCTCCAGACAATAGACTAACTTAATTATCACTGGCAGAAAAATACAGTATTATAAAACATATCACAGGGACCCCAAAACATGCAATAACCCCATTTGGAAGATACGGTTTAATGCAGATTCCGCAGAACATATACAGGCTATATGAAAAATAATTACTGTATAATGTGTCCCCTGTTGTATAGTTTAAAACTACTGCACGATGTCTTTGTGCACCAAATACCCGCGAGATGGCACCATGTAGAAAAGTCCAAACAGTGTCTGTGAGTTAAAATGGCCGCCATCCATTGTTCTCACCATGTGCTTCATCCATTGTTCTCACCATATGCCTCTGATACATGAAATTGTGGCCACCCAGTAACTCCACAGTTTGTCTGATAGTCTATCCAGCCGAACCAACAGATGAAACACATGGGGAACAGTGCAACAAAGGGAATCATAAAAAATATGGACAATAGTCATATTTGTGCACTATCTCCAGTTTCGTCACAGGGCACAAATAGTGTTTTCAAATGCCATATATCCCAGGGCCATAGTTATGTGGCAGGAGGCTGGCAATCAGTCCTCTCCAATGCCCAGTGGCAAATGGCAGTTTGTCACAGTTATGTTTTATAGTTCGTGTTGTGTAGACTGTCCCTTTTACCATTGCATCTATTATGAGCTTCTCTTCCCGGCAGTTAACATGTTTTATGCCATCTTGTTCCGTGTAAAATGTTTTGTTCTACATTCCTTCATAGCCACTCCTGCCCAGGTCCTCATGTAGTGGAGGTATGACTTTCTCAAGCATTTATCAGATCAGTCTTCCTGCAAAGAAGTTAATTCTCTGTAATCTACTATACAGGAAGCTAAAAGATTTACTGATATTAGTGTTATATCTCTATTTTCGATTCACTTTAAAAAGGTCCGCTTGCAAATGTCGACTATGAAAAGATCTCCACCATTGCAGCGACATCATGATGATGTTACATCTTTAAAAAGACTACAACACCACTATAGTGCAGTTTAGTTGACCGTTGTCATTGAAAAAGTGTACCTGATGCTGCAATGATGCAGGGTCCAATAAATGTTTCTTTCAGCTTATTTTAGGAGTTTATGTGTATTTATGGTGAAATAACGTTGAATTCATGGTTGACTTCATCTCTCTCATTCTGTCTCTGCTTCATCTCCCAGTAAAGCACATCTATGTAATGCTAAAATAATTTGCCTCACCCCACAGAGGGTATATTTACTAATGGAAGGTCATCAATGGAACACTCCACTGCCGAAATTGAAATTTTTTAAAAAAAATAAAAAGATAATCACTGTTGCCTCAGGGGAGCTAACAAAAGGAGGTTGCAAACCTCTCTGGCTGTTTGATTGAGTTCCATAGTTAATTTATAAAAGTGCTGATTTCTCATAGAAATGGTCACTTTTACAAACTGGGTTTAAACTAGGATATTCCTCACACATAAAGCACTTCCGCAAGCTGAAATTCATTTGGGGTGTGAAGTGGTCCTTTAAGTTACAATTGTCACATCAAAACAGTTTTTTAATATAATATTCCTTTTATCAAGCTTCAAAAAAATATAGATTGTTTAAAAAACAAAACAAAACAAAAAGAGAAAAACTAATCTGTACCTTTAGTATTTGACAGTATCCTCAGGGCCAGATTTGCCATAAGGCTACCACCTTGGTGTAGTAGGCGGGAGAGGGGCTGCATGGCCTGTGGGAGACCACAAATCTTCCTCACCCACCAGCCCATTCTCCTGCACTGGGTCCAAACTAATGGGGAGAACTTCTTGGCCCTGTTCGATCTCCATCACTGGCCCTGATCTATTGCAGTTACCGCAACAACACTCTGATACAATTCCCAGCGCAGGCCAGAAGGACAACCAGGGATTAGGATTACTCCCCTCCAATATTGTCCCGCAGTTGAAAAGAGAACTACAACCACCAATCTAAGCTCAAAACCAGATATAAAACAAAATAATAAATACACTTATATGCACACCAAAAAAAAAACCATCAACAAAAAAACAAAACAAAATAAAACCAAAAACAATAACTACATACAAAACAAGTGAAAAATAATGCAAAAATAATACATTTAGTATAAATGAAATATTGCACATAAATACCTGGCTGTAAATAAACAATCATGAGATGCAATGAGATTTAAAAAAAAATTGCTAAGTTAATCGAGGATAGCAAGTAGAATTCAGATTCACAAGGGTCACTTGCAGAGGCTTAACTAGCAACCACAACCTGTCCCCCCTCACATGTGTCTCATCTCTACCAAACCCTTTCATGTGTCTCATTCTCCCCCTCCCCCAACCTCTCCATGTGTCTCATTACACCTTTCCATGTGTCTCAATTATCCCCAGTACCTCCTTGGTTCAATTTCGCCCCCCCCCCAGTCCCTTCCTTGTTTCTCAGTACCCCCCAGTTTCTATCATTAGTACATTTTCTGTTCCATGTGTTAATCCCCCTCTCCCCCATGTGTCTCAATCATGTAACAACTATATATTGTTTCCAAGATATACCTAATCACAGGTGGAAGCCTTCTGAATGCATCAATACCTAAGGCTATGATGTCGATTGTGTACTGACATTAAGTCCAATATGGTTAAATTTATAATAATTGTGCCACCATGGTCTGTCAAATGCCATGATGGAACTGAAGAAAGTTATTGGTCATACAATGATGTGGTTACAATAGGTTAGTCTTCAAACTAAAAGAAATTGGTCTAGATGAATATTCTTGTTCTTGGGTAGAACATTGGATTAAGGATAGAGTACAACAAGTTGTCATTAACGGTAAATTTTGAAGCTGGACAAAAGTGGTAAGTGGTGTCCCTCAGGGTTCTGTTTTGGGACCGCTTCTATTTAACATATTTATAAATTATCTTGAAATAGGCATTAATAGCCATGTTTTAGTGTTTGCAGATGACACAAAACTTTGTAAAGTAATAAAATGTGAGCAGGATATTTCTTTGTTGCAGAGGGATTTAGATAGATTGTGGAACTGGGCACTAAAATGGAAGATGAAATTTAATGTAGAGAAATGCAAAGTTATGCACTTTGGAGTCAAGAATGCACAAGCAACCTACACCCTAAATGGTAGTGAATTAGGGGTAACCACACACGAGAAGGATTAGGGAATTGCTGTTGAAAACAAATTAGGCAGCAATATGCAATGTCAATCTGCAGTAAGATTTTGTCATGTATAAATAGGGGCATAAATTCTCGGGATAAAAATATAATTTTGCCTCTTCATAAATCACTGGTAAAACCACACCTTGAATATGCTGTGCAATTTTGGGCACCTGTACTAAAGAAGGATATCATGGCACTAAAAAAGTACAAAGACGAGCTACAACATTGATAAAAGGAATGGAGCATTTTAGTTATGAAGAAAGGTTAAAGAATTTAAATCTCTTTAGTTTGGAAAAACGGCGCCTCAAAAGGGATATGATAACTTTTTACAAATATATTCTGGGCAAGTACAAACTATTATCTGGAAATCTATTAATTAACAGGGCTATACATAAGACACCAGGTCACGCATTTAGGCTGGAAAAAAACGAGATTTAATCTAAGGCAAAGAAAAGTTTTTTTTTACAGTAAGAACTATAAGGATATGGAATTCTCTGCCTGAAGAGATGGTTTTATCAGAGGCCATACAGATGTTTAAAAAGCAATTGGATGCATTTAAAAAAACAAACAAAAAAAAAACCAGGGATATCATTTTTCATTAGTGTGATAATAGCTGCTGGATCCAAGGACAAATCTGCCATTTTGGGGTCAAGAAGGAATTTTCCTAGTTAGTTGCAAAACTGGAAGCACTTCAGACTGTGTTTTTTGCCTTCTTTTGGATCAACAGCAAAAACATATGTAAGGAAGGCTGAACTTGATGGAGGCAAGTCTCTTTTCAGCTATGTAACTATGTAATGTTGCGGCACTATGTCTGTTAGTACATTACAACAAACTGGACATTGTAGCAACACTCCATATAGTGACACAAGACTAAGCACCTAACTGGGTTAATGTTTAGCAAACCATTATAGGCATTTCTAACAAAGTTAAAGAGTAACAATTTTACAGTGCTAGCAAGTGACTACTTCCATGGTCCTAATATGAGGATCGCGATAACTAAGACTAGTCTAACTGTCCCTCTCCATGCCTTCGAGGGTGTCTATCTCTGTAGCTAGATTACTAAGATTAACTGAAACATTCCTATCATTGTCACTGATGCACAATTGTTATAAATTCAACCAGCAATATTGGACTTAATGTCAGTACACGATCGACATTAGCCTTAGTTATTGGTGCATTCAGAATGTTTCTGCATGGGAAAAGGTATACCTTGAAAACTAATATATCCTTGATACTAGTACTACACTTAGGAGGCATGACCTTTTCTTTATATTACTCTCTTATGAAAATATTCCATCCCTAGCCCGACGACTGTTACAGCTATAAAGCCATCTACTTACCTATTGTATCGACAGGTTTAAGGGAACTATATTTATGCAATCCTACCCGCCAACCTTACTTGTGATAACTCCAGAGCAGTCTGCCTTTGCTACACTTTACCGACTATTTTCAGCAGGCAACATTTACTAGACCATCCTGTTAGTACATTATCATTTTGTTTCTCTAATCAATTATAAGGCAATATGTCACTTACAACTATATTTGTACATACACCTTTTTTTGTATAAATTTATAAATTTTGTGTTTAGTTCGGAGAGTTTCTCCATTTTTTTCTCTAAGATATGTGGGGCCATATCACTTTTACTAATTTGCTAATAAAAGATAAGCTTTAACAATATCCATTGTTGAGCCTTTCCCACTACCCTCACAAACACTTCACTCTTCGTACTTTTTATAGGAGTGTGCGTCTAGCTCATTGTGTGTTTTTTATTTTTAGTTTTTTTACTTCTATTCTTTTTCCTCTCTTTGGGTGGCCTTTATTATAGTAATTTTCAATGAACAGTACATTTTAATATAGCTGCACAAACTCTTATTGTGAATATCATTGATATTTGGTCTAAGGAGTGCATTTACTTTTCACATACGCATGCACACTAACAGTAAATAATAATAAGTGAGGATTTATTTCCATCTCTTGGCCATTTATATGTTAAAATGTTTTTATCATTTTAACATATAAAGACAGCTCACTGCAGAAGTGTGCCAAATCTGTGTTACAAAAGCAGTGATACAAAGTCCATAACAAAAGTATATAACTACGGAACATGGATTTATCTCAATGAAGCAGAAAACAAATAAGAAAGAAAAGGCCAAACAAAAAAAAAATCAAGGAAGCTCACCAGACATGAGTAAATATAGGTGTAATATAGGCGTAACCGGTATTAGAAATGAGAAATGAAAAGTTATACATGGATTCAATTCACAAGCCTATTAATGAAATGTGCTCAATTTTATCCACTTTAAAATGTTTTGTAGGAACAGAAACATTGAGCCCTCCAGTCCCATAATCTCTGATGATGTTTCTAGAACACCTTAAAGTGTCACTCCAGACCCCTAAGCAACTTTAGCTTGCTGAAAATTTGTGTGTGAAGAGTGTGTCCTCTTTTTTTTATTTTGCAAAAAGTGCAGATTTCAATAGAAATGGACAGTTTTATAAATTAACCTGGTTACACCCTCTTGGCTTTCAAGCAGACAACAGGTAATGTTACTTCCTGGTTTCGTTAGCTCGATGCAGTTGACCTCAAGAGGCAGCAATTGCCCAGAGCATCTGACTTACAAAGACTTCTTATTGAACTGTATTTGCATGTCTGTGATTGGACAGTGACAAATTCTTTGCGGGGTTAGAAGGGGAGGGCATGCAAAGGCAGCAAACAAGAGAACTGCAGGTTTTGCAAGCTAATTTTAGATATATTCCCATGAAAAATTGCACAATTAAATGCATGCAGGTTTTCATTTATGGTATATCTACTAAACAGTGATTTTATTTATTTTGCATTTGGGCAGTGAAGTGTCCCTTTAATAGTATTTCTCCACAATTCTCAGTTTACTGCTATGTAACTTACGTGATGGATAATTGACCACAGAAATACTTTACTTGTTACCTTCTTAAATGAGGTTGTGGTTGTATAGCAGAAGCACTTTTTTGCAATTTACCGAAGGTCTAAATAACTAGGATTTGAGAGACCTCCCAGCCCCATAAGAGGTTAGCATATTTATAGTGCTTGGAGTGTCCCTTTAATATGAAGACAATTGCATTTTAGTTAGGCAACTTGATATCTGCTGGATAGATCTAAGACCCGTTTCCAAAGCATATTTATTTACAAATCAACAGACGATATGGAAAGCATAACAAAGAGACTTGAAAAGCTGGTTTACAGTATCTAAGAATTCATCTCCTCACACTTGTCCAAAGAATGCATTGCACAGTTCCCCTAATGGCGATTCCAACCAGAAGCAAAATATGTAATTTTATAACACATATCCACTGTCATCTTGTTTTGAATATTTCATTATGCATTCCTTTAAATTAGTTTGTTATCTCTATGTCTATATATATATTTTTAAATTTGACATTTTTTTATTCATTTTTACAACAGAAAGCAAAGAGTAATAACATCATAGCTTCATACATCATAAATCATCATATCAAAAAATACAGTACTACAATTTACTGTGAATATAGGATTGTTGTTAGAAAAGAAAAGGAACATAATGTACAATAGCTTGTAAAATGCAGTATGTTAGACCCAATTACTACCTCCAGGCAGGGCCGGACTGGGAAAAGAATTCGGCCCAGGCATTTTCCAATTACAGCGGCCCCCTAAGAAGGGGGCAGAGCCATGGAGGCTGTGTTTTGCCATCACTAATGACAAGCACGCCCCCTCCCAAACAGAGCATGTTGGTTCAATGCGCAGAGCCCCGCTGAAGAGCACTAGCATGAGAAAAAGGCCCTGTATTTGTTCTGCGCAGCGCAAGCAAATTTAATAACATGCTTGCGCTGTTTTTGCTTTTAACTTGTCTCCGGTGTCTCCATAAGTGGGATACCAGAGGACAAAAGGGCCAGAAAAGCGTAAGGTGCATGTGTTTGGAGCCTGCTTGTGGGATTGCGTGTGTGTAGAGTGAGCTGATTGTGGTGTGGTATTGTGTAAATAGGTCGATTTAATTCGTGTTTGTGGTGTAATATGTGTGGCTAGGGGCTGTAGAGAATGTGTGTATAGGGGATGTAGCGAGTGTGTGTGCATATAGGTGATGTAGTGTATGTAGGGGTTGTAGAGAGTGTATATGTTTAGAGAATGTTGTGTGTGCATAGGGGATCCAGAGTTTGAATGTCAGGAATGTAGTGTGTGTAGGGGATTTAGTGTGTAAAGGACCCAGAGTGTGTATAGGAGATTGTGTGTGTGTGTGTATGTAGAGGATTCAGAGTGTATATAGGGTGTGATCCTTGTCAGCAGGTAGCACGGTCCTCTAGGGCAAAAACATGCACAGTCCTTGTAATTGCATATAATCCAGTCACTTTATTTGCAAATCCACACAGGATACAGCAGTAAATTAAAACATAAATGTAACACAAAACCCTATAAACAAAAACCTAGCTCGGTCTGAGCACTAACTCACTTTGAACATCCCTCTCTATCAGGGTTAAACTAACAAAACATATGGCACCAACCTTATTAGTTAGCAACACTCTGCTGGCTAGCCTGTTGCTTTCCTTTCTGCACTCCTAGTGCTCCAAGCCAGCCTTGACTGCTTCCTCCTGCACTCCCAGTGCTCCAAGCCAGCCTTGACTGCTTCCTCCTGCACTCCCAGTGCTCCAAGCCAGCCTTGACTGCTTCCTTTCTGCACTCCCAGTGCCTAGTCTCCTTGACTCTCTGTCTGGAGAGAAAAGCCTCTCTCCTACTTGCTTCCTGGGAGGAAGCCAGCAATCCCTCTCCTTTACCTGCCTAGCAGGGAGGAGTTTATTCCCACTGCAACTGCTCATTAACTGCAGCTGAGCAGTGGGTTGGAGACTATCCAAAAAACCCTGGCCTGGATCCATGTCTCCCCAGAAAACCACTAAACTGTGGAGTGGAGCATTGGCCCACCCTTTCCTCCAAATGCTCCACCCCAGGGGCCCATAACTAAACAGTGTTTTGTGTTGCCTACAACACATCCTACACATACTCCCCCTGGGGTTAAATGTTATAGGCCTATCTGCCTTCACTTTATCACAAGGGTAAGGGATCTAGCGTGTATCTGTATAGTAGTGCAGTGTGAGGGGTGCTGTAGTATATAAATATATATATATATGCTTGGACATATTGTATGTGTGGGGGCGCAGTGTGTTGGATGTGCTGTGTGTATGTGTGAAGGGTGCAGCATATGTGTGAGGGGTGCAGTGTGTGTAAGAGGGGTGCAGTGTGTGTGTGTGTAAGAGAGGTGCTGTGTGTCTGAGGGTGTTCTTATCTGCCGTCACATTCTATGTTTCTAATTTTCTTTGTCTGTTAATTCACTGAGGGTTATTTTATATATTATATATATATGTATGTGTCTGTGTGTGTGTGCAGTATATGTGTGAGAGTGTGCTATGTGTGAGAGTGTGCTATGTGTGTGTGAGGGCGCTGTGTGTGTCTGAGGGTGCTGTCTGCTGTGTGTGTCTGAGGGTGCTGTGTGTTTGTGAGGGTGCTGTGTGTGAATATGTTTATTTAAATATGTATTTAAAAAAAAAAACTTTATATCCCCCTCCCTTCTTACCTGGGAGGGGGGAGCCGTGCTGCCATGGAGGGGGGACCATGCAGCCATCCTTGGTGGTCTTAGTGGTGAGAGTGAACTCTAGCCTGCAGGGCTAGAGTTCACTCTGGCAAGATCTGAGTGTTGCCGTGGTAACCCGTGTCAACGCTCCGACCTCGCAAGAGGAACCTGGTGGCGCTGCTGGCTAGAGCTCCCGGGGTCCTCTGCTGCTGCCCTCCGGCCGCATATCAGTGCTGGCTCTGCATGGGCAGACAGGGGAGCATTTGCCCGGTATGCCCGATGGCCAGTCCAGGCCTGTCTCCCGGTAATTCCGGAAGAGCCTGACATGTGTGAGGAGTACAATAAAAATATAAAGAAGAATGCAAAGACTAAGAATATAACTATGCTAAACTATATACATAGTGGGTACATTCCAGAGATGGCAAGACACTAGAAAATCATGAAAGAAAAATAACTTAATATTAATGGACATGGGGCACAGCTGCCAAGAGTAAATCATATCCTCTTGGGGGTTCTACCACTGTATACCTGTTTAGTATGGGTGCTACCTCAACTCCCTCCTAATACCCTCAAATAGGGATAGTCGTGATGCCATCCATTAAGCCCATTCCAATACTTATTGCAGATGTTTGCAGTCATCTCTGTGTGTTTCCCCTGTCTTATTTGTCTGCATGTCTTAACTTCATAATCCTAATTTATATTAATTTGCCTGAGCAACGCTGCCTTAGTAGGTACTTTGTTTTCCATGCTCTAGCTATCAATGTGTTGGCCGCTATTTAAGTCTGGAATATGAATTTCCGTTCAATTCAAGGTGTTGCTGCTGGCCACGTAAAAAGTAGGAACAAATCTGGAGTCAATGTAAGAGGCTTTTGCATTTATTTAGTTAATATCTCCTAGTTGCGTAGAATAGTGTAAGTCCACCACACATGGTACATCATGCCTTTCTCCCTTTAACATCTCCAGCATATGTTAGATGCAATCAGATAGATGTGTGATAACCTAATTGGAACTAGATACCACCTATATTGCAACTTTCTCATAAGTTCCAAGTGAGAAGCACATTTAGTATGTGCTACAAACGCCTTCCTCCATTTTTCATCGGATAAGCGATGCCCGAACTCTGTATGCCATGCTTCAATAAAGCACACTGTGGCATTCATCTGATTGGTCATCAAGAAACTGTAGCTAATTGAAAGTATTCTTTTCATGGAGCTCGCAAGATGCACAGGGATTCAAACTTGGTTAACGTCTGGTTCCCAATACTGTGTAGTGTTTTCGGTAAGATGGTATTTAGTTGGAGATATGTGAAAATTGCATTGTTAGAGAGCCTAAATTGTATTTGTACATCTGGAAAGTGTTGGAGGATGTTCCCTTGATATAGTTTGTGTGTGGGTGCATCCCTTGGGAATCTATGTGATAGAATTACATGTGGGGTTGCCTAGATAGATTCAATTCAGGAGTGTAGCCATTGAGAGGAGTCCAACCCGCACAGTGATAATCTGGATGTGCCTTATACATGTATTTGTAATTTAGTAGTAGGTAGCATATTAGGGAATGTAGGTAATGATTTTTTAGGGACCCAAAATAAGTAGTGCAAGCCCTATCTACAAGCGCAGTATGATTCAATGGCCACCCATTGGGGCATACCCTGTATTAGGTGTGTTGTCACTAATGAGGTCAAACTTGACCCTTTGTTATAGGTTCTCATGTTAGGCATACACAGACTTTATTGGGTTCCGAAGTGTTTTCGAGGACACTCTGACTTTTCCCCCTGACCACATGAATTTTACAAGGGACTTTCGTAAATCTAGCAAGTACGTTTTTGGAAGTGATATTTGAAGGGTGCTTGTCAGGTATTGGAATTTAGGTAACAGGGAGGAATATTCCCTCCAATCACTGAAAGATGTTTACAAAGTCTTGCAGTAGCGTTCTATAGTTTAAAAGACAGTCAGGATTTCTAGTGAAGAAAAAGGCCGACTTTAAACCATCCAGTCTTCCCCTGTCTAGTCCCACAGTTAGGGTTTGTGTTTTGTACACATTCAATTTATAATATGAATATTTCCCATATTCCTGTATTTGTTGTGTTAGATTAGGCAATCTGTGGCTTAGTTATTGTGAGAAGGATATCGTTCTGTCTCCAATCTGCAATCCACGGATGCAGCTATTAATTATTACGAATGCCGACTATCAAGGACATATATAATAGTGAGGATAAAGGGCAACCCTGCCTGGTCCTGTTAGAAATGCGAAAAGGGTCTGAAGTGAGTCCTGCTTATAATACTTGAGTGACTGATACCATTTATATGCTCTGACCACTGATATAAAGTCCTCTGGTATTTTAAACCTACAAAGGATAGCTTCTAGGAACCTACAATTTAGTAGATCAAGGCTTTGTCGATGTCTAGGGATAGGATCCTTGTCGTCTGGCCACAAAACCCACCTGATCATCATTTATGATCTATGGTTAGAGTTTCCCTAGTCTAAGTGCGTATATTTTTGCAAATAATTTTGCGCCTGCGTTCTGAAGCGATAATATTAGCTGAAAGTTTTATGGACAGGTAGGAGGCTTGCCTGGCTTTTGCAATGTAACAATGTGCGCTAGCATGGTTTCAGAGGTATTTGTTGTGTGGAAACTGCTTCGGTAAAGATTTGTACCAAATGAGGAGCTAAGATATCTTGGAATTTTTTATAAAATAAGAATTGACAAAGCCATCCAGGCCTGGTGCTTTCCCAGTGGGCAAAGATCTAATCACACTGAAGACCTCCTCTGTCTTTAGTGGAGTTTGTAAATCTGCCTGTTGTCGTTGCGTGAGTTGCGATAACGGTATTTGGGTCTTTATGTCTATATTAATACCTTTTTCTTTGTAACAGTAAGACAGTGTCTTCTGAATATTGATAAAGTGTGTTATTTTTGCATTTTGCATTTTTGTTTTTCTACATTTAAAGTTCTCCTTTAGGAAGGAAAATTGTGTTAAAGTGAAACTATAGTCCAAAATTATCCTTTATTTTTAATTCATTCATGAAAATTATGCAAAAAATATATATTTAATTATTTGGCCTAAGTAGCCAAACTAAAGGCATAGCTGAGAGACTGAATGTTTCCAGTTGAGATATTTTGACATTACATTTGAATGTTTCCCTTATTAAAGAAATCTTACACTGCAACTAAATCCCCACTATTTCTGCTAAAGTCATGTATTTTTAAAATAAATCTTTACATTTTGTGATCTCTGAAGCTGATGTTTAGCGAGTAAGTGCACTGGATTCTGTGTGATATGCAGTTTGTCATGAATATGTTTGTTCTTTACAGTGATCATTCTTGAGATGAAATCTCCAGGTTGTTATTATGGTCACAAGGAAGCTACAATTTCTACCCATCTGTGAAGTATAGTGTTGAAAGCATGTCAGGAGGATGTTGCTTTAAATGCCTTTTCTTGAATTTAGAGTTCCTCATTTGAAACGAGGAACAGGATGTAGAAAGATTACTGTAGGCAACTGGTGAAAAGGGGACAGAAAGGGAGACAGCTGAGCATGGAGCCCCTGGTAAGAACACACCATTGCGGTGATTCACTGAGGTTTGGTGTGATCCAGTGTCAACCACTGTGTATTATTTGAGCCATATAGGTATATGGAGTGTGATACCTATCATTAAAGGTGAACTTGTCAGTGTAGTTAGCCTAAACTCAGTGCAGTCTAGATTACGAATAATAAGGGTCTTGGTCATTTGCCACTGATGGTTTGGCCCAGCTGTCCTGCTTGCACTATTTTGGCATGGCCAAGGATAATAGGAGTTGTAAGGTAAGCAACATAATTACTAACCCAATGCCTAACACATTAACCCATAAATTTTAACTCAAATGCTTACCCATGATCTTTATCCCTAATGCTAAAATTGTATATTCCTAGCACTATGAGTATTCTAAACTCAATCGTATACTTGTGCTCAGTAATTAGGTTCAGGTTCTGCTATTAACATATATTGTTTTTGTTTTACTCTCTAAACACATATTTTAACTTTTTCCACTTTGCCTCTTTCAAGACTGATTGTGGCATAAATGTTAAATGCTGAGCATATATTTTCTTGGCATGACTGTTGATCATGGGTCTGCCTTTGCTTTCTGCCCTTTCATTTCAAAATTTACTATCTGTTAGTCTGGTGCATAGCTGGACTTTATACTGCTGTTGGCATATATTATTTTTAATTGCGAACCTTGGTGCTCTCACAGCTGGGACCCTTCTCTCCCTCCTTCTTTGCAATATTCCACTAAGTAACAGGTGTACCATGTCATATCAGGCAGCTCCATTCATTACTACAATCAGTGCCATCTTAACAACATTATGGGTCCTCGGGCAAAGCAGTGTACCACTTCCTACACAACCAGTTACAGGAATAAAAATGTAAATTATCGATAAATTTAAGCTTATATTTATTGGTACCTCCAACAAATGCAATACATTAATACACACAGACTTCTGAATACGCACACACAAACTGCTGAATACACACACATGGACTGATGAATACACACAGGCAGGGCCGGTGCAAGGATTTTTGCCGCCCTAGACAAAAGTAAAGTTTGCCGCCTCCCATATGACATCACAATGCCCCATGTTAACTAACGCAAGTGCTGCATTGCCGTCGTGTTTACATTAAAAGGCCTGCAAGGACAGGCTATAGACACCAGAACCACTACATTAAGCTGCAGTGGTTCTGGGGACTATAGTGTTTCTTTAATGTGAGGTAAATTAGAGATTAGTGCCACGAATAATATACTAGATTGCCTACTTACAACCAGATGAGGATGGTGATGGGCTCTAGCTGCAGTCTGGCTCCACCCGTCTGGTGTAGAACAGGCTCTCTGGAGGCTGTTTGTGTTCTGGGAGAAGGGGAAGCAGCTCCATTTTTTTAAGGCCCTTTACACAGCTCAAGGTCTGGGCCCCAGGGTCCACCTTCATGTTCCACCAATTAGTTTGTTCACAGGAGTAGGGGATGTCCTGACATGTGTGTAAGGAATGCATTGTGTGAATCTGTGTTTGTATGTGTAAGGGCTGCAATGTGTGTTTCTATGTATGTACGGGATGCAGTGTGTGCGTCTGTAAGGGGTGCATTGAGTGTGTGTAAGGAATGCATTGTGTGTTTCTGTGTGTGTAAGGGATGCATTGTGTGTAAGGGTTGAATTGCTTGTGTGTGTGTGTGTGTGTGTGTGTCTGTGTGTGCAATGCATTGTGTGTTTTTCTGTGTGCAAGGGGTGCATTGTGTGTGTGTGATATGTCAATCTCTCCCCCCTCCCTTGTCACTCTCTTCTCCCCCTCTCCCTCCCTCGTCACTCTCTTCTCTCCCCCCCTTGTCTCTCTCTTCTCCCCCCTTGTCCCTCTCTTCTCCCCCCTCTTGTCCCTCTCTTCTCCCCCCCTCCCTTGTCACTCTCTTCTCCCTTGCGTGTCCCTCTCTTCTCCCCCCTCCCTTGTCACTCTCGTCTCCCCCGTTGTAACTCTCTTCTCCCCTCCCCACTCTCATTCCCCCTCCTAACCCTGTCAATTCCCCTCCCTGTCAATTTCTTCCCCCCCACCTTGTCAATTTATTTTCCCCCCTTTCAATTTATTCCCCCCACCCTGCCTGTCCATTTATTCCCCCACCCTGCCTGTCCATTTATCCCCCCTCCTGTCCATTTATTCCCCTCCCTGTCCATTTATTTCCCCCCTCCTGTCCATTTTATTCCCCCTGTCCATTTATTCCCCCTGTCCATTTTTATTCTCCCCTCCTGTCCATGTGTTCCCCCCTCCTGTCATTTATTCCCCAGATCCATTTTATTCCCCCCTCCTGTCCATGTATTCCCGTCCCTGTCCATTTATTCCCCTGTCCATTTATTCCCCCACCCTGTCCATTTATTTCCCCTTCCTGTACATTTTATCCCCACTCCCTGTCCATTTTATTCCCCGATCCATTTATTCCCCCCCTCCCTGTCCATTTATTCCCCCCCTGTCCATTTATTCCCCCCTCCCTCCTGTCCATTTATCCCCCCCCCTCCTGTCCACCCATTCCCCCCCTCCCATAATCCATTTTATTTCCCCCCATCCATTTATTCCCCCCCTCCTGTCCATTTATTCCCTCCTGTCCATTTATTCCCCGTCCATTTAATTCCCCCCTGTCCATTTATTCCCCCTGTCCATTTTATTCCCCATACTCCCTGTCCAGTTTTATTCCTCCCTGTCCATTTATTCCCCCCACCCACCCCCTACCTCAGTTGTAGCATGGCCGAGCCCTGTATGAACCGCGGGTACAGGGAGCGTTTGTTTCCTGTACCCGGCCGGACTAAAAGGAAGTGAACACTCAGTGTTCACTTCCTGTTAGTCCGTCCGGGTACAGGAGACAGATGCTCCCTGTACCCGCGGATCATACAGAGCTCGGCCACGCTACAGTGAGGGAGTGACAGGAGGGAGCGCTCAGCGTTTCCCTCCTGTCAGCCTCTCCTCAGGCTGCGCCCGGGCAGTGCGCCCTCATGGACGCACCAGCCCGGGCAAAGCTGCAGCCGCCTGAGGCGCTCTACAGAGCGCTTGGGCGGCTGCAGCATGATGGGGGGCCGGCGCTCCTGGCGGCGCCCCTTCCCAAGGGGCGCCCTAGGCGGCTGCCTAGTCCGCCTTACAGGTAGCGCCGGCCCTGCACACAGGTTGCTGAATACATACACACAGAATACTGAATACATACATACAGACTACTGAATACACACACAGACTGCTGAGTACACACACACAGACTGCTGAATACAGAAAGACTGTTGAGTACACACACAGACTTCTAAACACATAAACAGACTGCTTAATGCACACAAACAGAGTGCTGAATACATGCATGTATACTGCTGAATACATGCACACAGACTGCTGAATACATTCACATACTGCTGAACATACACACACAGACTGCTGAACACACACACAAATAGCTGAATACACGCAGACAGACAGCAGTGAGGGGTGCAGTGTGTGTGTGAGGAGTGCTGTGTGTATGGGGTGTCCTGTGTGTGAAGGGTGGTGTGTGAGTGAGGTGCTGTGTGTGTGAGAGGGATGCTGTGTGTGAGGGGTTCTGTGTGTGAAGGGTGTGCTGTGTGTGTGTGAGAGAGAGGTGCTGTGTATGTGAGAGGTGTACTGTGTGTGTGAGAGAGGTGCTGTGTGTGAGAGAGAGGTGCTGTGTGTGTGAGAGGGATGCTGTGTGTGAGAGGGGTGCTGTGTGTGTGAGAGAGGTGCTGCGTGTGTGAGAGAGGTGCTTTGTGTTTGAGGGGTGCTGTGTGTTTAAGAGGGGTGCTGTGTGTGAGAGAGGTGCTGTATGTGCTGTATGTGAGGGGTGCTCTGTGTGTGTGAAGGATGGTGTGTGTGTGAGTGAGAGGGGGGGCTGTTTTCCTATTTCTGGGTATTATTAACTTCCACCTTTCCATACATGAGGTATATCTGGGTATTATTGCCTTCCACCTTTCCATACATGAGGTATATCTGGGTATTATTACCTTCTACCTTTCAATACATGAGGTATATCTGGGTATTATTAACTTCCACCTTTCCATACATGAGGTATATCTGGGTATTATTATCTTCTACCTTTCAATACATGAGGTATATCTGGGTATTATTACCTTCCACCTTTCAATACATGAGGTATATCTGGGTATTATTACCTTCCACCTTTCCATACATGAGGTATATCTGGGTATTATTACCTTCTACCTTTCAATACATGAGGTATATCTGGGTATTATTACCTTCCACCTTTCAATACATGAGGTATATCTGGGTATTATTACCTTCCACCTTTCCATACATGAGGTATAGTCTCGAGGACATGGCTACTTTCCATTTTGCCTTGGTTAATTTGTCCTGGGACTGCTCTCCGGTAATGGGTATGAACCTACGTTTTTATTGTTCTCAATCATAGTTCCCTTATATATTTATTTAGTTTGAAGGGGTTTAGTTGAAGAAAGCTTTAAAAATCAGGGGTCACTTATTGTTTCATGTTTTTTTTATATTGTTGATGGTGGTTTTGATGCATCCTGTAGTGTTTGAACTATTTTCAACAGAAAACAAACTGTCAGCACACGTTTTACCATGCTTTTGGACATGTGTGGAAAATGTATTATCTCTGTCCCAAATGGTTTAAAATGATTTAGTGGTTAGCTTGAGATGTTAGTGAAATAATTTCTTCATGATTATTGCAGCAAAGGGATATTGTGAAACGTTAACGAAGATGTAAATGTTGTTGTCATGGATTATGTGATTGCTGTTTGATACAGACAGTAAGGTATTTTCAGTATATTACAATAGAGAAAAAATAAGCAGACCATCAGTAAATAATCCAGCCCCTGACCCTCTAGTTTGGGTGGTAGGATTTGGATATCCTCTGACCTTTTATGATGTCAGGATGGAGTTGGGCATTCCCTGACCTTTTATGATGTGAGGAAGAAGTTGGGTATCCCTTGGTCTACTTTGTAACAAATACCCTTCCACCCCACTAATGTATTAACGTTTCAACACCTGAACATATAATGATAGGAAGCTTTTTACCAAGCTTAGCAGCCATCCCCCAAATTCTCAGGCCATCTCTTAATTTAGCTTCTGAGGACATTCCTGGTTGCTTGACAAGACATTGTGCTTTTACATTTACATTGTTTTGTGTAACAGATGAGGTACGGTGAGTGAAGCTCTTTGTGTTACCATAAAGTGCACTACCTACCCTTCTGTGCATTTTACTTCCTTGTCAATGGACTGCAATTTCACAAAAGCTTGTAGTTGTACATACACCCACTACTGATCAGAATGTCAGACGCCCCCCATGTACCACCACCCCAGACCACAGACCCCATCCACTCTGCTTCTGTGGTTGTAAGGCTAATTCAACACATGTATAGAATATAGTATTTGTTAATAAAGAACATTACATTTTTTAAGAATAAAAAGTTCATAGTGCATTAAATGAAAAAATAACTGGTGATGAATTTATGAATGTCTTCAGAAGTTATGAACATTCAAACCATAGATTCATGTACCCTTCCAGCAATCTTCAGGCTACCATAAGTCTTTCCATAAGGACACAACCTTAAACTGTATTTGCCTTTAGTAAATATGTGAATTGCGAGTACTGCTGAAAATTGTTATTTTATCCAATCTGTACCAAATTCAGTCTTGCAGTTTTTTATTTGGGATATATATGCTAAACAGTGATTATTATTTAATTTGAATTTGGAATGTCCCTTTAAGGTCATGACAGCCAAACTAAAAATTTCTCTACGCCAGCAATGCTTTCAGTTTTGCTACTCTGGCCTTTTAATATATAACCCCCATCCTGTTTGTAGGTTTTGCATTGTGCCGTCAGTAGGGGGCAGTAAGGTCTATCTATGGAAAGTGAAGGAGATAATTATTTTGGGCCACTTTGCATTTGTTTATCTTACACAATTGTTTTGTATTTGCTTTTACGTAACATTCCCAGCTCTATCTGGCAAAAACTCTAAATTATTTTCTGAAGGATTTGCAGAGAATCTTTTTTGGGGGAGGAGGAAGGCGCTACTTCTTGGTAAAATGAAGGAGGATAGAGACCTGTCTCCCTTTTAATATCCGATAGGGATATCTATCTGGCATTCAAAATGTTAAAGATAAAGACTAGACAGTTCTATAGTTATTCACCACGTGTTAAGTGGATTCATTGTAATTACAGGTTCCGCTTTATAACACACTACACAGTGATCAGAGTGCCTGTTATTAACTCCATCATAGCTAGCAGACTGAAAGATTGCTTACTATTAACCCCTTCACAGACATCACACTGAAAGCATCTTGCTGTTAATTCCATTACAGCCACCAGACTGCTTTTTATTAAACCTATCACAGCTATCAGACTGAAGGCTGCATGGTATTAACCCAATCACAACTGAAGGTTTCTTACACCTTCACAGACCAAAGTCTGCTTTCTTTTAACTCTATAACAGACACTGGCCTGAAGCTAAGAATCAAAAGAAGTTTGCTGCCCTTCACCTTGGCCTCACTACTTTTTGGGTAGAAGCTAAGCTCAGCCCTCGCCGTCTAGTAACAGACGGGAAGCTCCAGTTCTGCTCTGTGTGTGGCTTGATGTGCACATCAAGCCTTGCAGCTGTTTTAGTATTTTGCCTGTGACACGACTCTGCAACGATTGCACCATGACTGCACCACCACTGCACCGCATCCCACCGTTGGCACCCCTGTTAGTTCTGCTACTGATGACCAAATCTCTTCCAAACATTTACTGCCTGTGCTGCTTGCCAGATCAACCTAAATTGTGTTAAAATTGTGAGGGGTTTTATTCCCTTCCACGTATGAATATATTACCAATCAATAGCTCAAAAAAGTAATGAACTGTTGCCATGAAACAATCATTGCACCGTGGTCTAAGTGTGCCATGGACGGCATGGTGGAACTGGTAAAAACCCAGGTAGAAGTCGAAATCAAGTCATAAGTCACAGTGACGAAGTAAATAAAAAGATAAATTATAACAAAATAAAATAAAAAATACACTTATTTTGAATGCTCAATGGCACTTCTGTACATTTTGCAAATAAAATTGTGTCCAACACTTAGTCATAGCTAAAATGTCCAAAATTCTTGTCTCAGTCTCTCAGGAATTCCCTTGCTATATATATATTTTTTTGGGTATTAATGGCATAATGACAACAAAAACGTCCAATCACAATTGTGTGTTAGTAAATGTATACTTCGGGACTTTCCATGAGTATTTAAAAAACTTGGCAAACATGAGTGGTGTCAGATTTCTACATGAGTATTGGTTAATTCACTTACTATTTTCTTATCTTCTGTCAATCATACAGTAATCATTTAAATATTTCATGTTTTAATTTAATTGTAATTTGTGGGTCAAAAGGTGTTTCCTAGATTTTCTGTTATTGTAATAGTTTTTATTTTTAACACTGGGATATTATTACAAGATTCAAGCAAAGTTCTTTAAGAATTACAGAAATTTGAAAAATAAATGTTCTTTGACAAAGAAAGATAGAGGAGTTGAATTGCAAATTTCAGATTAAAGTGACAGATCAAGGACAACTTCCTATATATTCAACAAATGTAAGAACAGTGCACTACTTTTGGCACTAAGCACCAGTGCTGTGACAGGAAACTGCAAGCATACGATGAAATACAGCTTATTGCCTAGACTTTACCGATACAGCTCATTCTCTAGGCTTTACCAATACAGCTCATTCTCTAGACTTTACCGATACAGCTCATTCTCTAGGCCAGGCATTGGCAACTTTCATCACTGCAAATGTTTTGGACTACTCCTTGCATGATGCTTTGCCAGCATTATGGGTGTAAGTGCATTATAGGTGATGTAGCCCACAACATCTGCAGTGCCGAAGGTTGCCTATGCCTGCTCTAGGCTTTACAGATGTGTGGGTAGGGCTGCACAAACAGAAACAAAGTGATTAAACTTCTAAATGGCAGTGAATTGGACACTAAAACTGAATCATTAAATGAAAGTTGTTTTGGTGACTATAGTGTCCCTTTAATGTAGTTAAACATCAATACTGATACAGAAATAACAATACGATAAACCACTGCAACCTATCACTATCATTATAGAGATTTCTTAAAAAAAAAAAATGTTTAATGTATATTGATGAAAAATGGGTAAGAAATTAATAATGTAGCGTTAGTTATACATTAAAACAATGCAATATTAGTAGCAATTTTCAAAAAGGATGATATTATTATCATTTATATAGCGCCAACATGTTCTGCAGCACTGTACAATTATAGAATGGGGATATTTGACAACCAGTTGCTGACATACAAAAAGATATGAGGAAGGTGAAGAAAGCTCTGCTCAGATGAGCTTAGAATTTTGACTTGCTAATATCGAGCGCTCTGCACATTGCATGACATTAATTCCACGTATTGCAGGATACTACCATTCCAGATACCTGTTAGAGACTTATTATATTCCATATTTAGTGGAAATGCTCCAAAATCATGCATTACAGGGCACTTATTCTTGAAATTACGGTTTTAATTACTGACACCATTCTTGAATTACGGAAGAGCACTCACTTAAGTAACTTTAATAGTTTTCAATAAAGTGTGGAAAGACTCTGGCTACCGCCCTACCAATAATAAATCCAATGGGAAGAAATGATGTCCAGCACTCCTCCCATTAGCAGCACCCTTTCAGCAAGGTTGGCTTTTTCAAGCAATCATTATATATTAAGTTAAAAGAAGTCCTGTGCATCCTTTCTTTCTACCACCCTTAAAATGAGAGAAGCTTAACCACTTTTAAATCTATACTTGATCTTACCTAACCTGCTACTGGCTGTTTAAACGTTAAAGGAGCACTCCAAGCACCATAACAACTACAACATTGCGGTTACTCCATGTAAGTAATGTTATGACTTCTTTCCTGAGACCTGAAAGACGCACTCCAAACCTCCTCTCTGTAGGAAGGAGAGCTGGAAACCCCTGCTAGAAGTTTCTGTTAATTCGGGCAGTGCGGTCATCTGACGCTTTCCACTACTGGGAGAGTGAAGGTGTAGAATGGTGCTTGGCAGACCACAGATAAGAAGTCAAACCGTTATTAAAAGGTTTGACTACTTGCAATGATGGGGGGTGCCAAAGCATTCTTGGAATCATAACCACTACAACGTGCTGTAGCATGTAAGAGTGTTCTTTTAATGAGATATTATATTCCACCCACTGTCTCATACTAGTACTACAGAGCTGAACGTATTAGAGAAATGGAAGAACTGTTATTGACTCAAGATTGGAGGAGCTGCTTAGTATATTCCATATGGACTATAGAGTGCTTGGAGAATTATCTGGAATACCCGACTGATGGTGTTTGCTCCCCTAGTTCTTCTTTTAGAGTTGTCGTGTTTATTGTTAAATTATTCACCAAGATCTCATACAGGAAGGTTGTCACAATCATATCTAGATATAGTGAAGTGATTGTTAAACCAAAAAAGGATAAACACCTTAATACTTTGTTGGCAAGTCTGGAGAGAATGAAGTTCAAATGAGATAAAAAAGATAAATCGAAACAGGATACTGGTTGAGGCAGCACAGTAATAGCTGGAGTCCATACCGCATCAATGTAGGAGAAACCCAGCCATTGAAAGATGCATATCTGGTAGCAGAATCCAGTAAGCAGGCCTAGGTTCGTAATGATAAGACAATGAAATCTAATTATGGGAAGCCTGTGAACCAAATCTCAGTAATACAGACAGAGTAAAGGGACAGAGGGTAAATATCAGATAACATTATTCAGAAGGTTAAACCCAATCGCTGTATCCAAATAGCGAAGCTGTTATTTAAATAAGATATGTGAAGCACACCACCCAATAAGGGCAAATCTAAAAAGTAGTATGTTTTAAACAAAATCTTATCAAATTGTCCTAAGACAAGATCTGGTAAGGTTAAGAATGCCAACAAAGTCCAACAAGTAGTTCAGAGGTCAAAATTGTATAAAAGAGGTAACATGTTATGGATATTCTGGATTCTGTGTGTAACCTCTGAAATAGAAATATACCACACATAGAGCATTGTGCTCAAACACCATAATAGAAGAAGTAATTGGCTTTATAGTTTTAAATGGGCATTCGAACAAAGTGAGGAAGCCAATAATAATGCCACCAATGTTCTAAATAGAATGCCAGTTAATCATTCTCACCTCAACAGACATGAAAAGGATACAAAATCATCTCATCATAAAGTATTTTGTTAGTTTTTGGTTTTATGTTAAAATTCCCAAATTTTAACAAAAACAAACAACAAATTAGCTGCTGTAATGCTATGTATTTTTAACATCTACTGTATAAAGTTTGTATTGGCTAATGGATTCACTTCAATGCTAGCCTGAAAAACTGACAAATATACATAGGCTCCCGGAATAAGATTTACTTTACTGCTTAATGCTTTCTTTTTGTTACATGGTAGTTTTATTTCTGTTTATATATATATATAAGAAAAAATAAAAGGTAAAAGGTAAGGGCTGCGCCAAGGAAAACTAGATATAAAAAAATATAACAAATAGTCCAAATAAAATAAGTGAAAAAAAAAGAAATGAAAAGTCTTATCTAAAATATTCTTATTGAGGTCGTAGAATCTATCCGTGCTTGATCCAGAAAAATTGTCCTTGTTATTCTCCTCCGTATGGGTCCGCTAATATGTAAAAGATAAGAAAGTGGAGAGCCAAATAGTGTAGTATGCTTAAAAAGATAAAAATAATAAAAGGCTGAAATAAAACTCACATTTATAAGAGTTTATACTCGCTCTAGTGTGAAAGGCGTACAGCGGTTTGATCCCCGCTTATGGGATGTAAGATGAACTTCCTCCGTCAGTGGTATATTCAGCACTCGGGTAAAAAGAAACAGCCAAGTGTACACTGAGTAAAATATTGATGATAAAATAAATAAAATGGGTACTCACAAGACAGGAGCAGGCCGACTGCTCCTTAACGTTTGCGTTAACCTAGGATTTCTTGGAGTCCAGGATGTTGAGAAGATGCCAGGTAAAAAAACAAATAAGTGTGTATAAAGAGATAGATGGCACAGATAAAAAGTAACCAAATATACTTTAATATATAAAAATACACAATATAATGTCCATAAACGCGTTTCGCCAACACGGCGTTATCAATATGGGGTAAGAACCTGATACCTGGCATAAAATGGTTTATATAACAGCTATAGTCCTTTAAAATTGGCGCCAAAATGTGAACAGCCAATCAGAAAGAAGATAAAAATAAAATTGTTAAAACAATATAAAAACAGGGAAATTTTTTTTGAAACTTTTTAGATTTTTTGATTTTTGATTTTTGAAACTTATATGCATGTGACCGGCAAGCTACCGCAATGCGTTATGGGAAGTGTAGTTAGATGCCGGCACGCACTGCGCAGCCGCCGGCGTCTATATAGAAGATAGGAGTAGGACGTCAGCTCGCATGGTAATTGCGGCTGATGTCAATAGGAGGGGCGGAGTTAGTGATGACGGCGGCACGCACAAAGCTGCGGCCGTCATCATGGAGAGAATGTTGTAAACAAAGACGACGGCGAGCACAAGGCTGAAGCCCACGTCAGGGCAACGAAAGGAACCCTGTCGGCACGCACAGAGCTGCGGCCGGCTAGGGTACACATAAGAAAAATAAGGGATATACATATAAAACAATAAAAAATAAGATAAAGTATAAAAATAATGTTAAAAACCACCAAATAACAAACACCAAATAAAGAGATATTTTAAAAATACAATAAGAATATGGGAAAGATGTATAACATCCACAAATTAAAAACATCAGAAATAGATATGAATTTATAAAAAATTAAACAAATCAAAGTCTAAATTAAGACCGTGGGGTGTAATGTTTCTGCAATGTTCGCTTAAATGTGTTAATTTACATGACTGACCTAGGTTAGTAACATGCACAATTATGTGCTAGTGTACTGTTTTGTTTTTATATATATATATCTGTTTGTATTAGAAATAAGTATGTTGTTTTTGTAAAAATTTTTTTTATATTCTTTATTTTTGCAGTGCACACAATAACAGTAGTGTCAGTGTCCAAGAGATTATAAGTAAAGAAATAATTTTGAAACAGTGGGTTACAAATACTTGGCATATGAGGAAGTCACACTTATTTTTCATTTATAGACATAATGGTCAGTAACATGTCAGTAGTGTGGTTGTGTGAATGTGCCAGTGAATATGGTGTACCGGGCATTAAGCTTGGGTTGCGTTGCTTGGTAGGACAGGAGGTTGGGAGGCCTGTGTTGCCTGAGTGTGTCAAGAGGTTTAATTTCGGTCATGCGGGTTGCACTTTGGGTGCCCCTTGAGGGGACCTCAATTGAGGATTCTTATGCATATAGTGGGTGTGAGCATGGAGTGGGGTCTGTGGCACTTGCTGTCATAGGCATAATATCAAGCTTATGAAAGTGTCAATGGGTGCACCGGGACCCAGTTAGTGTATAAATTACATATAGTATGCACATATAGTAAATGCCCCTAACCAAGGGAGTCAACGGAGGGGGAGGGAAGGGGGTTGAGTGAGTTAGTTACGTGCCATCAACTAGGTTTGCTGTTGTAGCTGTATGAGTGTGTAAGCTAGGTTGACCCCAGACAGAGAAATAAGTATGTTTTAATGCTGTCTTTTTTAATTTGATTCGATAGGTGAGTTTAGATAACACAATGCAAGAAAATCCGGTCTACTGTAATTTGGAAGAAATTAAGAAATCGAAAGGGACTCCTCCTAATCCAACATGTAGCCCTGTTCAGATTCTGGAGAACTGGGAGTGCCACTTCGATCCAATAACGGGCAGAAACTTCTTCATTAACATGGAGACAAGGGAGAAAACATGGAAGCCACCCAGGAGATCTAAGGACAGAAACTCTGCAAAGGTATGTGTTTAATCAACTACTTTAATTTGAGCTGAGCGGTGATAACAGGCGATGGAGTTAGATTTGACCCATTTGAGGTAACCTGTCATACACAAAGTGTGTGAATATTCAGTTCACTTTCAGGTAGGTCACAATTCACTCATGATTATCTGAAAATAGCATTTTCCTTTTCCACCAAGGACTAGGGAAGTTAATGAAAGCAACATCACAGAATTCTGAACTGGTGACCAAGAAACACATTTTGAGTTTGTGAAGAGAGGCAGTGGGCATTTGGAAGGCTGGTGAATAGAGTTGAGCGGACACCTGGATGTTCGGGTTCGCCAAGTTCGGCCAACCTTCATCAAAAAGTTTGAGTTCGGCTCGAACTTGACCCCAAACCCAAACCCCATTGAAGTCAATGGGGACCCGAACTTTTGGGCACTAAAATGCCTTTAAAAAAGTCCTGTAAAGGGCTAGAGGGCTGCAAAAGGAAGTAAAATGGGGGTAGTGCCCTGCAAACAAATGTGGATAGGGAAATCACTTAAAATAACATAAAATAACATAAAATAAGCAGCCGCCTAGTAGATAACTCCCTAATTCCCACGGTATTAGGGAGCTATCTACCAAAAGACTGAAAGACCTAAATTGGTCTTTCAGCCACATTTAGTAATACTAAGTAAAGATTACTTAATATTAGTAAATTCAGCCCCTACTCGCTATACCGAGTCTAGTAAACAGTGTCTAGTAAACAGTGAGCAGCCAGTGGCTGCTCACTGTAAAAAAAAAGCAAACAAACAAAAAAACCCTATTGGCCCCACCCCTGAACAGCGGGTGGAGGCCCTAAAGTAAAATAACGGGGGGTGGGACCTATTGTTCTCCCCCCTGGCCCCCACCCCTGAGCGGTGGGTGGGGGCCCTAAATAACAATGGGGGGGAACCTACTGTCCTCCCCCCCGGCCCCCACACCTACGCGGTGGGTGGGGGCCCTAAAGAAAAAAGGGGGGGACCTACTGTCCTCCCACCCGACCCCCACCCATGCACGGTGGGTGGGGGCCCTAAATACCAATTAGGGAGGTGACCTAATGTCCTCCCCCCTGGCACCCACCCGTGAGCGGTGGGTGGAGGCCCTAAATACCAATTGGGGGGGACCTATTGTCCTCCCTCCTGGCCCCCACCGCTGTGCGGTGGGTGGGGGCCCTAAATAAAAATTTAACCCCATCACCCCCCTCCCCCATTTCATAACATGACATTTGGCGGTACTAACCAATACATTGTGAAATACATTATTGACTGCCTCAATAGGCTTTCACATGTTGTTGCTTTTATAACAGGTGTGTCTAAAATAAGTGAAACACAGTTAAACAAAGAATGAGCTACAAGGAAGTTGATGTTTTATAAGAGTATTTGCTTCCCTGCCTTAAAACATGACCCAAAGCAAATTTAACACTTTGATCATTCCATCAGTGCTTATAATAGGAAAGACATTTATTAAAGGGACACTGTAATCACTATAACCACTTTTTCTCTTTGAATTGGTTATAGTGCCTGGAGTGGCCTGGCACTGTCCCTCCATTCAGTGTTGCACCATGTTTGTGCAATATGCCACAAAATAAGAGTCCCTGGCCACCCACAGTCCGGCCCCTTCTGTATGTGTAGCTAAGGCAGAGATTACACACTTGTTGTCATACGCATTCATACCGTCAGTTGGAGCTCTGACAGGTTAAAAGCAGTCAGCTGACACTCTCAGACAATCACAGCTGCCAATTGCCTCTCAGGGTAATACTTCCTTATTAGCCAAAGCAGCACAGAGGGGATAGACTGCCGTGGACTCTTGTTTAGCATTAAAACATTACAACATTAAGAACTGTTTAATGCTGAAAGAAATGATGGTACCAGGGGACTGCAGACACTATAACCAGTTTAATGAGATGAAGCAGATACAGTGCCTATGGTGTCCCTTTAATGTTTATTTTTGGTACCTCTATTTTTAGACCGATATCCGTGGCGCATCTTAAATATGAGAACAAATCAAATTTGTTCTAAATATGGTTTCAACACCTTGGTTCCCCTCCATATGGCTTCTAACATTCCAATTTGAAAGTTGCAGTGCCAATGTATCTTGGAGACAGATCTATCTTTTCTCCAGTTCTGGGTATTATCAAAGACCTAATTTTATAACAGTGGTTTTTTTTGTCAGTCTATATTTAACTAATTATAGTGAAAAATTCCAGCAACAAACATTCCAGCAACAGTTACATCTCACAATTATATGTGTTTAATTGTATGGAGCTAAGAGAATTTAGCGAGAGGGGAAAGCCCAGGTAATCTCCTTGGACTGGAATGGTGAAGGTAGGACCCTTCATGTCTATTCGACCTGGCACTGCTATGCAAAATACAAAGTTAGACCAAATAATCACTGGTGCACCTATATCTATCATTCTGCAAATATGGGGAACCCATCAGTCCGTATAACAAATTGCATCCACAAGCCATGATGTACAGTGTGGGCCTGTTTCATGAATCTCTTCAGGGAGAGCTAACCATTACATAATAATATAGTTGACATGGGGGTAAAAGAATGGAAGTATTTTTTATTTTTTTAGGTTTATTTTTAATATTTGGAGCAATTTTTTCAAGTCTTTTTTCTGTTTTTTTTTTCTGTTGTGCTTTAAGGCACATCACGTACAGGAAGTGTGAATTTAATTTGTTTATTTAACTTTGTCCTTTTACATCAACTGTCTCAAACAACTGTATTTTTCAGTACACTATGTGCATTATTGCACCATTTGGTTCACAGATCAAGTGTGAAAGAGTAACCAATAAAAGGGAAAAAGCAGGAGCAGTTAAAAAAAACCCATCTAGATTTGTATATTTATATATATATATTATTTTTTTAACTGCTCCTCTTTTTCCCCCTCTGTTGGTCACTTCTAACTTTATCTCTGAATAAAATCAAGGTTTAATCCCCTAATCATGAATCATTTTGTTCCGACAATCATTTTTTTTTTGGACAAAATATGAACATATCGCTATTTGTTTTAAACCAAATGCACAATCTTTAGTGTACATTCATTTTTACAGAGATCCTTCTTTTTTTGTAAAGATAAAATACTGCTTACATTTATTTCTAGAATCATGACTGTAGTGCTAGGGATAAATCTTTATATTCCTAACACTATAGTGTTCCTCTGATAATATGTTCAAAAAGAAACAAGTATCTCTAGCACATCCTGCAATTTAGTACTAGTTATCTATACAATTATCTCAGCTTGATACTGGTCTGCAAGGACTTTCTATACTGTAACCCAGTGGTTCCCAAACTTTTTAGATTCAAGGCACCCTTACAATTTCAATATTTTTCCAAGGCGCCCCAAGTTAAAACAATTTTCTTGTTGTATATATCTACATCGCTGTGGCATATACTGGGCCCCTGTTCGGGAGAAATGCTTTCCGTTCAAGCGCAGATCCAGGACCTAATCTTTAGCGGGGCACTGGTAGATTATTTAAAAAAACAATTCGGACACAATAACCACTACAGCACTTTGTAGTGGTTATGGTGCCATTAGTGCCATACTGCCCTCGCAGAGTAAATAGTCAAACAGTTTAAGAGCAGTTTGAGAACTTACCTGGGATCTGCCGAGATAGGGGCTGTAGCAGGGGATAGTGTGAGTAGTGTGTCTGAGGTGTGCAATGAGTGTGTGTGTGTGTGTGAGTGGTGGAGTGTGTATGTGAGGGGCACTGGTGGCTCTAGACTAGGCGAAACTCAAAAAATAGGTGTTTCGTTGTGTGTATAAGAGTGAGCTACGAGGAAGTTGCTGTTTTATAAGAGTATTTGCTTCCCTGCCTTAAAACATTGACCCAAAGCAAATTTAACACTTTGATCATTCCATCAGTGCTTATAAAAGGAAAGATATTTTTCAATGTTTATTTTTGGCACCTCTAATTTTAGACCGATATCCGTGGTGCACCTTAAATCTGAGAACAAATCAAATTTGTTCTAAATATGGTTTCAGCGTATTGCTTCCCCTCCATATGGCTTCTAACATTCCAATTTGAAAGTTGCAGTGCCAACGTATCCAATTTGAAAGTTGCAGTGCCATCGCTGTATCCAGCCCTGTAGCTGTATTGGACAAGCTTGCAGCACTGGATACAGAGAGCTAGTCTCTTTATTCATTGTTCAGAGGCTTGCAGTGTCGCGGCTCTCTGTGCCTCTGTGTTGTGAGCTCTCCGACTCTAGTTATGGCATAATTAGCAAACTAAATTAATTTGCAATAAGCAAATGTGATTAGCAGTTCTGCTAATAATCTATACACGACTCCGGGGTATAATTGCATAGCCTTGCAGTCGTGTATACATTACTGCCAGTGTGTGTATTTCTGAGTGTGTCTAGCATTGTCTACCTGTGTATGTGCATCAAAGTGTGTGTCTGACTGAGTATCCTTGTGTGTGAATGTATGTATTTATAAGTATGTGTCTGGGACTGTATGTGTGTGGGGAAGCTGCTTGCGGTGTGTGGTGTTTATGGGAGCTGCCTGTGACCTTTGTGCATGTGTGTATGAGGAATGTCTTCAGTTTGTGACAAGGTGAGTAAAGGGGTAACTGGGGCAGGGTGAGTGTGACTGGGTGAGGGGGATAAATGAGACAGGGTTGGGGGGGGGTGAATGTAACAGAATGAGGGAGGGTGAGAATAATAGGGGGGCGATTGTGACATGGTTGGAGGATGGAGAGTGACAGAGCATGGGGAAGTAAGTGTGACAGGTTTGGAGGAGGTTAATAAAACAGGCTGCATGTGGCATAGTTGGGGGTTGTATCACCGGGTTGGGGTGAATGTGCCATGTTTGGAGGAGGCAATGTAACAGAATGAGGGGAGGTGAGTGTGACAAGATTAAGGGGGTTAATGTGGCAGCATTAGATTTATGTGGAAGGGTGAGTGTGGAAGCATTGGGGAGAGAGTGTGACAGGGTTTGGGGTGAGTGTGGCACAGTTGGAGAACAGGATTGGAGGGGTGAGTGTGGTGGGGTCAGTGTGGCAGGGTTGAGGACTGTGTGCGACATTGCAAGAGAAGGTTGAGTCAGACTGGATTGGAGGGTTAGGGTAATTGTGGTAAAGCAAGGACAGGTGAGTTTGATATGGTTGGAGGGGGTGAGAGTGACAAGATTAGGAGAGTTTAATGTGAGTGTGGCTGGGTGAAGGGGGAGACAGTGTGTGGGGGCTGAAAGAGTTTGGGAATGGTGATAGTGTATGTGTGTGGGGGGCAAGGTGACAATGTGTGCATGTGGTGGTGACAGGTGTTCGTGGGGGTGACAGGTGGGTGTGTGGAGGCGGGGTGGAGGGTTGCAGTAACAGGTAAGGGAGGGGCAGTGATGTGTGTGAGGGGGGGGGTAACAGGGGGTAGGGGGATGGAGGGGCAGTGACAAGAGGCGGGGTGGAAGAACACTGAAGGCGGAGGGGCAGTAACAGGGGGTTGGGGTGTGTGGGGGATGGAAGGGCAGTAACAGGAGGTAGGGGGATGGAGGGGTAGTAATGAAAGGAGGTAGGGGAGGTGGAGGGGCAGTAACAGAGGGTAGGGGTAGTAACAGGGGGTGGGGGGATGGAGGGACAGTGACAGGTGGTGGGGGGTGGAGGGGCAGTGACAGGGGGTAGGGGGCTGGAGGGGCAATAACAAGGGGGTGGTGGGGTGGAGGGGCAGTCACAGGGTGTTGGGGGGTGGACGGCAGTGACGGGGATACGGGGGTAGTAACAGGGGTTGGGGGATGGGGAGGGGAAGTATCAGGGGGTGGAGGGGCAGTAACAGGGGTTGGAGGAGGTTGGAGGGGCTATGACAGGGGGGGAGTTCATAAATACCTGTGGTCCTGTGGATTCCCCTGGTGATCCGGTGGGCACCCGCTCTCTGGCTCTCTGGTCTGCATCACCACCAGGTAAATCTCGCAAGCTCCAGTCAGAGCGTTGCCATGGTAACCCGCTGCAACACTCTGACAGGCGGGAGATCGTGAGACACTTCAGTCTGCAGCTCACTCCCGGCGGAGCTGCAGACAGGAGGCTGGCTCTCTCCCGAGCAGACTGACTGGAGAGGCCTCGCACCTGGCGGCATTATGGGCAAGCCGCCGGGCCCCCTCCTGTGTTGAGTCCTCGGTCTCTGACTGAGGACCCGACATGGTAGTCTGCCCTAAGGCAATTTTGGTGGCCGCGGTGCCCCCATCAGCGCGAGGCCTTAGGCGGCCCCCTAAATCGCCTCTGGTGAGCGGTGCAGTGTGTGTGTGAGGGGTGCAGTGTGTGTGTGTGAGGGGTGCAGTGTGTGTTTGTGTGAGTGTATGGAAGTGCATTGTGTTTGTGAATGAAGTCTAATCTCAAGTAGATGTGCAAAGAAATCGTTGAAAAACAAGAGGCCTATTTGTCAAGCTTAGAACAATGAGCGGCTAATTAAGCTATATTATGTTATGCCATTTGCCTTCGCAATGCGTGGGCATGGGGAATATTCAAATCAGAAACAATTAATCTGTTGTTGATAAAGTTATACAGACTGATGGAAATTTATGCCGTTAGTGGACTTTATTTTTGTCTGTACTCCTCAGAATGTCAGCTAAGGTCATGCTGTGTCTAGGACTATAAACCACTAAAGCTAAGATAAGCTATGGGACAAGTGATGGAAACCAGTGTCCTTTAAACATAACTCAACAAGAGACCAGTATTTGAGAATATGCTTAATCAATGCACAGATATTTCAATTAATATGATCAGCCACTGATTGTTGCTAAAGCAGCAGAGGTTCCCTGTAATTCTGGTTTTCAGGTGGTTTATACATTATGCTAACAGAAATGCTAGAAAACATATAGAATTATATTAAAAGCAGCACTGTCACTCCCTCCCTTCCCCGGCCGCCCACTTCAATACTCATACTGACTGTGTTGACATTTTACTGAAATTCCAACCCAGTCAAAAGAGATTTTGAGACAAAGTAGGGACTACAGTGCTGCTTTAAAGCTCTTTTGTGTTTGGGCCCCTCTCTACCGGTCAGCCAAATCCTCAACATAAGACCTGATGTGCCCCGTGTGTGTAATAAAGAGCGGGAGCAGGAGAACCCTCTCTAAAGCGGTGCTCTGCTTCCTGTTACTGTGTTACCCATTCTTTTAATTGTATTATGTAGATAGCAAATTAAAATATATGTGCCAAAGCAATAATAATAATCATAAAAAATAAACTGCTGTGGTGGTTATGTTCCCAGGAGTGCCCTGGCCCCATCTCAGTGTAATTTGGCAAACCTTTTTAGAACTTACCTGGATCCCCCAAGAGCCCATGGCCACTTATCCTACTATCAGTGGTGTATCCTGGTTTTGTGCTGCCCTAGGCAGGACAAAACTCAGACGCCCCCCTCCCCCCGCGCCACCCCCACCCAACCGTTCCCCCCCGCCCCACCTTCTAAATACACACACACACAGTCAGACACACAAACACACAGTCAGACACACACACACAGTCATACACAAACACACACACAGTCAGACACAAACACACACACACAGTCAGACACATACACACACACACACAGTCAGACACATACACAGACACAAACACACACACACAGTCACAAACACACACAGTCAGACACAAACACACACAGTCAGACACAAACACACACACACAGTCAGACACAAACACACACACTGTCAGACATATACACAGACACAAACACAATCAGACACAAACACACACACACAGTCACAAACACACACACAGTCAGACACAAACACACACAGTCAGACACACACACACAAACACACACACACAGTCAGACACAAACACACACACACACAGTCAGACACAAACACACACACACAGTCAGACACAAACACACACACAATCACTCACATTAACTTTTTTTTAAATCCCCCCCCCCAGCCTCCTTACCTTTGGGAGTGCTGAGGGGGGAGGGGGGTCTCTCTCTCCCTGGTGGTCCAGTTGCTGCCGGTCGGGCTGGGCGGCGCTGGCTGCTGTGCAGGCGGCTGGCGAGGGAGCTCTTCCCCTGAGCTGACTGCTCAGCTCCCTCACTCGCCGAAGAGTGAGGCTGGGAGCCGGAATATGACGTCATCTAACAAGACATTTGCCCTGGGCATTTGGGGGCGGCGTTTTTTGCCGCCCCCTGAAAAATGCCGCCCAAGGCAAATGCCTTGTTTGCCTCACAGCTAATACATCCCTGCCTACTATGGAATTTCCTGAAGGAGAATGTGGTTAGCTCTACTGTGCTAAGCAGGGCCATGTATTATCTGTGTTCATTGTCTGGGACTCTCAGCTGAGTACTCCAGTCACCCAGTGAGCACAGTCCTGTATCACCTGTGCTTAGTTGTTGAGAGACATAGCACTTCTTTTGCAGGAGAAGACCAGATGTTGTGTTGGCAACTAAGGGACCAAGTAAATTGTTGAGCCATTCAAAAATGGTTTGAGAAATTACACTGGGACAGCAACAGCTTCAGGTCACTTCGGGTACCATAATCACTACAGTAGTTCTTCTGGAGCAAAAATAAAAAAGGAGGCATTGCAGATGGATGGAATAGGCAAAAAGCTTTTCTATTTCAGGACATTAAGTTCATTGAGTTTGGTCTTCCTTTCCCCCTAATATTTGCTTGGATTTATTAATTTTGGATAAGCATTTCAAATGATTACAATCTGTTAGAAAAAAAAAACTTAAACAAAAAAAAAAAACTATACATATTCCCATAGACTTTAATGTAAAGAATTTTAAATGTAGATAATTTGAAAACATTTTCTAACAGATTGTGATCATTTGAAAAATCTTAATGTTAAACCGGGGGCATTTTTTTTTTTTTTTATAATTGTTGCAGAGTAATGGCTGCACCTGTTTTATTGGATCACTTTGTTACATACTCTGATGATGGTGTGGGGCAAATTATCCCTCTGAAATAATGACTGGCCAGTTTTTATATGCATCTATTTTTTTTTTATGCATACGGTTTAATGTGCACATCTGCATTGATGTATTTATGTTAGAAGTTATTTGCAAAAATATTTCATTGATACCATAATTCTTTGTATACTTGACAAGACAACAGTCTGCTCGCTTGGATGTTGACTTACAAAACATACAGAATTTACTATATCGCTTTTCATATCACTTTTTGTGCACATAATGATGACATGCACCTGTGCTTTCTTAATCTGTAGAACACCCTTAGAGAAACATTTTTTTCCATGTACGTCTACATCACACTTTTTACTGTGACACGTTAGAATATTTTTTTTGTCTTCCTTCCTCATTGTAACGCTCATCAGTTAAAGTCCTCCCATTTCTATTCATTGCTGGGTCACAGTTGCAGCAGCAACAACACAGTACTTCCTTACAGCATTCTGGGACATGGAGCAAGCTATATTTCGAAAGCGATCCCAGCAGGGTTCCGAGGATTCCAACTACCCTGAGGTGTTTTGGAGTTCAGAGCCTGGATATGTAAGTCTGTCTCAAAGAATGACATACCTTTAACTTACTTCCTATGCAGATTGCTGTGTGAACAAACCTAACGTGTGGTTTGTCTAAAATGTCACTTTAACCACCAGTTGTCACAGATATCTCTGTTCAGGATGTGGAATAAACACAAGGGGTCTACGTGAATAGCATCATTTATCTTTGTGCCTTCTTCACCTGCATGCTAGCTCCCCACCTACAAGTACATACTATATTTACACGACATTATTTGCATGTTTTCTTATCTCACAGCCTTTGTGCTCGAGTGTCATACGTTGCTCTGACTCTGGTAATAAAAAAAACAACTTTCTTAGCTTTAATTACTTGCATGCAAACTATCCTTTGTTTTTGTGTAAAGTATTCGCGTAATGCAATGGGAACCTTAAAAGTGGCAGTTTTTGACAATTCGTTTCTACTTTTTCATCACTCTCATTTGTACCCGTGGACTGACTGAATCTAGAACAGATTGATGATACTTTTTATATATCACTTTTCGTTCACACAGTCTCAGAGACAGAGTCTCAGATTTTAACTAGATCTGCAGCTAATTAACAAATGTTACTAACAGTCACAGAATATGGTAGAACGCAAAATCTTATAATTTCATGGGTCAGTGTATATACATAGATATCATTGTAATAATAATCAGGGAAACAATTACAGGTACTATAGGAGTAGCAAGCACAATATTGCTAATGCCACCTGAAATACTAGTGTAAATCCAAGTATTTCAGGTGATGTTAGCCATTTCTATAGTTCTATATGCCTGTATTCTTATTAATGTTTAAATCAAAGTAGGTGCGCATAATATGTGCTTTGAGGCTTAATATAATCAAAGCACCAAAATCATTATAACACACTGTAGAGGTTATGGTTCCAGGAGTCCCCTGGCAACAGTATTCAAATGTTCTCCCTGACACTCACCCGAGTCGCCTATGGTCCTTCCATACATCTTTGATTTCACTAAAGCTGCAGTTTCCATTCTGCTTTAGCAGTATGTAACTTGTCCCTATTTGGCAATCTTGCCAAAATGTATTGACTCACAGAATGGAATCACAAAAGACTAGAAGGATGACTGGTACCCAGGGGAGCCAGGTAAATATTAAACTGTTTGAAAACAGTTTGACTTCTTACTCTGGGCCTGCTCCAGGAACTACTGGTACCATAATCACGACAGAACACTGTAATTACTTAGAATGCAGCTTTAAACATGTGTTACAGACACCTAAAAGATGATTATTTATGCACTCTTTTGTTTTCATCGTTTATATGTAACTAGTGTGAGGACATGTACAGCCTGCAACAGAAAGTTATAATTTCCCTTTTTCGAGACCTTATATATATATATAAAAAAAGATTATGTTGAGCCTGTCTGAATTGTTCCCTGTGACCATGAGGTTTGAATGGGATATACAGTTAGTGCATCTAACTCACTGGTTTAAAATATGGATTATGACAGTTCATTTGTGAATCATTTCAGATAAAGTCAGAATGTTCTAACTACAAAACATTAAGGATAATTCGTATTCGGGAAATGTCTATTCCTGGTATGAAATGTGAAATGTGCTAGATTAGTGCATTAACCTGTAAAGCATTTTTTTCATTGGTGATGATAGATGATGATGATAGATAGTCAGACAGACAGACACATACATAAATACATACACATAGATATGGTTTGTTTGTCTTTCGTCCTGTAAGCACTGATGGATGTCCATATTTTAAGGCACGGAAACAAAAAACTCTTGTAGAACAGCAAGTTCTTTGTAGCTCACTCATAGTTGAACAAATGTTTCACTTATTTTAGACACAACTTGTGGGAGCTTATTAAGGCATTCAGTAATGTAATTCATATAATTTTGGTTAGCATTGCTAAATGTCAGCTGTAGAGTCTGCAAAGTTTAGTGTAAAAGATGTACAGGTTTTTCATTCTGGTTAATTAACCTCTATTCTGGTTAAACCAGTTGTGTTTCCCGAGTATTCTATAGACCTTTGTCAGATTATCTCAGTGTTTTAACCTCTGGTCACAGCTTGATATGCCATGCATGACCTTCGCTTACTGGATTCTTCAGTAATTTCATCAAGAGAGGCTGGATGAGAGCATGAAAACCTCAATAACACGAACTAATCTGGATAAGGCAATGACATCAAATTAGCATATATTACTAAATGCAACAACATATTAAAATTTAATTATCCATGGCTGTTTTTCCTTTTACCCTGGGAATTGTCTTGCTCACACAGGCCCCCTATCATAGAGTCTTTACATTTCTTGAAAGAATTAAAAACATCTTATAAAAAACATGCTATTGTTCCTTTAAGATTTTTTATTAATACTTTTTTTTTATCTGTTTATGGGATACAATTGACTCATAATATGCATCTGTCTGTACAATAATAATTCAGGTTTAAACCATTGACTTCTAACCCTTTGGAAGTATGACAATGTATTACTCTGTTAAATGCAGTGCTTTCTAATATAATATTGTCTCTTTAAAAATCTTGAGGCCACTTGAACTCCAGATATTCCACTATCACCATAAGGAACCAGTAGTTGACTTTTATTCAACTCAAAATAAATGCTGAGTATTAATGTTTTCTGATTAGACACCTTAATCATGGATGGTGTTGACATGTAAACCATTACATTTATGGATACATTTTTTTTCTTGACCATGTCTTTAAAGGCTCTGGGCTTAAACTTTTTTTCACTGCTTAGTCTACATTAGACTTCAGATATTGGAACACCTGCTTGTGAAAGTTCACTTTGTAATTGAATGCTAATTTATTGGCTGCTCATTACATGTGTGCTTCATCTGGCATACTTAATAGATTCTAAACTTTGAAAATGTTACTTTAATTATAATTGATAATTCTGTTTTCTTTTAGTTAAGATCATGAGATATACTGTCATGTTAAGTTTTGTTTATTTATACATTTTGGAATTGTAATAATTTGAAAAACATAGTAGCCTGTTTGGATAAATTGTCAAAGAGGAGAATATTTATTTCCCTGTCTTAAATGCGATATTGCTAACCTCCATGCTTGTATTACCTTGTAAGCTACAACACCATGTTCCTTCTCATTAACAATCTATAGCCACTCTGATGCAGCCTGCTATTTAATAGTCTTATTAGTGCAGATAAATAGCATCGTATCTGTATGTACATACCCCAAAACCCTCTCTGGTTACCCTGACGCAACTAGCGTAATAATGTAGCAAACCACAGAGGAATATTGGGATACGGTTGTATAAATCTAAAACAAAGGGAAATAAACAAAGAATAGTGCAATACAGTAAAAGCAATGTATTATGCGCCATATGAAATGCACTCACGAGATGGTGACGAAAACAGCGCTCACAGGGTGCCTCCCCCAAAGTAGTTGGGGGGCTATTAATCCCACTTTCCACTCCACGAGCAGCAGATAATTAGAACAGGACTCCAGATGGTAGAAAGTAAAAAGGATGATTTATTATAAAAAGGTGAACAAACACCATAAATATAGATGTAAATATAAAAGAAAAGTCGGTCCTACGTGTTTCGTTCCTGGCGGAACTTCCTCAGGGACCACAATAATATAAAAAAAAATATATATATTTATGGTGTTTGTTCATCTTTTTATAATAAATCATCCCAGACCCTCCATGTGTCTCATTCCCACCTCCAGACCCTCAATGTGTTTCATTCTCTGCCTTCAAGACTCTCCATGTGTCACATTCCCCACTCTAAGCAAACACCTCCATGTGTCCCATCTCACCCAGTCCCTCCATGTGACTCATTCCTCACTCCAGTAAAGCCCCTCCACGTATCCAATCCTTCCAAGGAAGCCCCTCCATATGTCCAATTCCCTGAAGCCCCTCTGTGTGCCTCAACACCCAAGTAAGCTACTCCGTGTGTCTCATTTCTCCCCACAAGCAATCCCCTCCGTGTTTCCCATTCCCCTCTCAAGCTTCTCCATGTGTCCCATTCCCTCCAGACCCTCCATGTTTCCCTTTCTATCCCCCACAGTGGCTTCATGTGTCCCATTCTATCCCACCCAGCCCCTTCATGTGTTCCATTCTATTCCATTTCCACTGCTGCGGTGCCACCGATCAGACAGGAAGTGCTCTTTTAGTGAGCACTTCCTGTAAGACCACTCGCTACATGCAGGGCAGGAGGGGTGCAGCACATCCCATCGCTTCCTTCCGGCCCTAAAGGTTTGCAGGCGGTCATGATCACAGCGGCATCCTGGCCTCCTAGAGTGATGGGCCCAATCCCTGCTGCGGCCCCTGTGACTTTGGTAGTTACGCCACTGGTGGTGTGTACTTTTGCAAAAAGTGCAGTACTTCTTTACCTGTTCTCTACTTATGTCTTTCTCACATCCCTGCAAGGGTTGAACACTGCTAATGCCTCTGCGTAGGTGAAAAAAACAAAAAAAAAACAATTTACATAAAAACCCCACCTGCCTAATATTATGTCACCCTCGCCCTGCAAAAACAGCTCTGATGCTTTGAGGCATGGACTCCAGAAGATCTCGTAATGTGTCCTGTGGTATATTACACATAAAACCATAAAATGCACAACCTAAAAATACAAAGGGAGACCAATAGTGCAGACAAAAATAACTAAATATTAAAAATAAAAAAATATAAAACACTCACAAACATAGAAGTAAAAAGGCAGGGTATAGCCAAATTTCTTCAAATGCTTCTTCTTCTTCTTCTTCTTGTGTATGAAGATGAATACTTAAAACAGAGCACAGAAGAAAAACATAGTGTATAACTGTATGGTATTAGAAAATATGCTTTATTGGATACACTTACAAGATAAAAGAAGTAAAAGGGCTCATCAATTTGAATCACATCCACTGTCTGCCATCCCAAATAAATACAACGCCAGAGGAAGAGGACAAAGTGAATACAAAGAGTCCAGAATAAAAAATATTGAATTGTAAAAATAAAGCTTGCCGCCCTACGCGTTTCGTCTACAAGACTTCGTCAGGGGCTTGTGGCACAAATATACCATACATATACAATAACATATAAATACCCTGCCTTACAATATTAACCAATCGCTAAACAAAATTATTAATCTAGTCCACCTGAAGATCCTTTTCGGCCGTGTTCTCTTTTTCGCGCTTCTTGAGAGCGCTTGCGTCCCAAGCCTCATTCTCAGGGGTACCGACAAAAGCCGCCGGTCCCCTTTCGGAACGTCATTTCCGGTCGCCGCCGGAAGTAGTCATAAGTCCGACCGAGAAAAGTCGCTCTTTGGAACGCAAATGCGTTCCACTTCGGATAAACCGGCAATGCAAGTTCCAAACATGCGATAAACATAAAGTTACAGAACAAAAAAGAAAAAAACGATTTAAGATCCTCATATTAAACAAATAGAAATAATGATCAGAATAAATGAATAAAAAAATGTGAATAAAAAAATGATGAAATAAATAAATAAAGAATGAATAAATAAATAAAATGAATGAATAAATAAAAACATTAATGAAACAAAATTAAAATAAAATAAAAGAAAAAGAAATAAAATAAAATAAAATAAAAAATAAAAAATAAATAAATAAAAAATAAGTTATTAACTCACTCTGTCCCTGTTCACTGTAATAGGTGTCAAAATTTCAATCCCAATACTTTTTTATATACTGGGATTGAAAAGGTGTTTTTGGACGAAAGAGGTGGTGATTTACTATTAAAATTAAGACAAAGAGAAGGTTACTGGATTCACACACTAAAAACAATGCAACCTGATGGTATGAACGTTGATTTTGATATGGCATGTTTCTTATAAATATTTTTACATTTTTTAACAGGTTTTAATTTTATTTTTATTTTTATTTTTATTTATTTTTATTTTTATCTTTATTTTTATTTTTATTTTTCATTTATTTATTATTATTATTTATTTATTTTTTATTTTTTATTTTTTATTTTATTTTATTTTATTTCTTTTTATTTTATTTTATTTTAATTTTGTTTCATTAATGTTTTTATTTATTCATTCATTTTATTTATTTATTCATTCTTTATTTATTTATTTCATCATTTTTTTTATTCACATTTTTTTATTCATTTATTCTGATCATTATTTCTATTTGTTTAATATGAGGATCTTAAATCGTTTTTTTCTTTTTTGTTCTGTAACTTTATGTTTATCGCATGTTTGGAACTTGCATTGCCGGTTTATCCGAAGTGGAACGCATTTGCGTTCCAAAGAGCGACTTTTCTCGGTCGGACTTATGACTACTTCCGGCGGCGACCGGAAATGACGTTCCGAAAGGGGACCGGCGGCTTTTGCCGGTACCCCTGAGAATGAGGCTTGGGACGCAAGCGCTCTCAAGAAGCACGAAAAAGAGAACACGGCCGAAAAGGATCTTCAGGTGGACTAGATTAATAATTTTGTTTAGCGATTGGTTAATATTGTAAGGCAGGGTATTTATATGTTATTGTATATGTATGGTATATTTGTGCCACAAGCCCCTGACGAAGTCTTGTAGACGAAACGCGTAGGGTGGCAAGCTTTATTTTTACAATTCAATATTTTTTATTCTGGACTCTTTGTATTCACTTTGTCCTCTTCCTCTGGCGTTGTATTTATTTGGGATGGCAGACAGTGGATGTGATTCAAATTGATGAGCCCTTTTACTTCTTTTATCTTGTAAGTGTATCCAATAAAGCAAATTTTCTAATACCATACAGTTATACACTATGTTTTTCTTCTGTGCTCTGTTTTAAGTATTCATCTTCATACACAAGAAGAAGAAGAAGCATTTGAAGAAATTTGGCTATACCCTGCCTTTTTACTTCTATGTTTGTGAGTGTTTTATATTTTTTTATTTTTAATATTTAGTTATTTTTGTCTGCACTATTGGTCTCCCTTTGTATTTTTAGGTTGTGCATTTTATGGTTTTATGTGTAATATATTGAAGACATTGAGGAGTCTTCGCACTTCCTATTGTTGGGTATTTATATAATATTTATATTTATATTTTACCTTTTTTAGCCACACAGGGTTTTTTTGCATATCTTGTGCAAATCACTTTTTGTTTTATATTTATATTCCTGTGGTATATGGCACCAAGAGATTAGCAGCAAACCCTTTAAGTCCTACAAGTTGTGAGGTGGGGCCTCCATGCATTGGACTTGTTGTTCCAGGACATCCCACAGATGCTCAGTCAGATTGAGATCAGTTGAATTTGGAGGCCAAGGCAACATATTGAACTCTTTGTCATATACCTTAAATTATTCCTGAACAAGCTTTGCAGTGTGGTATGCTGCATTATGCTGCTGAAAGAGGACACTTCCATTAGGGAACATCATTGCCACAGTGGTACGGAATTTGATGGCGCTATATAAATAATAATAAAATAATAATAATAATAATAATAATAATAATACATGGGCTGCAACAATCTCTAGGTATGGGGTACATGTCAAACTGACATCCACATGAATGGCAGGACCCACGTTTTCCCAGCAACACTGACTCTAATTGCTTCCTATAGTGCATCCTGCTGCTATCTGTTCCCCAGGTAAACTATGCACACACACCCAACCATATCCCTGATCAAAAAGAAAATGTGATTCATCAGACCAGACAACTTTCTTCCATTGCTCAATGGTTCAGTTCTGATACTCACATCCCCATTGACGGCTTATTCAATGGTGGACTGGGGTCATCATGGACAGTCTGACTGGTTTGCGGCTAGAGATCCCCATACACAGCTATTGCTATTCACTGAGTGTTCTGACACCTTTCTATAATGGACAGCATTACGTTTTCATCAGTTTGAGCTACAGTAGCTCTTCTGTGTGATCAGACCTGACAGGCTTGCTTTCACTCCTCAAGTGCATCAAGGAGCATTGAGAGTCTACGACCCTAGTGCTAGTTCATTGGTTGTCCTTCCTTGCACCATTTGATATTTACTAACTACTGTATACCAGGAACATCCCACAAGACTTGCTATTTTGGAGATGCTCTGTCCCAGTTGTCTAGCCATCACTATTTGTATGTGTCAAAGTCACTCAGATCTTTCTGCTTTCCCATTTGCCCTGCTTCCAACTCATGAAATTCAAGAACTGACTGTTCACTTGATGCCTTTTTTATTATTATTATTATTTTATTATTTATATGGCGCCAGCAAATTCCGTAGCGCTGTACAATGGGTGGACTAACAGACACGTAATTGTAACCAGACTAATGGACACACAGGAACAGAGGGGTTGAGGGCCCTGCTCAATGAGCTTACGTGCTAGAGGGAGTGGGATATAGTGACACAAAGGGTATAAGTAGGGGTAATGAAATAGGTTGCTAGAAAAGTAATCACTGAGAACTTAGTAGGTTATTTTGACAGTTGCAGGAGAGTAGTCATGGGAGGAGGAGGGGGGGAATGAAAACCCGCTAACAGTTTAAATGATATGCTTTCATGAAGAAGTGTGTCTTCAAAGATTTTTTGAAGGAGTGGAGACTGGGTGAAAGTCTAACGGAGAAGGGAAGGGTGTTCCATGGAAAAGGTGCAGCCCTGGAGAGGTCTTGGAAGCGAGCAATAGATGTGGGAGTATAGACAGATGATAGGCGTAGGTCTTCGGCAGAGCGCAGGGGCCTTGACGGGACATATTTGTGTATTAGGGAGAATAGGTAGGTTGGAGCAGCATTATGTAGGGACTTGTAAGCAAGCACCAGAATCTTAATTTGAGCCCTATATCTAACTGGAAGCTAATGTAGGGACTGACAGAGGGGGGAGGCGTGGGAGGTGCGGCGGACAGGAAAATGAGCCTTGCCGCCACATTCATTATAGATTGCAGCAGTGCAATCTCGGAACACGTAAGACCACTGAGAATGGGATTGCAGTAGTCAAGGCGAGAAAGAATGCTTTATGAATGCTATTTTATTTTATTCCTCCAGCATAGTCATCTATCTTCACATAATAGTTAGTTTACAAAATGCATATCCAGCTGAAAACATGTTTCAATTTAATTGGAAATTAGAAACAACATTATGATTGGAGGTAGAGTTATTATAAACACCTTATAAGCAGGCAGTTGTAGTAGAGACAACAAGAAAAGAGTTGGAGTAGAGAGTCTTACAATGTGGCTGTTTTGGTCAAAGGGTTTGCAACTTGGTTGGCAATTCACCACAACTCCCTGTTCAATGAATAAACTCCCAGTATTTTAAGTATGCAAATCATCAGAATATAGAGCATCTTATGTACTACATAAATGCAAAGATAAAGACATAAACTACTGGATGTTATGTGGATTTATTACATAATTTTCATGTGCCACACATACATGACATAAAAGAAAACAGTCATTGGAATCACAATTACGAGAGTAGAGTCAGATCCCTGTTTCACTTTTAAGAATCGTCTTAGACACTTACTTGTAAGAATAAAACAAGGTATGAGCTATAGGGTTGCTTGTAGTCTATTTTCATTATACTGAATTGTATTTTAGTACAAAATCTATCTAATTTAACTGATTGTAGATTAGCGCTGTTGCTGCCCCTCTTCTACATGAACACATCCATCCCCGATTGTCGTTGTTTGCAAATCAAGTTTCCTTCTTAAAGTGTTCTTACAACCCTGACACCACAAACCTACTCTACATACAAACTTTATATAATAATAATAATAAAAGCAGCAAGATTGATCACTTCTGATGATGATGATTCTAAAGTGATTTTATAAGTTTAACGTTTAAGAGACTGTAATCAGTAGGTTAAATTGTAATGTGACAAAAGGAAATTAGAACTTTTAGAATAAATGTGAAGTAGGACTTTGTGGTCATTTTGTATGGCCAAGCCTGTGTTACTTTTCTAGAAATATCAATTTTGGTTTGTTGACTTAGTTTCTATATCTCATTGTCTCTTAGATATGTGACTCTTCAGAGGAGCAAAGTCCCTTTTCCTTGAGCAGCTCATCATCTTGTAGCAGCTTATTCAATCCAATCAGCGATGAGACAATACAGGATCCTGATCTTCCATTGCAGAAACTCAATTATACCAAGTCTATGATCTTGTCTCATTCCCGTGGACCAAGGGTAAATCACTACAGCTATCAATCTAATTTGAGATATCCATGAGTCCATACGCTATAACGGTAATGGGCAACCACAACTTTCCAGCTGTTTAATTACAGCTTCTATTACACCCAGCCATTCATATATTGGACGTTGGTAATTGTAGATTTAGTCCCACTGGAGTACTCCAGTTGCTTACCTCTGTTATGAAGTTTTGTAGTCGAATTATGGAAATTTGGAAACACTGTTTCTTTTGTAGTTTTTCACATAATTAAGAATGCCAGGTGACAAATACAGTATTAAGTATTCATTTGTGATTCATTTGTCTTTTCATTGACCATTTTATTTATGTATGTGTTATAAATTAAATGTAGATTAATTCTTCATTGTAGTCAACCAAATGCCCAACTTTTACTCCAAGTCTGTAAGGAGGGGGTATGGGAACTTATTTGAGAACTGCTAATATGAAAAGTAATCCCCTTTTGGAGGGATTTATGTTGGAATTCATTGATATTTAATTATTTTTGAATGATTCTTTAATGACTGAAAAAATGTACAGATTTGCTTTTATTGCAGAAAAAGTAGACACACACTAATGACCTGGAATTTGCATTGTGCAGACTTTTTGAGTGATTCACAAGAGTAGTCCATATTTTTTCTGAAGTACTTGGGGTTTTCCAGCCATAGAGTTTACTTATTAAATCATGGTGGGTGCTGTGTTTATGACAGACCTACAAAATTAAGGCCAAAAATAGCAGAGCTGAAAATATAAAATATAAACCCTAACGTCTGAGTCTGAGTTTGACAAAAATTTGAATCAACTCCCTGTCTATTGAATAAACCCAATATTTATCACAATGGTCTTGTGGAATAGATACATTTGGTAAAATTGCTTCTAAAAGGGACACTATAGTCACCAGAACCACTATAGATTAAGGAAGGACACACCCTCTGTTCTACCACCATCTTACAGTCACTGAGAGCTTTGGTAGGGGATGTAGTTTGTGTTTGTAAGGGATGTAATGTGTGTTTAGGGAATGTAGTGTATGTGTATAGGTAATGCAATGCTTGTAGGGCATGTAGTTTGTATACTGGATGCAGTCAGTGGTGTATTTTGAATATGTGCTGCCCTAGGCATGACTGAACTCAGGTACCCCCTAATTTAAATTTCCCCACCCCTTTCGGTCAAGGCCACACCCCTTCCTTTTAAAGACTAACACATGCTTTGACTGACATACACACAGACACACCCACTCTCTGACCGGCACACACTCTCAGATGCACTGACATACACTCACTGGCAGACACACATCCTCACACACTCACTGATTTGACACAATCTGGCAGACACACATAATTACTGATTTGACACAATTCGACAGACACACACAGTCACTCAGACATGCACTGACACACGCAATGAAAGACACGCACACAATCACTGACAGACAATCATTCACTGACAGGCACACACTGATAGACATGCACACACATTCTCTGACAGACACACACATTGACAGACACACACACATTCACTGACAGACACACACAAACTCACTCACAAAAACACACACACTATCTCACAGAAACACATTCACTGACAAAAAAACTCACTGACAGACACACTCACAGATATAAACACACATCCACTGACAGACAGACACAAACACAATCTGACACACACACTGACAAACAAACACACACTGACATACAAACACACTCAGACACACACAAACTGAGAGACAGACATACACACACACACACACACACAGAAACTAACATACACACACACACACACATTTATTAACAGACAAACAAACTCACTGACAGATACACTCACTCAGACACACTGACAGATATAACAACACATTTACTGACAGACAAACACACACACACTGACAGACTGACACACACTGACACACACACACACATACACATACACACACACACAGACTGACATACTGAGAGACTGACACACACATTTCCCCCCAACATTTACAAATAATTATTTACTTTTATTTTAGTTTAAATCCACCCAGATTTTTACCTGGGGTGCAGTGAGGCAGCTGGGCTGGCCGCTGGGCAGGCAGGCATACAGGATGAAGGTCAGACACACTGACTGATATAACAACACATTTACTGACAGACAAACACACACACACTGACAGACTGACACACACTGACACAAACACACACACACACACACACACACAGACTGACATACTGAGAGACTGACACACACATTTCCCACCAACATTTACAAATAATTATTTACTTTTATTTTAATTTAAATCCACCCAGATTTTTACCTGGGATGCAGTGAGGCAGCTGGGCTGGCCGCTGGGCAGGCAGGCATACAGGATGAAGGTCAGACAGGTGTGGAGGATGGAGGGCGGGCAGGCAAGAGGGGTAGTGGGTGCGCAAAATAGGCAGTTGGGAGCTTTGATCATCCTGTTCAGCTACCTTGCACGCTGCTTAGTGAGGCCGGATGCCAGAGTGACGTTACATTCAGGCTCCCAGCATCACTGCAGGTCTTGCCTGTTAAATAAACTGTCCAGGCGCCCTGGGGGGCTCAAGGGTGGCCAGCCGGCCAACTCTTGGGCCCCCCACACGTCAAGGCAAACAAGATATTTGCCAGGGCACTTGGGGGGCGACGTTTTTTGCCACTCCCTGGAAAGTGCCGCCCAAGGCAAATGCCTTGTTTGCCTTGTGCTAAATATAGAGCTGCATGCAATGTGTGTATGTATAAGGGATGTGGTGTGTGTGTAAGGAATGCAGTTTGTATAGGTTATGAAGTGTGTCTGTTTGTAAGGAATGTAGTGTGTGTGTGTGTGTATAGTGGATGCAGTATACATATTGTAAGCTTGTTTGGGCAGGGCCCTCTTCACCCAGTTTTCCTGTATGTTATAAATGTTTTGTTAGAATTGAATGTCTGTTTTGTTTCCTGTTGTACAGCACTATGGAATATGATGGCACTATATAAATAATTGTAATTTTGTGTGTAAGAGATGTGGTGTGGATGCAGCTCCTTGCCACCTCTATTGCCCACCCAGCTGCCCAGCAGCCTGCACAGCAGCCAGTCTAGCATTCTCATTGAACCCCAGAGAAAGAATCCACTCCAGCTCTCCGAAAGGTATGGAGGCTGGGTGGACTTAAATTACAATTTAAAAAAAAAAAAAAAAATTTGCTACTGTATGAAAATTTTTTATGTAAGTGTGTCTGTATCTGTGTGATTGTGTCTGTTAGTGAATGTGTGTTTGTCTGTCAGTGAATGTGTTTGTCAGTTAGTGTGTGTGTGTATCTGTCTGTGTGTGAATGTGTCTGTCAGTGAATGTGTGTCTGTCAGTGTGTGTGTGTCTGTCTGTCAGGAGTGTGTATCTGTCAGTGAGTGTGTGTGTGTGTGTGTACCTGTCAGTGAGTGTGTGTGTGTGTGTGTGTGTGTCTGTCTGTTAGTTAGTGTGTATGTCTGTCAGGAGTGTGTGTGTATGTGTTTCTGTCAGTGAATGTGTGTATGTGTGTGTCTGTCAGTTATTGTGTGTCTGTCAGTGAATGTGTGTGTGTGTGTGTGCCTGTCAGTGAATATGTGTGTGTCTGTCACTGTGTCTGTGAGTGAATGTGTGTGTCTTTCAGAGTGTCAAATCAGTGAGCATGTGTGTGTCTGTGTGTGTCAGTGTGTATCTGAGAGTGGGTGCCTGTCATTGTGTGTCTGTCTGTTAGTGAAAGTGTGTGTTGGTTAAACCCTGTGTTTTACAATGACTGTGTATCTGCCAATGAGTGTATGTCAGTGCATGTACCAGTGAAGGAGTGTGTCTGACAGTCAAAGTGCTTGTTGCTCTTAAGAAGGAATAGGTATGGACATGACAAGAAGGGGTTAGTCAAATTTAAATTAAGGGGGTGTAGATTAGGGGTGTGTGTAAGTGATACAGAATGTGTGTATGAAGGATGCAGTGTGTGTGTGTGTGTGTAAGGGGTGTAGTGTGTGTGTGTAAGGGATGTAATATGTGTGTAAGGGATGCAGTTTGTGTGTATGGAGAACACAGTGTGTTTTTGTGTGTAATGGATGCAGTGTGTGTGTATAGAAGAGGACGTGTGCGTGTGTCTGTCTGGGATAGGGTGGGATAGGAGCTGCTATCTGTGGGGAGTATCATGAGTAGGTTGTCACACCCTGATGGTGGCCCTGAGTAGCTCTGGTGTCTATAGCATGTGGGAAAGCATTGGATTGGCTAAAATCATCATGATTGATTACCTCAGTTTTGGAGGCAAGGTGGGGCCAGCAGACTGGCATAGCAGTGGATTACTCCCTTATCTATTGCCATTAATGCATGGATAAGCTGTTCATGAATGTTTGTTTATTTATATAGCTACACACAAGTGTATGCTTCACTGTAAGGCAGGTGCAGTAGATTTAAAAAACAATGCAACCAAATGTTAAACTCCACTGTAAGAGAAAATATTTTTTTTTTAAAAAGGAGTGTTGTTAAAACAGTCTTCTTTCTTTTATATCCATTTAATAACAAAAACGTATGAAAAAATACTGGCAAATAAACTGTGAAAAATTAACGAAATATGTAAAGAGGGGAAAAGAAAAAAAAAATACATAGCCCATGCCTGGTACTACTGAACGCACTTTGCGTCTGCACATGATGCTTTATCAAGAGTACCAGATGTACAGTTATGGGAGATGCAATGAGTAAACACTGAAACCAATTATTTTAACCTCTACTATCTGGACAAGAGAAGATACATGAACGCTTCTTAGTTCACATGATAATTCTGTCTTTATCAGACTCTACATCGATGCTCTTATTGAGCAGTCCTCAGATATACACTGTGTCACGATTAGCAATGTTCATCTTTTACTTAATCTTTTACAGGGCTTCCACAGGAGAAACCTTTCTCACCACGAGTTTCAAACTTACGGCAATTCAGACCCCTCTACAGACGTACCAAGGATTCCCTTAGTTACAGTCCTGGATGTACCTCATGTAGGTTTCATAAACATTTGCTAATTTGCTGTGTACAACCGCCCAACGTCCATTTAATCACAAATGATAATACATGACAGATTTTTACATCTGCTCAGAATTATTTTTAGATTGATGTAAAGGAAGATAAAAAAGAGACATACTTAAAATGGAAAATCTTAATCAACTGCTGCATTAAATATGTTTCCCAAAATGCCTTTCAAACTCAGTGTTATTCACTAAGGCAAACATGAATATAAACAATTTATAAGCACTTTCTGCATTTTAACCATCAAACAGATTTTTTGAAAAACTATAAATGTGGGCAATTGAGACAGATACACATGGCATCCACTGTGGCATCACAAGTAACGGCATCAGCATGTGTTTTTATTTTTAAACAATACAGTAGTAGATTAGAGAGGGGTCGTTATTTTCATAATGTGAAGAAAGCATGTGGTGAGGATTTCACCTCAATTTACAGTCTTCAATCTTTGCAAGTTCATCTCCACAAAGTATAGAAATCTAATCCATAAACTGTAATGGTGAAAATTGCCATTGATTGAATTGGATGTTCTTACCTGAAAATTGCTCTGCCTCCACCAAGATGTCTGCCACAGTGGATGCCATGTGTATCTGCCTCAATTGCCCATATTTGTAGTTTTTCAAAAAATCTGTTTGATGGTTAATATGCAGCAAGTAAATGTATTTAAATGTATAATCCACACATGCTCTAGCCAATTGTCAAACATAATATATAGATGAAAGAATTCAGAGATGATTACTCCGTAAGGTGGTAGAACCTTATATACACTTCGAGAGCACTTTAAGAGTGAAGTCACTAAGCCCTATAGCAAGGTCACATTTTTCATTAAAGCATGCAAAGACTTGAGGGAAACCATACCGTACTTCTGTCCCTAGTTTATGTTGACAGTCTCAAATTTGGGCTCCAGACCCATTTTTCTAGGTTTGTTCCCTGGTGTCCCACATGATTAGATATCACTAGCATGACACAAAGTGCAATCAAGCCACGGAGCTTAAGGGCAAAGAATTTTACAGCACTGAATGAAACTCTCCGGTGTAATGGACAGTAAACTTGGCTGTGTACCATACAGGCCGATGTACCCCATCTCAACTTCATACTCACCTTGATGGGCAGGATGGTGAACTACCAATTATACAGAACACAATCAACAGTTTAATATGACAATGTATTTCTTAATGAAAAAAAATTTCAGATTTATAGCTTGGAGAAAGTACATTAAGCTTGAATGAGTATGTCACTGGTGTATTAGCTTTAAATCAATTGTTCGGGTTTATGTTTTTATATTGTGCCAATCAAAAAGCTACTTACACCTAGTTTTTCAAAAACGATATTATAAGATGGCTTTTAAATAGACCAGACAGGAGAAAACAGCATGTATTTCAAAATGCGCAGTAGGCTGCTTAGTAAAAAGTCATGGGGCATATAAAAATTGAATTGGTCTCTAATTTTTGAATTTACAAAGCAAAAACATCTTGCACAGAAGGTTACAAGAAAATCGAGTCCAATCATTAAAACCACTCTTATAATCATAAAAAATCTGGGCACAATCTAAATGAGATTTAGATGAGATGAGATTATATGTGGCATGGTTCTGTGTATATGTTGTATTTATGTTTTTTTTTTTTAAATATACCATAATACATTTTAACTTTTATAGTTTGTTATACAGACTCATAGGGACTTTTTCGTGTCCTCTGGGCCTTAGGTCCATAGGCAACTCTATTTTACAATCTAAATTATGGTTTTTTTTTAACATGTTATTGAGTCAGATGAAATATGTGTCTCTGTTTCAGGAGGTTGAAAAGGCTGATCAGTTAAACAAGACGAAGATAGCTGAAGGTGGAAGGAAGCTTAAGTAAGAACTATGATGTAAACTGTGTGTTTGTGTTTCATGCTGCGTTTTTTATATTGCAATGTCCAACTGTCTTCAGAACAGAATAAAAAACGTCATCCTCAAAAAAGGATTGGAATACATATCACTACATTGTTCATTTACATTTTGCTGTGAAATGGACAAATGTGTGAGTTAAAAATAAAACCTTTTATTTTTAGTAAATTCATTAATTTTCTTAATTACACATTATTCATGATTTGTCATATACAGAATGTATATTCTTCAAAGTTTCCAGTTCAAGCTATTTTTATTATCTTGCAAGTTAAACGAATGAGATCATTTTTCTGACAGAGACATTTCCAAAGCTGGTTATACTGACATTTTCCTTACTTTTGCCACCTTTGCCACCAGTCTATGCATGTGGCACAGTGTTCCCATGTGACTTTAGCTTTATTTTGTTGGTCACTCATATGCTCCCTGGGGTGTGTGAGTTTTGGGATGATGATGCTGAAGAAGAAAGCATGAGTCACAAATGTAATGGTTATTTACTAAACTAGAAATTGTGAAGAACTGATAATGGATTGCATGTTTTAAGAAAAAACGACTAACAGCTAGTCTTTGGACTAGAATCAATTGGTTTAGTAAATAAAGTGTAATATCTCTCTGTGACTAAAAAAGAAGAAATATTTCCCTCAGGAAAAACTGGACCTCGTCTCTGGTTGTTCTAACTGGAAATAGTCTGGTGTTCTACAAGGACCCAAAAGTGCAGGCTCCTTCAGGCTGGGTAAGTAACAAATCTAATTGACTTATTCCAAGAACGGCTATCATGCTAGAATACTGAATTTATATTTAGCTCACAATGGTGGACAGAACAAGGCTAGATACATAAATAGCAATTCATTACTGAGTAACCGAAAAGCATTTTTGGTATTCATGTCTCTAGTGCCAGGCACCTTTTTAAAATTAAATGTACAGCAATCTTTTCTATTTTAAACTTTTTAGGGGGAGGAGTTCTCAAATGGATCTTTTAAAGAGCTAGTACAAATTAAATACTTTTTCATTTGTTGAAATCAGAGTGGGAGAGAAAGCCTCATGCCTGGCTACAGGGGAAAGGCAAGCTTTTAAGAATTTTCCTGATTTGCCTGTGTGATTGGCTGTTATCTGAATCTTTATATCGTTTAATTTCAGAAACCTTCTAACAGTAAGCCAGAGAGCAGCGTGGATCTGAGAGGAGCCATCATAGACTGGGCCCAGGAAATGTCCAGTAAAAAGAATGTGATCCATGTAAGTCTCCAGATATGACGTGCTTTAATGTAACCAGTGCATGCGAGATGTTACTGCTTCCTGCTAATTCGATTTTATGGTGTAGAACCTAGTAATTAGTTTATACTACAAAGTGAAACAATAAAACCATTACATCATTGAAGAAGAGGGAACTGGTTTCCTGTAGCATGGAGTCCTGTTGTACCTATTGTACTTCCCCACCATTGTGGAAGTACATAGAAGTACCATAGAAGTTGTATACATTGTAGACAGAAACACACAACACACACCAGTTACTGTTATGTGGTTAATGTATAACTGTCATAGATTACTATAGAACAATATAAGAGTGCTGCAATGCCTATTAATATGCCTATTTAAATACCCAGTGTGGTTTCTTACAATATTGAAATAGATTTTGTCTCGATTATGGTTTCATTACAATGTTTGCCCATTGGGAAAGCAAGGTCCATGTTTACATAGTGTATTCTTTTATGTATGGAGAAGTAATATGAATCAATTTTTCTGAGGATTATACAGCATCAGATTTAACTGCTCTTTACATCCACACTGGAATGAACTAAACCCTGTTCATACGTGTTCTGCAGCTCCGCATGGTGACAGGTAATGAGTACCTTCTGCAGTCTGACAAGGACTCTGTGATCCAGGAGTGGTACTATGCCTTGCAGAGGATCATCGAGCGGCTGGTAAGAGATAAACAGTATATGTGCAGCATATAAACAGCATAGATGTAGCAATTCAGACATCAGACATCGACTGGATCTCATGTAGCCCACTTCAAATAAGTAGGATGCAGTTTATTATCAAGTATAATATAAACTATTGAATTTCAAATCTCTCTGAGCACATGGGGGATCTTTAATAATTACTGTACCCCCAATGACTTATCTGGTGTACTGGTGGTTGGATTCACAAGCAACATAGCCTTTCATCTTTCTAAAATGAGTGCTATTAATTTGTATAATCATACAAACCTACCGTGCATTGAATTTTATTTTTTCTCTAATTTGTTATTATGATGATGATAAGCATCTATGAACTTTTAATAGATGTAAGCTAGTCGACAGCCAATGGTGGTATAGCTGCAGACATGGCCACAAGGGGGAATTTTGAAAATAATGCAATGGAAGTCTTTAGTCTGCAGTTCTTTCCCAGTTGGTTTGTTCTTGCCCTCCATCATTGAATTTTCAAATGTAGTAGAATTTGGTGAGGTCTAAAAGACAGTACAGATCTTTAGTGTCTTTTGAAGCCTCTACCATGAATAACTTGTCACTAGAAACAAATTGTTTCCACAGAACCACATTAACTGAAAATAAGAAATTTTGTGAGACAGGTGGATTTTGGCAAAAAGACAGTTTAGCTCATCTGAATTTAAAAAAAAAGAATCATACAAACCAAAATGGTGTAAAAATGGGCCTATCCGCATACTGAAAAATATATACATAATACGGATTTTTATGTATATATTTTGCAGTACATTTATAGGCCCATTTTGTTCGCAGATCAAGTGAGAAAAGTAACAAATAGTAGGAAACAGAGGAGGGACAGTAAATAGAAATCTATATTTATATATTATATGTTTATTGAATTTAGAATATATGAATATATAATTGCAGGTATTTTTTTTTTTTACTGCTCCACCTTTTTCCCTCTTTCTTGGTCACTTCACTTTATCTGTGAATAAAATCAACATTTAGTGGCTGTTTCCTAGCCATCAATCATCTTTTTTCCCCATTCAATCATCTTTCTTTTTGTTTGAATCACAAGTCAAAACAAACACGCGCATCGATTTTATTAAAGGACACGGAGGCTCTTATTAGGCTTTATCTCTTTCTTTATTCCTCAGCAGCAAAGAAAGGATATTGATATTTTTTAATATAGCAATAACAAAAAGATAAAACAAATACCCTTAAGGGTTAACCATATAACATTCCATATCCATTAACCAATAGGATCAGTCCTTGTACTATATCCCTTCATGTGAGGTAAACTACTTCCTCTTTCTTTGCTGCTGCCTCAGCTAAGTACCACATATTTTTCAGCTCCTCAAATATTGTGTTGTTCAGTTTTCTCCTGATTCATATTATTATTGTTTTCTACTGTTCATTTTAAATATCAGTTTTTCTTTGTCTAATATTCAATTTTTATGTGTATTTGACTACTGTTTGTTTTACTCTGTTTCCCAGTGCAGGGTGCTTGCCTCCTCCCTGAGGCAAGCCCCATCCTGCACTGCCGTTTTCGGGTTGTTTATAACCCGTCCCTCATTCCACTTCCCCGGGTGGGGGTCACTCAGGCATCCTCTCCCCACCCCCCCCGGCCCGGAACGAGCAGTTTCGCCGCCGGACGGGCGGCTGTTTCTTTGGCGGCCGTTTCTGCCGCTCGCGCATGCGCGGTCCGCATTCGCGCATCGCGGCGGCCATCTTAACTGAGGGCAATTTTGCCGCTCTTTTCGCCCGCGGTCCGCGCCACTCTGACAGGGAGGGGCGCGAGCTGATTGGGTGAGGGAAGTGTTGGGCAGCTTACCAGTGTCCCCCAGGAGTCATTCCTGAGGGAACACTCGGTAAGCTGCCATATTATATGTGCCAAAAATACTTTGTGCCTCTTTATAACTGTGCCTGCCTTAAATTTAACTCAAGTGCTCAGCCACTTGCCCTATACTGCTGGTTTTATTAACCTCTGCAGTGCTGAAAGTGTGCATTTTGTCCAATAGTGACGGTTTATTTCAGTGCCTCCCTCTACTGTTACTGTGCACATTCCTGATCACTATGCAGTCCCCTGCTGATAAACAGACAGTTACCCCCCCTCCCACCTCTACTAAACCCAGCAAGCGTGATAAGACAGCCTTGTCTACAGACGCTGCTGTCACTGGGGGAGTTGGGGACACATCCCAAGAGCACGTGAACTCAGAGGAGTTCCAGGCGCTCCTGGATGCCACGATGAGTAGGTCTGTTACACAGGCCATTTTTACCGCCATGGGGGCGATGTCGGACACCCTGTCCCACTCTATTTCCTCTGCTATTAGGGCATCCGGTCACAACCCGGGCTCGGCACCCCCTATATCCACTGATAGCAAGCCTATGGTCCCTAGCGGCCGCAAGGCTACGTGCAAATCGCACCATCTGTCAGGTGCTACCTCCAGAACCAGTAAGACGGACAGGTTGCGCCCTGTTGAAATTGATGACGTGGTGCTCCCACGTAAAAGAGCCCCCCGCCGGGCAAAAACGGTGCGGACTTGGAAGAGGGCAAAAGCCCTATCTGATCCGTCCGACTCCGACTCGGACTCAGAGGAGGTATCAGATGGGTCCGATGACATCGACCCAATTAATTCAGACAATTCGTCCCCCGAACGCAGCGACACCGCGCCTCCAGCTTTAGACGCGGAGCGCGAGACGGATGAGTCCGCTGTATTAGACCCCCAAGGGGAACCCCTTTTTGATCCCGACACCTTGCATAATCCGCGTTCAGCGGAGTGGTACCCCACAACTCATGTGGCCGTTTATATTGCGACTAGGGTCAGAAAACCCCTCGACAAGGCCACAAGAAGCAAACTGAGGGCGGAATGCCCAAGGCCCACTGTCCCAGACATGGCTTGCGTGACCCCTGAAGTGGATCCCAAGGTCGCCCAATTCCTGGGTAAGTCAGGTTGGAGGGCCAAGAAGGGTTTGGACTACTCCTTAAAACACTGCCAGGACAAGATCCTGGACATACTCAGGCCTATAGCTAAAATCTTCGATATGGTCGAAGCGGCCCTTACTGGGGGGACCCCAATTGACTTGATGGCCATCAGAGGCTGGATTCAGAGGGGCATATGCCTAATAGGAAATGCCAACACCGCTTTGGCCACAGAAAGGCGTAAAGCCATATTGATGAAAATCGAGCCAAAACTAGTGCATTTGGCAATCTCTGAGCCTGGAACACAGGCAAAAGGACTCTTATTCGGAGACAATTTTGTTAAGACCCTGGGTAATTACGTAAACACATTTACGGCACTAGATAAGGCACAACATAATATGAAGCGAGTGTTCTCGCAAAAGGTTTTCGGGGGGGCCGGCAGACAGCGGGGCCGTCTGTCCGGCCGCCCCTCCCGGACTCAGTTCCGGGGCTATCGAGGCTCCGCCACACCACGGTTCCACCCACCCGAACCGAGGGCACAATCACCATTCTTCCCGACCAGGGGCAGATCATGGCATCCACGCGGAACCAGGGGATCCTCCTATGGCCGTCGGCCTTATGGTGAGTCACTCCACATTACGCACCTTTCCCTTTGTACCTGTGGGGGGCAGATTGTTTCATTTCCAGGATGCGTGGCACAACCTAACCTCAGATACATGGGTCCTAGAGACCATCCTCGGCTATCACATCGAATTTACACAACAGCCGATTCAACTCTCATTGCCACATCGGATTGTTTTTTCCCCACTAGACAAACAGCTAGTGTTAAAAGAGATTCGCACACTGGAGGAAAAATGTGCGATATACAGGGTTCCCATTACCGCCCCCGGGTTCCTAAGCAACATCTTCCTAGTACCCAAGAAAGGTGGAGGCACGAGGCCAGTAATAAACTTGCGGCCTCTCAACGCCTTTGTCACATACCATCACTTCAAGATGGAAGGAATACACTGCCTCCGAGACCTACTAAGACTGGGAGACTGGATGGTAAAGTTGGACCTCCAGGATGCATACCTCACAATACCGATTGCCGAGGACTGTCAGCAATTACTGCAATTCCAATGGGAACAGACGATGTGGCGTTTCCGCTGCCTCCCTTTCGGCCTGTCTTCAGCCCCGTGGTGCTTCACCAAGCTGCTGAAACCGGTAGTTGCCCTCCTTCGCAGCAGAGGTGTACGTCTGATCATATACCTCGACGACATGCTGATCATGGCTCAAGACACACAGCTACTGAATCAACACCTATTCTGGACAGTGACCCTTTTGCAAAACCTAGGTTTCCTAATCAATTGGGACAAATCGATCCTACAACCTTCACACTCGATAGAGTTTTTGGGCTTCGATATAGACGCAGTACACGGAACGCTCAGTCTTCCTACCGCGAAAGTAAAACTTATCAAGAAGGAAATCCGGAGGACGTTGACTCGACCAGTCTTAACCCTCCGACAGCTAGCCAGGATAATTGGCCTGCTCTCGGCCTCTATACAAGCGATCTTCCCAGGCCCTCTCCACTACAGATCCCTACAACAACTCAAGGCAACTCACCTACGCTTGGGTCACTCCTATTCAGATTCTGTACCTCTAGACTGCGCGGCAAAAGAGGAACTGGCATGGTGGCTTCAACACATGGAAGCATGGAACGGCAAGGCAATCTTCGGCGCCACTCCGGATCTAGTCATAGAATCCGACGCGAGCAGACTGGGATGGGGGGCCCGCTGTGGTCCTACCTCTACAGGTGGAAAATGGTCTTCCGAAGAAAAAGAACTCCACATCAATGGTTTGGAACTCCTGGCTGGGTCATTCGCCCTACGGAGCCTCCTCGGACACACGACCAATTGTTCCATACTCCTGCGCATGGACAATGTCTCAGCCGTCCGCTACATCAACCACTTGGGTGGCACAAGGTCCTCAACCCTCACGAACTTGGCGAAAGAATTCTGGCATTTCTGCCTGAGTCGCAACATATCCGTACAGGCGGAATACCTCCCAGGCCTCTCCAACACCGTAGCGGATTGGCACTCCAGGCATTTACGAGACAACAGTGCATGGCGATTGAATCGCACAGTATTCCAGAAGCTCCACCAACTCTGGGGACCGATGCACATCGACCTTTTTGCCTCCCGACTGAATGCTCAACTCCCCTCATTCTTCAGCTGGAGACCGGACCCAGACGCCACGGCAGTGGATGCCTTCCTACAAAATTGGCCGAACACCAGGCTATACGCCTTCCCCCCTTTCTCACTCATAGCGCGAACTCTCCTACACTTACAGCGCTCCCGAGCATCGTTGGTTTTGATAACACCGTTCTGGACAGCACAGCCATGGTTCCCTTCGCTCATGGAAATGTCAATCGACCTCCCCAGATTGATTCCAGGGAGCACGGAATTATTATCAGACCCCGATGGGAACTCTCATCCACTTCTGGTGCAAGGTCATCTCAGACTCCTCACATGGCTCCTCTCCGGGGACCCTGGACCATGCCGAATGTTTCACAAGCAACTTTGGACTTATTGGCAGGAGCTTGGGCCCCAGGGACAAGACGTTCCTATGCCCATGCCTGGAACACATGGAGTAGTTGGTGCGTGGAACGGCAAGTGGATCCCATACGTGCTCCTATAAACCAGGTTTTGGGTTTCCTTACTACCCTTTATGATCAAGGCTTGGCTTATCGCACCATAAATGTCTACAGGTCAGCGATTTCAGCTGGGCACACTGGTTGGGAAGGTTTCCCGGCTGGGAAGCACTTATGGATCTGTCGTCTCCTACGGGGCATAAAATTTGCACGTCCGCCACAACCTCGTTACACGGCCCTATGGGATGTGAATATGGTCCTTCGTTTGTTGCAAGATTGGCCCCAAACTCGAACCTAACACTCAAACAAGTGTCTGCAAAATTGGCGATGCTTCTATGCTTAATTTCCTGCAAACGGGTATCAGACGTGAGGGCCTTGGATATCGATGCACGATCATTCACACCGGATGGTGTCCTGTTTAATATCACCAGACGTACAAAGTCGAACACCACTTCAGTCTTCTATCCCTCCTTTCCTCACAACGCTAACCTCTGCCCGGTAGCATGCCTGCAGGAATATGAATTACGGACCCAGCCATTCCGGAACCCAAACACACATAATTTATTCTTGGCAGTGAGGAAACCTCATCAACCAGTATCCACGGGAACTCTGACACGTTGGGTGAAATGGATAATGTCAAATGCTAACATCGACACAGCCGCTTACGGAGCACACTCTACCAGAGGCGCTATGGCCTCTAAAGCATTCTCCATTGGATGTAAACTGGAAGACCTCCTCCGCACAGCTGACTGGTCCCGAGAATCGACGTTCAAGGAATACTACTTTAGACCAACAGAACATATCTCATCTAGGGTCATATCACAGCTTTAAACTAGCCTAATAAGAGCCTCCGTGTCCTTTAATAAAATTACCAGATTTTACTAATTACATGACGTAAAGTCACACGGAGGCGAGTATTAGCCCGCCCACTGAAAGGTAAGCCGTACATGCATTTTTTCCCACCCACTCGCTCATAAACAAGTTATGGCATTTTGGATGTTTAGAATCTAAGTTATAAGGTAGTAACTGCAATTTAGACTGATTTATGCTAGAATGTCGCAAGCAATGTTTTTCAGATATAAACGTTTGTCTAAGGACCGGTACAACATATATGCATGACAACGATATTCGAATATATTTTACCATATATCTCTCTGTCTCCTACAGCTTAACCCTGTGATGACATAACCGGGATCGTCCACTATCTCGACATTATTTGGAACATTCGCCGGAACCCCTACGAAAGATTACCCAAGTTTGAGAAAAAATTTTCCCTTGTTGATGTGTTCAGCTTCGGCGTCAGCCAGAAAGAGGAAGTAGTTTACCTCACATGAAGGGATATAGTACAAGGACTGATCCTATTGGTTAATGGATATGGAATGTTATATGGTTAACCCTTAAGGGTATTTGTTTTATCTTTTTGTTATTGCTATATTAAAAAATATCAATATCCTTTCTTTGCTGCTGAGGAATAAAGAAAGAGATAAAGCCTAATACTCGCCTCCGTGTCCTTTATAAAATCATGACTTTACGTCATGTAATTAGTAAAATCTGGTAATTATACGTGTAAAATGCTTCGTGATTTGGCTACATTTCTGAATGGAATGCAACAATTTGAACAATCACCCGACCAGTCCAGATTCGGATGAAGTGCCATTTGGAAAAAAACTAAGTCTACTTGTCGCTGATAGATTACCCACCACTAACACTAGTGTTTCAATCAGCTTTAGCGTTCTGTATGTTTTCACTACGCACTATTCATGTATATATAGGGGCATAGATTCTCGGTATAAAAATACAATTGTGCCTCTTAATAAATTGCTGGTAAGACCACACCTTGAATGTACTGTGCAATTTTGGGCAAGTGTTCTAAAGAAGGATATCATGGCACTAGAAAAAGGACAGAGACGAGTTACAAAATTGATAAAAGTAATGGAGCATTTTAGTTATGAAGAAAAGTTAAAAAATTTAAATCTCTTTAGTTTGGAAAAATGGTGCCTCAGAAGGGATATGATAACATTATACAAATATATATTTTGGACCAGTACAAACCATTATCTGGAAATCTATTCATAAACAAGGCTATTCATAGGACACGAGGACACACATTTAGGCTGGAAGAAAGGAGATTTAGTATAAGGCAAAGAAAAGGTTTTTTTACAGTAAGTATTATAAGGATGTGGAATCTCTGCCTGAAGAGGTGGTTTTATCAGAGTCCATACAGATGTTTAAACAGCAATTGGATAAATACTTGCAAAAACATAACACACAGGAATATAATTGTTAATTAGTGGAGTAATAACTTCTTGATCCAAAGAGACATCTGACTGTCATTTTGGGGTCAAGAAGGAATTTTTTCCTAGTTTGTTGCTAAATTGGCAGTACTTCAGACAGGGTTTTTTTTGCCTTCTTTTGGATTGTACCGGCACCCCCAGGAATAAAAGGGTTAAACCGCTGTTTAGTAGATCTTCCCTTCCAGAGACACAGGCGCAGGTACTGTAGAACACCAAACTCCCAAACTGAATACAAGGGAGTGCTCCAAACTTCCGAACTGCATACAAAGTAGCACTCCAAACTCCCAAACTGGAACCTCACGAATAGCTGCTAGCAGACGAACAGGAAAAGCACCCAAGCGGCTTACACTACTGGCAATCAGTTTCTAACAGTATACAGCAAAGACGAGACAGAGCTCCGTGTTGGGCGTCAAGCAGTGGTCTGGTTTTAATGGGGCTACCTGCCTGGTATTTATGCAGGTCTTCCATCTGGTGGACACTCCCCTTGGGGACCAGATGGAAGACTGGGACACAAATGGTAAAACGACCAATCACAGGCATACAGGGTTAAAACACTCCCACAGTACATTACAATCCCTCTCCTCTATCCTGGAGATAACTGGGAAGTAATCCAATTATTTCCAAGGACAGACGCAAAACTGCATTAACCACATGGTTACAATAAAACACTAGAATACAATAAAATACATAATGTTACATTTGTCACATAAAATATATACATGTAACCCATCCCCAGATAGCTGCGATCTCAGCGCACAAAAGTACCGAATAGCGCTCAGATCCTATGCACACAGTCTAATTGCCGTGGAGTCAAAGTGTTCACAAAGATTGTTCTCAATTCAAATAGACTCTACGGGATAGCTATCTTGGGTATGGCTTATTTGTGGACACAATGCTGAATACAGGGACGTTCGTGAGTTTTTACCGAAGGAGAAGGGAGGTAGGCGGCTTCAGCGGTGTTCGTGACAAATAGTGTCCGTTTTGAGTTCCATGTGTTTGGGCGCTGAAACCCCTGGCCGTTCGGGACTATAAAATGGCCGCCGGCACGTGTTCGGCAAACGAACAAAGGCCACCCAGCATTCTGGGAGGTAAATTGCCGACACACTCCCAATACAGGTGGTCCAGTCATTCGGTTGTTTGTTTGGTAGATTGAATCTACCAAACGCCAGGCAGAAAGGCACGAACAAGCCTTTTTTGCAGGGGAAAAGAAGGCTTTTTAACATGGGGCCATAGTCCAAGGGCAACAGGCGAGCAACCAGGCTTCTACAATGCTTTGTGCTTTGTGGTTTCGCCACATCGATCAACAGCAAAAACATATGTGAGGAAGGCTGAACTTGACTTTTCAGCTCTGTAACTATGTAACTATGTAAACTGTAATAAGGATAATACCAACATTCACCTGCTTAGCGTGGCAGTGTGAGTCTTAGTGCTGGAAGTGCTATAAAGACAGTGTCCCGCATAATATTGCAACAGCTATTTGTGAAGCTGCATTGCATTTCTCAAGTTAATTTGTTAAGCTGGTTACTGTGGGGGTGGCTGGTTGTATAAAGAGGTAGATTTTGGTTTACTCAAACGGTGCTGAACTTGCTAGATAGTAAAGTTTCTTTCCTAGACTACCATAACAGTTTCTTTGCGAAAGAGGAACTGTCACACTTGAGGTAAGAGCATGTTTATCTGTTTGACCTGCTGTGTGATTACACTTGCAAGCCTGTCTTGGAAACGGATGTGCTATTACATACCCACACAATGAAATAATATAAGGCAGGACTGTGTAGTCACATCACTATGGCAAGGTATTGGCACATAAATGTTACATGTAGGAAAATACAGCTGGCTGCAGTCAATATTTGACCAACTGAGACATGCGTTACAAGAGTGTGTGTATCCGAGATATCTGGCATAGCTGTAATCTAGATATAAACAAGAGCAATACCCCAACGCGCTTTATGTAAGTGATAACATGATTTCCATTGCTTATTTTTAAAAGTGTAATGAATGAGATTTCTTTCCTCCATGAATACTAGATGTTATGTTTTGATGTAACTCTTTAAATGTTACTGCATTTAGGATCTGGAAAATCCACGTGATGACATCATTCTCCGGAGAACAGGCAGTGTGGAGGTTTTGGATGGGAGTGGTGGGGAAGAGGAAAGCCCTTTAAAATTGAAAGAGAGTCGAAAGTTCTCATGTGAGTATGAGAAAATATGTTGAGATTTCTATTTCCTACACCGTCTCTTATATGACAACAAATAGTTAACCGCATCACTTGTCAGCAGTGAAAGCTCACACTAGAAATTATAAGAGCACATCGATATGTTGTGAGAATAAAACCCGCAGGGGCGGGCATAAGCATAAATGAGATTTAACTAGGGATGCTTTAAGGATTGTTTTCTGCAACAACTTCACTATAGCATACAAAGAAGAGAAAAACAGGCAGCATAATTAAGGCTCTGGGGAGCTGAAACGCCACACTTATTTTGGTGAGGTGGTGAACCCACAAATAAATTTACCTTCTATATCCTGGAGTGCTGCCTGTGTTTCTCTTCTTTGATACTACATTGGTGGATTCAATGGTGTCCATCCTACACACAGAGCGCCCCTTGGTGGAAGGCTGGAGCATATATGTGGAACCTGAGTGCAGGGTTTACTGTTTTTGCTTCACTATAGCATACAATCTAATTATGGCAAATAATATAAGATCCACAAAGCAAATCATTAATTGTAAGATTCATGCAGCTATTTCACAAGAAACACTGTTGAATGAATGTACCCATTAAATCAGGAGAATGTGGCACATGGGCATTAGCCCTGGAATTTGTTCATGATTAAATTGATATGGGCAGTTGGGTGCTGGGGCCTAGTTACACCCCCTGGCACACATGACTTTCTCAGTTTCAAGCAGAAATGCTGCACATACGGACTCCTACCACCATGACCACTTCTAAAAGCAGTCATGTGGTTTGAGTAACCCATTAAGGCCAAAATAACCAAACTGGAAACATTCTCCATGTCAATGCTTTCATTTCTGCAACTTTGTCTCTAAGTTTGAAACACTCCAAAAACCATAAAATTTAGCAATTTCATTTTTCTTTGTGTACGGCTAAATTCAAATACCTAGGCATCTGGTTACCAAAGGACCTATCTCTTCTCTACCACTTGAACTTCATCCCTATCTTCACTACCCTTCATAAAGACATGCACTGCTGGTCAGACCTATACATTTCCTGGTTCGGCCGCATAAATGACGTGAAGATTAATGTCCTTCCGTGACTCTTATACCTTTTTCAACCTATACCGATAATGGTCCTCCGGACATTCTTTCAGTTAATGACCACTGCCATCAGGAGATTGGTATGGAACCAAAAGGCGCCTATGATTGGTAAATTCCTGCTGGAACTACCCAAAGCCCAGGGAGGCATCGGCCCTCTATTATCGGTTATTACCACTCCGCCCATCTCTTTAGGGTGATAGACTGGCATGCTCACCCAACCACAAAAACATTCCGAGAGGATACAAGCTGCAGGCAAGATCCCATCTTTACTCTGGCAGGGCGACCTAACACTCAGTTCCCTGTGAACGGGCAACCCCTTAATTGACGCCACACTTAAAGTCTGGTGCTCCCTACATTACAAACAGCAACTGACCTGGTCCCCCAACCTCCCCCCCCGTCACCCACAACCAGGACCTGGGAGGAGGCCTATTACCTGCAGACCTACACAATTTCCACCAGACAGACTGGTCATACATATTCCAATGGTGTGAGGGTGCTCAGCTCAAATCCATGGCAGCTATGCTTCCTGACACCACCCCGACAGCACACATGCTCTACACAATGCTATTAAGGGAAGATGACAGGCCACCCATATGGTATACCACACAGTTTGGGAAAGAGAGACAGGTGAAACACTAACTGACCAAGAGTGGGATAAAATATAAATTTTCACACACAAGTGCTCCATCAGTTCAAAATACCAAGAAATAAACTATAAATTACTTTCCAGCTGGTACAGAACCCCAGACACACTACATCGCATAAACATCACAGAAATTCTAGATGACTGCTGGAGATGCTGTGCAGAGGTCAGCACTACGCTTAACAACTGGTAGACCTGCCCGATTATAGCCCCATTCTGGGCGATGGTGAACTCTAAGATCAGAGAGATCACGGACTCGGACCTGCCATTCCAGCCTCTGCTGCTACACTACACAAGAATGACCCTTAAGACCTACAAAAAGTCCCAGACCAAATATTTACTAACAGCGGCAAAATCCCTCATTCCCATGCTTTGGAAGCAGACAGGTGTGCCATCCTTCCAGCAATAGGTAGACCGGGTGGGAGAGATTTATTTAATGGAATCATTGACCGCAGCCCTACAAGGTCATTCAGACAGTAGTGTGAAACCTGGATCCAATGGCTGGTGTACATATCCACCAACACAACAAACAATTGAACCCCCTCCCACTTTGTATTATCTCTTTCCCCTACTCCCTTTACTAAAAAATGTTTTCTTGCTCCCCCTCCCACCCCGACACACCTGAAGACTTTCCCCAGGACTCCCTGACTGATAAAAGTCCAAGTGACTGAGCCACCGAAGGCCCTGTCTAACGATTGTAGATTACCAGAAATCTTGGTTGACCTGTTGAGTCACCCTTGTGACTAACAAGATACCAGTTTTTGTGAAATAACATATTTTACATTGTAGACTTACAGTAGTAGCACCAATGTTACTTAACGACTAATACCATTGTAACGGAAACTGTTATATACTAAGTGCATGTTGAACATTCTGTGCTCAAGTATCCTAACTGTTCACTGCTGTATCAATATACCTTGACTCCAATAAACAAAATAAAGATTGTCAAAATCCATAACTACTTCAGCCCACTGTAGTGGTTATGATGCCAGGGGTGCCCTGGCACACACCTAAAGAAATCTGTCAAATAACTTCAGAAAGGTTTGTGGATGTCTTCATTGAGCTAGGCAGGCCAGATACAGGACCTCTCTCGTGCACACTCAGAGCCAATGAGCATAGCCCTGTTTATCTCAATAGAGCTACATGGATAGCTCAGTGGTTAGTGTTCCAGCTGCATTGTTTCTTGTACCTGTTTAACATTTATAAAACAAATACAACGTGCCATTTGTTGGATTACATTAGCAGGGTTTATGGTTAAATTCTCAATAGTATCAAGCCAGTCCTTTAACCCCTTAAGGACACATGACATGTGTGACATGTCATGATTCCCTTTTATTCCAGAAGGTTGGTCCTTAAGGGGTTAAGCTTTCCTAAGTTAAAAAATACACCTCATTAAGTTGGATTTAATTAATTTAATTAAAACATGTTTGTATTCTTGCTTAATTTAATCATCTTATTTTTGTGCAGGAACTTGATATTCCATTTGTGAACACACACAAATGCAGCAGAGAGACTGAAGAACACATATGTGCTTTAACAGCTTAATGGCATATTTGCCAGAACATAATGATCTAGTGGGATTTACCTAACAATTTTGGGTAGATTTGTACACAGAATGCAAAAGTGAAACAGAGGCAGTGGAGCCAGTCTCTCAGAGAACCACAAAACCCTTGTTTTTGCTCAAACCACTGAAAAAAGTTTTAAAAAAACCCAGAGTGTTTTCAACAAAATACTATTTGAACCATAACCAGTACAATATGCTGTAGTGGTTGTGGTCCTTAGAGTTTTACCTTAAGTTGGATTGACTTCAGATACCTAAGCAAAACTGTGAATTATGTGATTCCAGTTCCTTGTGTTATGCAAACTTCAGTTTTATGGTTTTGTTATCAGTAAACCACACACAAAGGTTCATAGTCTACCAATGTTTCCTTTACCTTTTAAGTGTCACTTACTTTAATATTTTAAGTGGTTTTACTCTCCTGTCATATTTTTCCTTTAATTCCCTATAGTGTCTTGGGTGAGCTCCAGTGTTGGAGGAGCAGACAGGAAGAAGGTGAGGCAAAGGCTGAAGAAGCTTTTGGTGAGGAGACCACCCCTGCAGACACTCCAGGAGAAAGGACTTATAAAAGGTGAATGAAAAGCAGAGCTTGTATAACCATCAAACTGGGTTCATGTCATGATTTAACCATGGCTAGATTGGTAACACCATGGGATTTAGTCTGCCTCATATATATTTTCATAGAAATGTTATTTTCAATTTTTTAAATTATGATACTTTATTGCAGACTACCATTATTTGTTCCAAAAAAGTTAAAGCACCCCACCATTGGCTAGTGGACCCTAGGTCCAGAGTCACCAATCCACACTTACTCAAATAACAAATTCCCCAACAGTATATATCCAACTTTATTATAATAAATATTACATAATTGGGGAAGTGATAGTATATCTTAATAAAATAAGAATAACAAAATAAGAAAAGAAAACTTTTGATACCTTCCTAACAAAGCTGCAATAAAAGACACTGTAACTTGTTGCAAATGTATTAAAACACAAATGAATAAATACAAAACAGGCTCAAAAATGAAGAGGTCATCTGGAGGCAAAACCCATCTCTGCCAACTTTATGAGACTTCCCTATATTGTGATTGGTTGCATTACAAAACCAGCCAATTAAAGTGTTCTCCTAAGCAAGTCTCATTCCCACAAGGTTTGCTCTGAAATGTATATACCGTAATAACAATACAAACCTCCTTGAAGAGTGTTTCCGCAACAAGTGCATCTTTTGAAGCCGGATGTTGGTGTTTGTAGAAAAAGATGGAAGGCCAGTAAAGTGATTGTGTCTCTTACTCCATCCAAAGGGAGCGTACTCACCCAGAAAGGTTGTGGGTTCACCACAAAGGTGGCAAGTCCGCTGAAAAATAAGCAGGTCTCAAGCCCACAAAGGTGGACCATACAATGATCGCTGTTCCAGTGCTCTCTGAATGCCCTAAGCATATCACAAGCATGTCTAATGATGTGCACTCACTATGCTTTCTGGGGAAAGTTCTCTAAAAGTTAAATACCAGGAAGCAAGTCAGGACAGCGGGATAAAACCCTGAAATAAGGACTGTCTAATCAAAATCTGTACCATTCGAAGCCCTAGGATTGTAACAGTGCCTGGCAGTGTGCTGTGGTTTTATACCCCTTTCAACATCCCAAAAGAGAGCATCAAACCACACCTGCTCCCTGCCGTGTCCATGACAGGTTACTTTCACTACATGCTGTATGTGTCAACGCAGAGAAATGATGGCTAGCAAATGGCAAAATGGTATAATTTTTCAGTACTGCACTACAATTAAATTAATCCCAATCCTGATTCAGGATCTGTAATGATATTGGGAGTTGTACTTCAAAAGCAGCTATATATTATCAAGCAGAGTGTATTCTAATTATTTAGTAGTATGCTCTTATTTAGATATATTTTAATAAATTCATTTAATTTTCACATAGAATTTTATTGAGCATGGCATATAAAATATATTAGCTCTTGTTGTTCCATGCATACATTCAGCATTGTTTCATACCTTTGCTGCATTACTCTTGCCAGAAAAGTTATTGTTTTTCTTTAACTTTTCATTTATATGAGAGCTGCTTCACTCCAGTATGGCACACTATTTTCGTTCATGTGAAAAAGTACCGAATGAGTGCAAATGCAATGCACCCTTGCAGGGAGTGTATTCATTTTAGTTAAACTGCTGTTTTTCTCTTTTCTGCAGACCAAGTTTTTGGGTGCCGCCTGGATGCTCTCTGTCATCGTGAAAATAGCACAGTTCCAAAGTTTGTACGACTTTGCATTGAAGCTGTTAATGAGCGAGGTACTTTTTTGAAATAATTTTTTCTCGCAGTGTGTAGAATATCATACAATAACACATATACATTTTTAGAAAAGTATAAATGGCAATACAGAGGTGTAGACATTGCATGAAATGTGGAAAAGACTGCACATATATATATAATTAAAGATATAGAAAATACGTTCGTAACACAATTGTATTGCATTAAACCAAAAGGTAGTAAGAAATGCTATAAAATAGTACTGTAAAAGATGACATACGACTGGTTAGTTAGATGGGTTTTAGACAAATAATCGGTAAAAAAAAAAAAAAACCTGACTAGCAAAGTGCATTGTAAAGCCAATATTATACTGTGAGTAAGGCCTGTGGACCCCTCAACAGATGCCTAGTGTAGGTGAGTTCCAGCTGTCACCTCCATCTGCCCCACTATGGAGACCTCTCTGCCTGGTCCAAATCAGTCAACACCCTTTAATGTATTTCCTCATGGCATTGACTGGGGCTCGTCGCTGCGGTCCTGCAGGCCCCCTCACCTGGCAGCATGACTTGTTGCCTTTGGAACCAGGTGAGTTATGTTGGGGATGAAGAGGCTTGTGTCTCTTCGGTTGGTGTGAAGTACAGCCTGCACAGAGGCCCAAGCGTTGGGATGCTGCCTTCAGCCACAGCAGCTTCATGCATCTTCTCCTCCTCCACTCTCCTCTGGGAACATGCTAGTGGTGCGGATGAGACAGAGGCTGCACAGCAGTGCATTTCTGTTGGACTCCAACCCAGTTTTCAGGAATGGAGGGAAGTCTCCAATTCCAGAGCTGCGCCCAGAATTTCTCACAGATTCGCTCAAAGGTGTGGAGTGGCAGATCCATGTGGGTATATAACTGTGGGATGGTTGTAGGCTCCAAGCAAGGTACACAGTGTGGATGTTAGGCCAGAGGTCTTCAAAGTGTTGGTCAGCTGGAGATTGTATCGGTTTGACCACCGCAAGTCCTTGTGTGGACCGAGATATCCCCCACTAGCCTAGGGGGAGGGAACTGGTCTCAAGAGTCTTGGGCTCCAAGTCAAAGCTGAGGATTGCTGCTCTCCCGTCATCAACTGAAACATCAGGTCACAGGAAGGTCAAACATGGGCCGTGTCCACCAGCTACAGGTTTAACCAATTGGCAAAGTCCCATTTGAGGCTATTAAAGTAAATATCCTAGAGGAGCTTCAGCTCCATGCGACCATCTCCGTTGGCAGTCAGGCCCTACCCACAAGCTAAGTACTTTTTTGATGGCATTTGTTTTATTGGATTATTTACAAATTGTATTATTGTAGGGCTACATCAAGATTACTGGTACTCTTATGTTCTGGTATTTTGAGGGTGATTTTTAATATGAGCAAAAAATGGGTCGCAAGAGTATTCTGAGAATGGACAGCAGCTGAAATAGCCTGCCCTTCGGTGGGTCCCCGCTCAGAACTCAAGCTGGTTTTAGCTCATCTTGTGCCATTACAGAGAAAACATATCTGAAGCAAATCAGACCGGTCCCACCCATAGGGCAGTCCAGCTCCAAAATGCCAACAAGTTCTCTCTGCACGAGAGATACAGCAACCCCAGACGATCGTTTCAGCCTTGTTAGGCATCATCAGGAAGGCATAGCTGATATCTCTCTAGGCACCGTGGGCAAGGGGTCCACGTATGGATTACCCTTTTAACTTATGGAGAGCAAAAACCAGGTCGCAAGAGTATTCTGAGAATTGACAGCAGCTGAAATAGCCTGCCCTTCGGTGGGTCCCCGCTCAGAACTCAAGCTGGTGTTTAATATAATTTTAATAAACCTATCTTGTATTCATTGGGGGCAGATAACGTAAAGCACACAAGTGGGATCTGAGATTGTGAACTATTCTCTTACAAATACTTTCTGAGATGTTTGATAGTCTGTGGCTAAACGTCATTCTGAATTCAACTTTGTACAGCCAATGCAAGATGTGAAGATCAGAAATTCCAACTCACAATGACTACCTATAGCTCGTCAGTTTAAACCAACTTCCTCAAACTGTGTCAAACAGCTGAGCTTATGATCAGGAGACTAATATTTCTAAACTATACAGTTTATATTTTTTTATCAACTAATGAGTGCTGACTGACTGTACTCATAATCGTTGTACTCCGTTTCTTTAAATTTAGAGATTGGGCCTGCGTGTGATCTATGTGGAAACAAGAATCACGTAGAGTTGCCCTGGGCAGTAGTCAGTAGGGACTCGAGCATGCTTTACAACAATAGATACTTTGTCCCAATATTCTCTGATCCAACAATCTAAATGAAATGACTGCACTATATGGATCTGGAGTACTACAATGGGAGAAATCATAGTTTACAACATTACACTTTATTATTGTGAATACTGTAAAACAACTAGGAAGGTCATTTATATTTGTGTCTCCTAGGACTGGATGCTGATGGGATTTATAGAGTAAATGGAAACTTGTCCACCATACAGAAGCTGAGATTTGTCGTAGATCGAGGTAAGACACATTTAGCTTTTATCTTTACCACGTACACATCCATCAAAAATCAGATTGTTATAGTATTTGTAAACAGATGAATGGAAATCTACTAACTTGTGCATTTGGGGCTAATATCTCAAATGTAATCATTAAGTTTCCATCCTAGCTGTGTACTCGATTGATATTTTTTCTATTCTTATCACCCATGATAACACACCATTTAAAAAAAAAACATACCATTTTTGTGGCTTGTTGTACCATCCACCCATTATGATTGGTTTGGCAGCATGAGGGTTAGTAATCTGCCAGTTTAAGGACTGAATTTTGCACATATAGAAAGAGAATGATCACCAGCAATTTTACAATAATGATCTGATCGGATTTATTTTACACCAGTATCCCTGCTCGTTTTAGTGCAATCTAGAAATAACCTTCATAAATACACAGTAATAATAATATGTATCAAATATTAAAAGAAGAAGTATTCTTACAGGAAGTATTTACAGAGAGAGTAGTGGATACATGGAATAGCCTTCCAGCTGAAGTGATAGAGGTTAACACAGTAAGGGAGTTTATGAATGCGTGGGATAGGCATAAGGCTATCTTAGCTATAAGATAAGACCAGGGCCCTATTAAAGTATTTAGAAAATTGGGCAGAATGGTTCTTATCGGCCGTCACATTCTATGTTTCTATATTTCTAATATTGCCCTGCTTCTAACAGCAAGCAGGATGACTGGCTATGTCCAGTGTGCTACAGCAACAATTCCAAATCACATCAAAAATAGCATCTGTATAGGAAGATATTTCTGCCCATGTTTTTCAAGAAGTTAAACATTGTAAACAGTGTCAAGTATATTCACTTATTTACATTTTCAATAAAAGACAAGGATCTAAATTTATTTGGATTCAAGTTGCTATTTATTCCTTCATTGTACCCAAGCCATTTATGTAGGACGGATGTAGGATTACAGGAGGTTATTTCATTAGGCGCATTAAATGTCTATCTCTGTTCTCGGAATTGGTAATTACACAGTATTTCTTCAATGTAAGTGCATATTGAGTGTCTCTTCAAATCATTTCTGCTGCAGGGAACAGCAGAATTGATATTGCATTGAGTCAAATAGAAATCTTATACATTACTAGTTTTCAGAATTCTGCTACTCTATGGACACAGGAACCTGCTCCAAATTCTGTCCTACTCCTAACCTTTAATCAACCACTAGACTACCTGTTATCTTACAGAGAGGGCAGTAACAACGGATGGACGATACCTATTTCCGGAGCAGCTGTCCCAAGGTAGCCAATGAGCTTTGCCCCTTTGTGTTTTGGCTACAAAACCATGTATGTCCCAGCTGATGCTCCCCAGTAACCCATTTTGCTGCCTTGCCTTTACCAGCTCCATGTATGTCTATCATCAATGCCACCTTGTTGCTTTTAACTTTGTTTAGAAACCTAACACAAAAATTTGTATTTATGTATTTGTGTGCTATTGGCCTTATTCTGTTGTTTGCTTAAAGCATTACTGGATTTTCTGTAATGTGTTTTTGCTTTTAGTTTTCTTTACACACCGTTGGTAAGTAGTAAGAAATGGGTGACTATTACTTCGAAAACAGGTTGGAGGGAAGCGCACTGACTCTTAGGATCCCACCAAGTATCAGCTACATTTATTAAAATTTAGAAAACAATTAGAAAACAAGTATCGTGGACATGAATAAAATGGAAATTGTCTATTAAGATAAACAATATAATTTCAAATGAGAGAAAATGAGAAAATAATGGAAGGAGGAAAAATGGAAACATGAACAGGAAATGTATTTTAAATACAGTAGACATGCATATTAAGGGGTACTCTAGGCACCAATGCAACTTTAAAGCATTTGTCCTGTATTTTATGTATGCTCAAATTTTTATTAGCCTTTTTTTCAAAGATTTGAATATGTGAAAAAACATACAGCATATTAATAAGCTTACAGCCTATTAATGAGTCTTGACAAAGACTTCATAGTAGGTCGAAACATTGCTATTTTGTTTCATTAAAACTGCCTGCGGCTTTAACACCTTGAGTGCCTGGAGAATTTCTGTCATTGTATTAATGAGTCTAAAACCTATTAAAGTTTTATTGGTGCCCGGAGCGTAATTTAAAGGGACACTCGGGGCACCAAAAACATTACCGCTTAATATAGTAGTTGTGGGGCACAGGGGGGATTGTCCCTGCAGGCTCAACAGTGTAAACACTATCTTTTCTGAGAAAAGGTGGGATTCCTGGTTGCAGTCCTGCAAAGATTGCAGCACCGACGTTCGGCATCTCAATGAGAAGATGCTGACTGTCTCAGCATGGCAATTGCCGCGCATGGCTACTATCTTCCCAATGGGTAGTAGCCATGCGCGGTGGGTGCGGGCCCTGAATCTGATAAGGTGGTATAACATTCTAGCCTTAGGAAAACTTTGCATTTCTAATGCCAGAGTGATCTGTTAAGAAGCTACCCCTCTGTTCCTGTGTGTCTAACTTGTCTGGTAACAAGTACATGTCTGTTCGTCCACCCATTGTAAAGCGCTGCAGAATTTGATGGCGCTATATAAATAACATAATAATAATAATAATTTGTTTTATAGTCAAAATGATTCTTTAAAAGTAGAATTTTTAGATCAATTTAGCAAAATTAAAGCAACTGAATTAAAGCTGAGTTGGGGAAAATCTCGTACTGAGTGAGCTGGGGATTTTTATTCAACCTAGGCTATTTTTTATCCTAAATTTGCAAGATGTTTTCAATTTGAGGTAGCAAACTGTTTAGTGAATAATGCCCTTGGAAAAATAGTAAATACGGCAGTTATAGTTGCTAAAGTACTGTATTGTATTGCACAATGCTATACAAAGTGAAGCGTAGCAGTAAACGGAAATCACAATGCAATAATTTTTTGCAATGCTGGTGAGAATGTTTACAAACCTACAAGGCAGGGCAAGTTAAGAGGGCTATTTCACATACGGATCCAGGGCAAGTACTCCTACCCAGATACGGAGCTGGATTTATCATCCTTGTTGACCCATGGTCAGTTTCCTCAATGAACCCCTTCCCCCATTCATATATACAAAATGTTTGGTGTATGTGACTGAATGAGTGAATGTGACTAGTTTCAGGTATGATTGGATGGTTTATGTGACTAGTTTGGGGTATGAATGGATGGTGATGGAGCTGTAAGCTGGGTGAGGGCTGCAGGGTATGTCTGAGGGATCGTATCTGTAGGGTGAATGGGGCGAATAGGGGCTGTTAGGTATGTTTGGGTGATGGGGGCTGTAGGATGTGGTGGATGGGATCTGTACGGTGGGGGGCGATAGGGGCTGTTAGGTATGTTTGGGGGATGGGAGCTGTAGGGTGTGGTTGATGGGATCCATAGAGTGGGGAGGCAGACAGGGGCTGTTAGGTATGTTTGGGGGATGGGGGATAGGGGCTGTAGGATGTGGTGGATGGGATCTGTACGGTGGGGGGCAATAGGGGCTGTTAGGTAAGTTTGGGGGATAGGGGCTGTAGGATGTGGTGGATGGGATCTGTACGGTGGGGGGTGGATAGGGGTTGTTAGGTATGTTTGGGGGATGGGAGCTGTAGGGTGTGGTGAATTGTATCTGTAGGGTGAGAAGAAATAGAGGCTGTTTGGTATGCTTGGGGGGTGGGGGCTGTAGGGTGTGTGAGGAATAGAGTCTGTAGGGTAGGTCTGGGGAAAGAAGCTGTTGTGTTTGTGTTGGCGAAAATTTTAATGTTCTGTGAGAGAGGGATAGTGGTTGTAGTGTTTGTGTGCAGGGGGATAGGGGCTATAGTGTGTGTCTGGGAGAGGAAGGGACTGTTGTGTGAGTGTTGGAGTGTTGGGTGTTGGAGGAAATGGGGCTGTTGTGTGTGTGTTGGGGGTGATATTAACTAATGTGTGTGTTGGTAGAATAGGGACTGTTCAGTGCACTGGGTGGGCTACATATAAAAAACATATATAGTTTTAAAATTATGTTTATCCACCTACCCCTTGCATACCTTGGGCCAGGGAGGGAGGGAAACGGGTCCTTGGTGATCCAGTGGGTGCATCCTTTGGTCTGCACCTTTGGCTGGTGCAGACAATTTCTATTACCCCTTCTGGTGGAGCATTGTCATGGTAACACATGACAACTGCCCCAGTACCAATACATGTGGTCTGAAAAAAGCTCACTGCCCCTCCTGGCATGAATAAATAAATGAATGAATGAATTCAACAAAGATATACCGTAGTTCATAACATGCAGTAAACCGTTGCTTGCTGACAATTGAACTGTCCGTTGTTTATATAAGGGAGATAAGTAAATAAATCAACAGAGTGAAAGAGAAACATGCTAGTGACTAATGAATGTTATATATGATATTTGGACAGTTACGAGGCACAGAAATATACGTCCATTCTTCAATATGTCAAAGCTGAACTATGCAATGTTTATAATCTCTTTTTTCATATATTTATTTTTTTCTCTGTAAACACAGAAGAAAAATTGGATCTAGCCAGCAGTGAGTGGGAAGACATTCATGTCATCACTGGTGCCCTGAAAATGTTTTTCCGTGAGCTCCCTGAGCCTCTCATCCCATTTAACATGTTCGACGAGTTTATAGCTTCTATCCGTAAGTAGACATGCCTACCCAACAAACAGAGGAGATCAGTGGTGCATAAAATGGAAAATGAGTTAGATCAAGGGTAGTCAACCTGGTCCTTTCATCTCCCCTGCTGCCCCATGCAGAGCCAGCCTTGCTGTAAACCAAGCATGTCAAACTCAAAGGCTAGCACGGGCCACATAAACAAGGTTTAAGTTTGAGTGGGCCACAAAAAAAAAAAAAAACCTTAAATTTTCATAGAAACGTAGGTTTGTTTTGAAAAGTACAGTATATATAAAAAAAAACAGCATCCCCCTCTACTAAACCCCAGTCCTCCCCTCTGTACTAAATCCCAGTCCCCCCTCTGTACTAATTCACAGTCCCCCCCTCTATACTAAATAACAGTCCCCCCTCTATATTAAATTCCAGCACTCCCCTCTACTAAACCCCAGCCCTTGTTTAAAAAAAACAAAAAACAATATTAGCCAATAATCAGACTCCACTCACATTGCCGCTGTCAGTATGCGCCTCCGGAGTCCAGCCTCTGGTATACCCCCAATGGCGCAATCCACGTCCCGTGCCAAACAGATCCTTCTGCTAATCCTTGAAGACCTGTGAAGGTGGAGCAATGTGACGTGGCGTTGCGTGCCTCAGTGCACATCCAGGTCCTCCACTGTCCAGCCGCGGCCATCGCAACATTGACCAACACACACTGACAGACACACACTTACTGACAGACACACACACACACACACACTCTCTGACAGACACACACTGATAGACAGACACTCACACTGACAGACAGACAGACACACACACACACACTCTGACAGACACACAGACTCCGACATACACACACACACACACACAAACACACACTGAAAGACACACACACTCTCTCTGACAGACACACACACATTGACAGACACACTCTCACACTGACAGACACACACACTGACAGACAGACACACACACATTTACACATTCTTGCACACACTCACATCATTTTATTTATTGCTCCCTACCTTTGGGAGTTGGTGTTGGGACTCTCCCTGATCTTCTCTCGGGAGCTCAGTTTTCCTGCTCCCTCACGTGCGCAGTTTAGTGATAACGGGTGCTGGAATGAAGTCTTATTCCGGCACCCGGCATCACTATAGTGGGTGCGTGTGAGGAAGCAGTAAGGAGCAGAAAGACTGTGCTCCCTCACTGCCACCAGGAACCTCTCCTCTCTGGCTGGGTAATTTTGGCAGAGCACCTGCAATGTGGGGAGAGCAGGTGCCTACACCACTTTAGTATGCATGGCAAACTCACGACTCGCCAGGCCGCAGAAATATTCATTGTGGGCCGCATGCGGCCCGCGGACCACGAGTTTGACATGCCTGCTGTAAGCCCTCTTGGGCTGGTAAGGAGATCAAAGATCTCCCTCACCGGCCCGCTGGCACTTAGTTCCAGCAGGGGGAGGGAAGGGCCTGGGAAGCTCTGTGTTCCTCCAGCGAGTAGGCTGGTCAGAACATTGCCGCGCATTACCATGACAATGCTCAGATACAGTGCTGGGCTCGCAGGAGGATAGGAGAATCACCTTTTACCTGGTAAAAGGTAAGAAGAAGGGAGGGGGAGACATTGAAATAGATTTTCCCATCTCACCCACCTACACACAGCATAGACCCTATGCGCCCTTCAGACACAAACACACACTGGCCCCCTCACACACACACAGACTACCCCCTCACACACACACAGACTGCCCCCTCACACACATACACCCCTCACACAAACACTGCCCCCTCACACACACACACATACAGACTACCCCCGCACACAAATATACTGCCCCCTTGCACACGCACACACTTCCCCCTCACACACGCACACACTGCCCCCTCGCACACACACACAGCACCCTTCACACACACACAGCACCTCACAGACACACATAGAAAAAAATATATACATTTAAGTACATATTAAAAAGAAAACAAAACCCCCCTCATTTATAAAATAAATAAATAAATAAAAATTGCACTTGCGCTATAAAATTAGTTACTGTGGCACTGGTGGGCGGTAAGGAAATGTTACCATCAACAAAGATACAAAAGTGGGCAGTAGGTATTAAAAGGTTGACTACCCTTGTTTTAGATAAATACAATAAATATAAACTGTGTCTTCACTAGGTTTTATCCATTGAGATCACACTCTCTTTTGTTTCAGGATGTACATTGAACCTGACTTAAAGCATAGGCTTCGATTTATTAAGCTTACCAAAAGATTTCATACTGTAAGAAAATCTTTCCTTATGATTTATCCACAAAAATTCCCATAGACATTCCATAGATAAATCATTCGGAAAGTTTTCTAACAGTTTTGACTCATTTGTAAAGTTTATTTAAATAAGGCCAATTGTTTAGGATAAACTTTTAAAATGATTTAATATTCTGAAATCTATTTTAATATTTTGAAATTTTTTTACATTTTTTATATATTTTTTTTAGCTATGATATATTTTTTGATGTTAACATTTTGAAAAAATATATATAAAAAAAGTTTATAAAAATACATTAAGTCAAGACCATAGTTAAAGAAATCATTTTATTTCTGTGACTTGTGATAGCAAAGCATGTTAACATTTCCCAACAGGAAAATTGACCTTTCCCACATGACTGATTTTTTTTAGAGCAAGTAATGTAAAATAACTTTTCAGTAAAGCTGACATTCTTTTTTTTTCTGCACAGAAATTTCTGACACAGAGGAGAGATCAGAGACCATCAAAGAACTGGTGAGAAATCTTCCAGAACCTAACTACGACACCTTGAAATATGTGATCTGCCATCTGAAGAGGTAAGGACTTGGATGAAAAGACTGCATCCTTTTCTACTTGATGTATCATGTACATTTCAAATTAAAGGCAATGTCATACAAATTGTATAAACTATCTCCAAAATAATATTTTGTTATCTGTTGATGGAAATGTCTATGTTGAATTGAGTTTAACGTGGTGACATCACTGCATTTCAGAGCCTTTATATATTTTTTTCTATAATGAGATGTTATAGCTGACTAGATGATTAATCTCTTAATTCTTGGTTTACAGATGTTTAGCTTTGGATCACAGATTATAGTGTCTGACTGTCTTATTGTGTTTCACCTGATACTAGTTACCAGCCCCATTTGTGTGTGTCTTATTCCCCCCACCTTCTTTGCTGTTGTCTCTTTCCCCCCCAGCCCTTGGTGTATTCCTTTCTCCCCTTCAGCCCCTTTGCATATTTCTTTCTTCCCCTAGGCCCTTTCTGTGTCTTTTACCCACACAGTCCATTTCCGTGTCTCAATCTCCCCCCAGCCTTTTTTGGGTGTCTCGATCTCCCCCCAGCCCATTTGTGTATCTCAATCCCAACAGCACCTTTGTGTGTTTCTTTTTCCTCCAAGCCCCTTTGTGTGTCTCTTTCCTCCCCAGCCATACAGACATTAACATACAAGAAAAAAGACAGACATACAGACAGTCCCATCTTAACAACATTATGGGCCCACAGGCAAAACAGTGCACTGGGGCCCTGCCTACACAACCAGTCACAGGAATAAAAATATAAATTATTGATGACATTACGCTTATATTTATTGGTACCTCCAACAAATGCAATACAGTCATACATTACAAACACACATACTGCTGAATACACACACAAGGACTGCTGAATACACACACACAGAATGCAGAATACACACAGGCTGCTGAATACACATAGGCTGCTGAATATACACACACGGACTGCTGAATACACACAGGCTGCTGAATACACACACACGGACTGCTGAATACATACACACAGACTGCAGAATTCACACAGACTGGGCCTGACAAAGCTGCTGCTTGCAAGGCCACGCTACATAGAAGAAGGAAATGCACAACCGGTCACCTGACCTTCGTGCCCCCAGGGCCAGTGTGCCCTAAGGCTTGTACACTCCAGCATATATGACAATTCTTTTGCTTAATCTTTGTTCTACTAACCAGCACTTGCAGTTTAGTTTGACATACAATGACTTTGAAATATGGCGCACAACTGAAGGCTAACCTCACTATATGCAAGAGTCCATCCTTCCAAGATAAAGCCTCCATGTTGGATTTTACATTACTTTTTTTCCTCCTGTTGTGCTGGAAACATGCAAAAAGAGTATATTATATCTATTAAATTGCATTTCAGTTCCAAAAACTGGGAGCCCATCTGAGAAACAAGAGTAAGAAAAAAGGCTTAGAGTTTTATTCACTAAACACAGAATATAGTGAAGGGAAAAAAAAAATAGCAAAATTCATGGCAGTACAGCAGGTTATTATTATTGGTATTTATATAGCGCCAACTAATTTTGCAGCGCTTTACAATATTATGAAAGGGGGGTAATTTACTATAAATGAGACAATTACACAGTGACACAGACACAATAGGTAGATGAGGACCCTGCTCAAATGAGCTTACAGTCTGGAGGAGTGTGAAGAAATTACCCTTTTTATTCATTATTTCTTCATTCTCCATTCGGTAGATGTAACTATCGAACAAAGACCACCCCCTGGCTCATTAAACCTCAAAGCCTGTTTCAATTAAACCCTCTAAGACAGCGGGACTTGGTCGTCGAGTGTCTGGAACTAAAATCGGACACTCAACTTCCAGAACACTGGTCTCAAACACATGAACGCTGGATCTATATGTACCGATTAGCTAGAAGAGTGCTATTCGGTCGGTTGTGCATACGAATGAGGGGAACAATCGCTGCTAGGAGCCAGGGGGATCCATTCGGTACTTTGTTCGTTTTTCTCCTTTTATTGAAGTGACCGGCAAAACCACTCAACCTTGTAGAACTATTTTGGGCAGCCCACTGACGGTGAACTGGTCACTGAAGACTTCCATAGTTTTTGAGAACCCCTGAACCGATCTGGGTGAAATTTGAATATGTTGGTCACCCAGATCGGGGCTATCAGGGGACATATTATTTGTGGGGATACCTCATATATAAAGGGGAGTCCCAGATATTGGGGAAAACTGTGATTTTTCTGCCTGGAGATAATCAAGTTATTACTTTATCAGACTTGATTATCTCCATGGCTAGGGGAGGGAATTGTATGTTTGTGCTGGGTGTGTGTTATGATTTTACTGTACGTGATTGGTTATACTATGTCCCTGCCTGTGGGATGTCCTCTTGCATGGGGACTTGTATAAAAGCCTCTGTGTGTTAATTAAAGCCACTTCATTTGTACCCTTCTTCTTGACTTCGGCTGATGTTTGGGGATTCGTATGCTTTACTAAGGGAATTATCTTGTAAAGCTATTTGTATTTCGTATGGATTTCGTCTATTTCAACTATCGAACGGAGAGCTACATACACTAGGCTCTGGCAGTTCGGGAGGAAACTACCGAAAGAGGCTTAAATACACTTGGTTTCCTTACAAGGAGTTTAGAGGGTACAGATACACAACAGGGCAGCAACGGTGGCAGTGGAGGAGAGCTGGAGGTGAGAGTGGAGTGTGGCTCTTTAAGGGAGCAAGAGACAGATTTGGATAAGTATAGATTAAATACTCTGGGAGTCCATAAGCATTTCTGAACAGATGTGTTTTGAGGGACTTCTTAAACAATTGAAGACTAGGGGAGAGTCTGATGGGGTAGGCAGGCTGTTCCAAAGGAAGGGAGCCACCCTTGAGAGAAGTCCTGCAAGCACGGGTTAACAGTAAGGGTGCAAGCAGCGGACAAGAGAAGGTCACCAATAGAGCAGAGAGAACGAGAAAGAGCATATCTATGAATCAGGGAAGAAATGTAACAGGGGCTAGAGTTGGTTAGAGCTTTATAGGTAAGGGTTAGTAATTTGAACTGACACCTATAGGATACAGGAAGCCAATGTGAGGATCGACAGAGGGGCGAGGTATGGGAGGAGTGACGGGTGAAAAAGATCAGTCTGGCGGCAGCATTCATTACTGATTGTAGCGGGGCAGTTCGGCTTTTAGGGAGACCAACTAGGAGAGAATTACAGTAATCCATGTAAGAGATTACCAGAGCATGAATAAGCTCCTTGGCAGCATCTTGCATGAGAAAGAGTCAGATGCGGGCAATATTTTTAAGGTGGAATTGACAGGTTTTAGCAACATACTGGATATGTGGCGCAAAGGTGAGGCCAGGATTAAAGATAACACCAAGACAACGAGCTTGCAAGGACGGACTGATGTATGCACCATTAACTTGCAGGGAAAGTGAAGGAGGAGGATCAGCATGATGAGGGGGGAAAAGAAGAAGCTCAGTTTTAGAGAGATTGAGTTTCAGAAAGTGGGAGGACATCCAATCAGAGATTGGAAAAAGGCAAGCAGTGACACGTTGTAGGACCACAGGGGATAGATCAGCAGAGGAGAGATATATCTGGGTGTCGTCAGCATAGAGACAGTAACAGAATCCAGAGGAGTTAATGAGCTTGCCAAGAGAGGCAGTATAAAGAGAGAACAAAGGGGGGCCAAGAACAGATCCTTAGGGGACTCCAACCGAGAAAGGGCGAGAGGAGGAGGTGTCATTGCAAATGGAGACACTGAACGAATGTTGGGAGAGATAGGAGGAGAACCACGAGAGGACAGTGTCACAGAGACCGAGGGATTGAAGAATATGGAGAAGGAAGACATGATCAACAGTGTCAAAGGCAGCAGAGAGGTCAAGAATAATTAGTATGGCGTAGTGGCCTTTGGATTTAGCTGTGATTAGGTCGTTTGTAACTTTAATAAGAGCAGTCTCAGTGGAGTGAAGGGGGCGAAAGCCAGATTGAAGATGATCGAGGAGAGAGTTGGAATTTAGGAAGTGAGTCATATGAGTAAAGACAAGTCTTTCTAGAAGCTTTGAGGAAAAAGGAATCAACTTTATTGGACGATAGTTGGAAGGGGAAGACAGGACTATAGACGGGTTTTTTAGGATGGGTATGACAGTAGCATGCTTAAGGGGAGCTGGGACAACGCCAGATGAAAGAGGACAGTTTGGGATGTGTGTTAAGGATGGTACAAGACAAGGGGAGAGAGATCCAACTCAATTATAGACACAACTTTTTGTGATGCAGTTATCACTTCTCCACTATTCTCTTTTTAGTGACTATTTACCTCCAAGGCTTTTTACTAAATTAAAAATTCAAATGGAATTTCAAACTTAAAGTTAAAATAGCTGAACTGGAAAAAACTATATAAGTAAGCTTTGCTACTCTGGCCTTAAATTTGAAATTTACCTCAAATTTAATTTGAATTCTCATGTTAGTAACCCTGTTGATTAATTTTCCATCAACTGACTGCAGGTGGCGCCATTGCAACACTGTAGTGTAGTGCTTAGCTTGAACAGCCAATAGACTTTTTTTTTTTAGAAGCAAATGTGTAATAAAATATTTTTTGTACGATACAACATTTTGCATTTTTAAGTTGCATGCTATTGTATAGTTAACAGGAAGCCATCATACTTTTGTGTAAATTATAAAGGCTTTCCAGTTGCTTCAGCCACCCACTAACCCACTATATCCAGTAGAGCGTGGAATCTTTACAGTACTGGATGTAATTAGTAAGCTCTAACAATGTGTGCTGCTCTCTATTAAACAAGCAGAACTGAAAATTCTAATTTAATGCCAATTTAATGAGAAACATATTTTTTTTTGCATATCCTGTAATATGCTTTTGTTTTTGTGCCTGCTGTATTTTGGTTATGATTGGAAACAATTTGCTTGATAAAGTAATTTCCTTTCTATCACTATGTATTTTTCTATTAAACAGTGCCAGTTTTTCAGCTTTTATTGTTTATTATTTAATGTTAATTCTTAACACATTGGCCTTAGTGTGGGTCCCATAAAGCCATAACGTTAGATGAATTATTCAATAAGGAATACGGGCAGTGCTGTTCCATGGAGCTTAGGTTTCTTAACGCATACCTCCCAGGTTTCCCTATTTAGAAGGGACAGTCCTGATAATGACAAATCCCTCTGTCCTTTTCTAGGAGCTCCAATATTGATGTGTTGAGTGTATAAGAATCTCCACTGCAATTATACTCACATTAATGTGTCTTTAAACAATAGAGGTGTTTAGAAATCAGTCTGTGTAAATATGACACATTGTTGTTGTTCTGAATTACATTTTAGTTGCATAAATTGTTATTAGTAAGTCACCTAATTTTTTTCAGAACACCCACCCTGGCCAGGGCCAAGAAGAGCCCTGTCACAGGGGGGCGAAGAGGTGGCCGGAAGCCATTTTAGGGAGCTCTCAAAGTGGCGCTTATTAAGTAAGGCAAAGTAGGCAACTGTCTACTCTGACAAAATATCCTGTAGAGAGTGGAGGGGGAGGAGGCAGGCAGTCAGGTGTTCTGTCAGCGAGGGAAAGAGATCTTGTAGTTCCTCACTTCTCCCTCGTGCTGTGATGCCAGAATATGATGTAATTCCATCCCTGGCATGCTAAACAGCACGCAGGAGGTGGGAGGAACTGCAATATTACAGCACAGCCCCACACTGGAACCCAGAAAGAGGTAGGGATGGGCCTCAACAAATAAAACTAATTTATGACAGTGTGCATGAATGTGTGTGTGTCTCTCAGTAAGTGTGTGTGTCTGTCTGTGAATGTGTCTGTCTATGTGTGTATCTGTCTGTCAGTGTGTGTCTGTCAGGGAGTGTGTGTGATTGTCATGGTGTGTGTCTCTCAGTCAATGTGTATATAAGTGTGTGTCTCTCAGTGAGTGTGTGTGTGTCTGTCAGTGTCTGTGTATGTCTGTCAGTGAGTGTCTGTCCAGTGAGTGTGTGTCTGTCAGCGTGTGTGCTTGTCAATTAGTAGTGTGTTTTTCCAGTAAGTGAGATTGGGAGTGTGTCATTGAGATTGGGTGTCTGTCATTGAGGATTTGTGTCAGTGTGTCTGTCAGTGAGTGTGCATGTCTGTCAGTGTGTGTGTGTGTGTCTGTCTGTCTGTGTGTGTGTGTCTGTCAGGGAGTTTGTGTGATTTTCAGGGAGTGTGTGTCCCTCAGTAAATGTGTATGTGAGTGTGTGTGTGTCTGTCTGTCAGTGTCTGTGTATGTTTGTCAGTAAGTGTCTGTCCAGTGAGTGTGTGTCTGTCTGTCAGTATGTGTGCGTCTGTCAGTGAATATGTGTTTCAAATCAGTGAGATTGTGTGTCTGTAAGTGTGTGTGTGTGTCTTTCAGTGAGTGTGTTTGCCAATGAGTGTGCTTAAAATCAGTGAGATTGGGAGTGTGTCATTGAGATTGTGTGTCTGTCATTGAGGGTTTGTGTCAGTGTGTCTGTCAGTGAGTGTGTCTGTCTGTGTGTGTGTGTTAGTAAGTGAGTCTGTCTGTGATGAGTGTGTTTCAAATCAGTGAGATTGTGTGTCTGCCAGTGTGCGTCTGTCAGTGTCTCTCTCTCAGTATGAGTGTGTGAATGTCAGTGAGAGTGTGTCTGATTAGAAAAAAAATGAGTGGGGCTTATAGACGGAGAGATGGAGTCATTGCCATAGAAACATATATGTCTGGAAATTTGCAAGGGGAGGGTTTAGTAAGATGACCTCGCTCACATGAGAGTGCCAAAAATATTTCTGCACCCAGGCGTCTGTGACCCTAGGATTGCCCTAACCATGGTAGTAGATTGTCTGAATGGGTAGAAGAGATGAAGAAGCAGAAGAGACAGGTAGAATGATATGTTAGCTGAGGTACGCACGTGGAGCATTGGAGTGCTGAAATTTCATATTCAGTAGACCTCCATAATATCCAAGTAAATGGTTACAAATGAAGTAAAACGGTCTGTGACTGATTATTGATCCTACCAAATCCATTTTTATACTCTACATGTTTCAATGGAAACCTGTAGCGAAAACCTTATTTAGTTCTGATATATACTTTAAATATCTATTAATGCAAGTAATCCACAGTAACATGGTAATTTTACTTAGGTTGAATTATAAGGGGAGTAACATTTAAAGGGATAACAGCAAGGAATAAGATGAGAAACATTAAGAGGGATTACAGTGAAGAAAAAGGGGAGTAATATTAAGAGGCATTACAGCAAGGAATGAGGGGAGCAACACTAAAGGGAAAACAGCAAGCGGTGAGAGGAGTAACATTACAGTAAGGAATGAGGGGAGTAACATTAAAGGAATTACAGCAAGTGATGAGGGGAGTTACATTACAGTAATGAATGAGGGAGTAACATAAAGAGGGATCACTGTAAGGAAAAAGGGGAGAAATATTAAAAGGGATTACAGCAAGGAATGAGGGGAGTAAAATTAAGAGAGATTACAGCAAAGAATGAGATGAGAAACATTAAAATGTATTACAGCAAGGAATGAGGGGATGTACATTATAGGGATTACTATCCTGCCAAGATTTATCAGTGTATGTGAAAAGCTGAAGAACCCAGCTTCAATATAAAGCTTTTCTTTTTTTTTACCATAAAATGTTGAGCCAGAGAGTACCATACACTTTATTATATGCTCCACTATTTTAATACAATACAACATATTGCGTCACAAATCAAACAGCGGACGCAGCCTGCCCACCATTATCCTCAACGCACAAATGAGTTGGATACCATACTGATCACTAGTGTTACTTATCCGCGGCAGCTTTAGCATGCTCATGTAGTTATTAAAGTGACCCATGCCTTTCGATTATATACTTATTGAACAGCGCTGCAGAACATGTTGGAGCTCTATAATTACTAATATACAGGCATATGTGTACATGTAGGTTTTGCTGCTCATACAGCACAAGTGACTGTACGCATTCACACTTGTTTAATGTCAGGGGAAACCAAGGCTGAATTAATGTAATAAATAATGAAATGTTTTTAAGAAAATGACTCAACCGGATGGGGGGGATTTCTAAATAAACACGTATAAAGCAGGCCGCCCACTGCAGTCCCACAGGGATTCTAGAAATGAGAAACTATTAACCATAAGCCCAGGTGATATTAATTTAGAGCGGAGGGCTGGTTCCTCCCCCAGCTGCTGAATAACTCTCTTGCGTTCTCATACTACTAGAATATTTTCTGTGTCACAATCCGGAAATGATAGGTCGTGTTTAATGCCTATGATGAGAGTTATGTTTTCAATAGAAAATGTTCTTTAGCAGCATGTGTACTTCCCCAATGCCGTGTGCTCCAATATTGGAAATGAGATTCCAACTGGCTCCAGGTTTTGGTTTTGCTCCAAACAAGATATAAAGAGACAGTCTGTGGCATACTGAGACGGGAAAATCCATGGGAAATTTTTAGTGGATCCTAGAATGTCCAGTAAAGTCCTGTAAAGTGGAGACCACACCTCTCCTGCTGCTGTTATACACAACACGTCTGGTTAGTTTTCACAGTCCCACTCACAATATGCTGAACCCACTTGATTTCTACTGCTTACAATAAATAAATCTGGTTTTATTTTATCCAAGTAAAACAGTTGTAGTAAGTTTGCTTTATTTTCCAGATATATCTTTTACAATAACTAATGTTGTGTTTTCTATTTTTTCTTTTAAAAATCATTGTATTTTAAAGGAATACTCAATTTTTTGCTTTTTACTAACAGTTTGACAACTTACCTGAAAGAGCTTCCGTGGCTTAGATCAGGGGCGGGGAACCCTCGGCCCTCCAGATGTTGTGGACTACATCTCCCTTGATGCTTTGCCAGCATTATGGCTTTAAGAGCATTATGGGAGATGCAGTCCAAAACATTTGGAGGGCCAAAGGTCCCCCACCTCTGATTTAGATCAATGCAAAGGCTTCCAGCTCTCTTAGTTGAGGTGATAAGTGCCAGTAGACTGCAAATAAGTTGTCAAACCATTAGCAAACGGTTCGACTAGTTGCACTGAGGAGGTGCTAGAACACTCTTAGCACCATAACTACTACAGTGTGCAATTTAGGTGCACATTAAAGGGACACTATATCTATGAAAACAACTTTAGTTTAATGAAGCAGTTTAAGTGTATAGGTAATGCCCCTGACTTCTTACTGCTCAATTCTCTGTCATTTAGGAGTTAAATCACTTTTGTTACTGTTTATGCAGCTCTAGCCACACATCCCCTGGCTATGATTCACACAGTCTACATGAAAGAAAATTGTTTCATTTTTAGTAAATTGAACTCTAATCAAACACAGGAAGCTCCTGAAGACTCTAGAAGGCTATTAACAGAGCAGGAGATAAAAAAAAATATCCAGTTTAAACTGACTGTGCAATAAAGGAACCTAGAATATCTAGGTCCCTTTTCAGGAAATGTTTGGTGAGGCTGTGTAAGCCACATGCAAGGAGGTGTGACTGTAACTGTATAAACAAAGTGATTTAACATATGAATAACAGAGACTTAAAGGACCACTATAGTGCCAGGAAAACATACTCGTTTTTCTGTCTCTATAGGGTCCTTGGGTCCCCCTCACCCTATGGGTCCCACTCCTGCTGGGCTCTAGGGGGAGGAAGGGGTTAAATTCCTACCTTTTTCCAGCGCCGGGCTCCCTCGCCGCTGGGAACTCTCCTTCTTCCGACGTCATCGGCTGAATGCGCATGCGCGGCAAGAGCTGTGCGCACATTCAGCCACTCTCATGTGAAAGCATTCTCAATGCTTTCCTATGGACGCTGGCGTCTTCTCACTGTGAAAATCGCAGTGAGAAGCGCGTAAGCGCCTCTAGTGGCTGTCAATGAGACAGCCACCAGAGGCTGGATTAACCCTAATGCAAACATAGCAGTTTCTCTGTAACTGCTATGTTTACAGCAGGCAGGGTTAATCCTAGATGGACTTGGCACCCAGACCACTTCATTAAGCTGAAGTGGTCTGGGTGCCTATAGTGGTCCTTTAAGCAGTGAGACTGCAAGAGCATGACCTATACACCAAAACTGCTTCATTAAGCTAAAGTTGTTTTGGTGAGTATAGTGTCCCTTTAATTGTTCTTTTAAGTGGCCTGCTATGCTATAATTACTTATTTGTGTTTGCTGGAACTGTGCTGTGATGCTTCTTTTTTTTTCTTTTGTATCTCAGGGCATAAACAGTTATATTCATGGAAGAGCACATTCACATTTTTACAAATGTATTTATTATATACGCTTATGATATATGATTGTTATTTCTAGACTTTAATATGAATACACATGAACAAAATAACAGAAAATACCTGTTCTTGGAAAGCACTTTGGGGTTAAATTGCAATTCAGAATTGGTATATAACTGAGAAAATATTCTGACTTTCGGGTGGTGTAACATGAGTGTTTTCAAGGTGATTGATCACATTCCCAAAAATGTGAAACCTTTTTCTTCTGGTAAGAACACCAAAGTTAGAAATTGTTATTGTTTTAAAATGGGGCTCAGTTTCAGTTCACATACTCCAAGATGACATGAATGACAAGCAAAACTGATCCATCTCAAATGATCTGACTTGCCTGTATGACCCTTTTAATAGTGCAGTGATGATGAAAATAGATGATATGTGTGTCATTACCCTATTGTGTTCACAGTTCCAAATCAGCATTGATATGCATGTCTCTTAAGCATGTCTTAGAGTCCGTTAAGCATGTTTCATCTGTGTACCAATTCACACCCTCTCATCCATAGCTTCCTGGTGCCTCATAATGGCATCATATATGACATGGAACCCTTCCATTGGTCTCCTTTTATAAAGTCAGTCTTTGTTGTGCTTTTCGATGATATATACACTCTTGTGTAACCAATCACAACCCAGTATATGGTATATATACTTCCTGGTTGTCCTTGTTTCCTTGCCTTGTTGTGGTTCTTGTTACCTGAGAGAGTGTTTATACTGTGTATTGGATTTAATGTTTTCTGAACTTGGCTTGTTTGACCATTCTTGCTCTCTGTTATCCTGACCTTGGCTTGACTATCAATTCCATGCTTTTCTGTTATCCTAGACCATTGCATTTACTCTCTGTTTACTTGTAGACATTTAATTGATCTTTTTTAGGCACTAGCCTGGTGTTCTTTTACCATTTCCTTTAGGTTTGCATGTTAGGATATCCCCATTCCTTACAATGAATCATTTTTGTTATGTTATTATATATATATGTATACATTTTTTTCCAATTCTTTATTTTTTTTGTGCATAAAATTACAGAGAACAAATGAGCTTGCCATGCCACGACAACAGTAGCGAGCATGTGTAATACAAGAGTTAACATGGCATGTGAGGAAACAGCACAATAATCAAGCTTGATATGTTGAGTAGACTATGAAAACTTGAACAGGCTTAGTATATATGAGAAAACAGTGCTGATGTTATCAGGTTAGCCCAACCATGCATGGGTATACAAATGAAAGGCATCAGAGACAAGTAGGCAGTTATGAAAATTAAAATCTAGGTAGACAAATTAGACAATTGACATTTGCTCATCAGGTTAGACAAGAGACTGAATGACATTTAGAGACCCCCTAAGAAACCCCCTGGTTATCTAGGCTTGAGTCCCCCAGTGTAAATCAAAGTAAAGTAGAAACTAAAGCAAGAAATGTCTTTCCCGTACAACCTGTGGTAGCAATGCTAATTCTGGCTATGTTATTATGCTGTTACGGCATTGATGTTAACTTTGCTTAATGGATTGATGACAAATCATTAGTATTATTTTGGTGACTTTTGCATCCACTTAATTACCAGCCAGTAACATGTCCGTGATTATCACAATATAGATTCTAATATACTCCACCCGTTGTTCCTTAAATTATTTAGGGACCTTATATAAAACCTGTATGTGTATGGTAGATGCTTCTTAGATTGCATGCTTTCCATTCACATATAGTGACTTGCCACTTCTGATACTGATGAAACAGGTTTTTTTTATAGTGTGGGAGGAATGGTGTTTGTGTATGCTGTGTTTCATGTTTTGTATGGTTAGTGATCTTGTACGGATGCTGAATGGTTGCCAACACAGAAATTAGTATTGGGTGAGATGTTGCAATGAAAGATGACAGTGAGCCGGGGAAAATGTAGTCTGTTCTAGGCAATGAAAATATAATATAGTACTGAATATTCCTTGTATGGTGTATTGAACTTATTATTCTGTAGTGCATCCTATAAAGTTTAAAACAGAACCTTGGGAATCACTACCAGAGTTCTGAAGCAGTTTTCTTTAAATGTTTTCAATGTGATGATGGCTGTCTTTAACATTTATTGCACTGTATGTTATGTTTAACTGTATGCAAGATCACTCCTATGCATACACAGAATGTTTCCAGAGATAAGGTTACTGACGAAATTAGTGAAGAAATAGTTATGCTCGTGATAAACTTGTTGCCTTTGCATTGATTCACTTTTAGTCCATTTCCTGCCTTTCTCTCCTGCGATCTCATTTCTCATGGGCTGAGAACAGCTGCTGCTTACAAAACTCTCCAGTGGCCGGATTGGCCATGCTCCTGCATGATTCAATGCCTGTGTGTGTGTGATGTTCTGTGGAAGTGGCTGCTAGTTCCATTCTTCCTGTAAAGGTATCATTCTGATTCATACATGATACGATGTAATATTGTGCTGCTTGTCGAATGGAACTCTGACTGTACAATATTAATTAAATGGATACCATGCTGCCAGGAATACAAAGCTGTATTTCTGGCACTATAGCTCCCTCTGGCTATTCCCTTTATTTACTTACCTGAACTCGTTGATTGGTGCTGGGTCGTGGCTCTGTCTCCTCCGACGTCACTCTATTGCCGTGTGCTCATTAGGCTTCCCCATAGCAAAGCATTGATTAATGATTTCCTATGGGGAAATAGCTGACGCTGGCTGTCCTCATACAGAGCATAAGTACATTCAGCGTCAGTGGAATAAACGTCCGGTAACATTCCGTAAGTGCCTCTAGTGGCTACCTGGTCTGGTAGACAGCCACGGCAGGCGGACTTAGTGCTGCAATCTAAACATTGCAGTTTCTCTAAAACTTAAATGTTTTACTTTGCAGCATTAAGTGCAATAGGGACACTGTACCCAGACCAATTCAATGAGCTGAAGTGGTCTGGGTGCCTATAGTGTTCCTTTAAGAAAACATATATACTGGCAATACTATCTTTTGTAACTCCCATCACTCTTAACCTTGCTGAGAATAATGAGGATTATAGATCAAAACATCATGAACACAATCATTCCCCCCACCCAATGTGAATGTTCTCCCAACCACAAAAATGGACATTGGTTAACAGAGTGCCCCCTAATCCAGGGGTAGGTAACCTTCGGCACTTCACATGTTGTGGACTACATCCCCCATCATGCTTTTACAGCAATAATGCTAGCACAGCCTCAGAGGAATGTAGTCCATAACATCTTGAGTATCTAAGGATGTCTAAATCTGCCCAAACCTAAACCCTAACCCAATCATCTTGATCTTATAAATGACTAATAATGTTGCATTGTATTGGCTGAATTCATATTTTTTAACAAGCTGTTTTGACAGCAGTGTTTTAAAAGAATGCCATTTTGGTATTTCCTTTTTTTATTTTTATTTTTTTATAGGGAAGTTCATTTTAAAGCGATAAGCACATTTTTTTTACAGATTCCCACTGAAATTTCCTAACTTTTATTATTATTTATTTTTTAATATATACATTGCGCCTGTCAATAAACTAGAAATATATAAGAAGCATTACAAAAATTTTTTTTCCTATATTTGTGAATATCTCTGCCAGTTCATGGTCTGGCTTCATCTGTAGATTCATATGAGATCTCTGTACGCTGACAAACAAGAGCTCGATTAAAAAGGGGCTATCAAATAGAGTATATAGACTTCACAGAGTTAGCAGTATAAAACAAATGTATCTAAATCACAAAGAATAAAACAGAATTGCTGTATTTTAAACATATTTGTTTTTAAATGTATTTAATAGTAAGATTTTACTTGGCAGTGTTTCAATTTTGTGTCAGTGGACATATGACAAAATGTATCCAAGCAGAGTCTTCCTTGTTCTCTCACAACATATATGTTTCCTTTCTAGTGTGATGGAACACTCGGAGTTAAACCGCATGACGACTCAGAATATTGGTATCGTCTTTGGACCAACGCTGATGCGACCAGAAAAGGAACTGTTTTCTAATATAGCTGCAAATATGGTATATCAGAATCAAGTGGTAGAGCACTTCCTTTCTAACTATGAAGAAATCTTTTCAGCAAGTCCAGAGGAGTAAGAAGAATATTTATTTAGCAATCTTTTTGTTTGTACCACAGAGAGCACCACAAGATTCATAGCTTATGTACAACTAAAGAAATATAAATGTGTTGGTTGCAAAATAATGATCATAGTCTTGAAACTATGGTGTGAACTGGAGATCTGCATGGACGGTTCATGAAATCCCTGGTTACCACGAAGTTCTGAGTTGGACTGTTTTACTACTTCAAAGTAACAGTGGAGCAGCAAATATGGTACAAGAATAAAAAACATACTATTGCTGTAGATATGATAGGAATTTTATTTAGGTAATAGATAGTTTTGAAGATATTGTTTACTGGAAAAAAAATTAGAATGTGCATCGGTAACATTTTGAGAAGACCAAACTCCATCCAGTTTAAACTTCTGTCCAGATTTTTTTAACCTTGCATGTGATTCATAGACTACTTGCACTCTGTTTAAAGTGGCTATTAATGCTAACTTTGTTTCCTTGTGTATCTTTGTACATTTACTTTAAAAGCTATATATTTTTTCCTTTCTTGTGCCGTCTTGTTTCTTTGAACAAGTGTCTGTGTTTCAGTGATGTAAATAATTGAAGTGTATCTGGAGAATATGGTGGCGTGACAGTGCTCATTGTTTGCAATCCTTTGCATTATTGTTGTTACATCATTTCTGTAGACCAACCTCCAGCTCAGAGAGATACGGTACCAGAATTCATATCACAGATCCTACTAATTCACAAATACTACTCAGTGTCATGTACTGGGTCCAGTGCTGGATATGCATTTTATTTTAGGTATCTGATTAGTGGAAGTCATATCAGTAGCAATTTATTTATTTTTACAAACTTTACCCCCCTCAAATTACCTTGCTGAATTGCCGAATTTCCGAAGTGCTGAATTCCTGAAGTGCCGAATCGAACCAAATTGCAGAAGTTCCTAATTGCCGAAGTTCCGAAGTGGGTTGGGGTTAGGGGTAGGGTTACAGGTTAGGGTTTAGGGGTTAGGGCTAGTTCTGAATTGCCGAAGTTCCAAAATGGGCTAGGGTTAGGGGTAAGGTCTAAGGTTTAGGGTTAATTCACAGATCCCACTCAGTGTCATGTACTGGGTCCAGTGCTGGATATGCATTTATTTTAGGTATCTGATTAGTGGAAGTCATATCAGTAGAATTTTTTTTTTCACAGCTTCCTCCCCCCACCCCAAATTACCCAATGTCAGTTTACGCAGACCACGTCCAGTGATATAACATGACATTTTGCTTGATTCTGCATTGCATACCCATTAGCACTACAAATCCAAGTTACACATAAACCACTGATGCAATGGCTTGATCAGGAAAATAGAGATTTTTTTTGTTGTAATTCTCTATTCCTGATCAAACCATGACAGCAACGACATTATGCACTGAGGGATGGAGCTACCCATAAATCAATGCTGTCATGGCTTAATCAGGGAAAGAAAAATACAGTAGGTATGAAAACAACTTTCGATTTTATTGCCAAAGACAGCCAGACAAAATGTTTTTATTTTCTATTACGTACATTTTTTAGCAATCATTTTTTATAGCACCTTTGTCTCCCATGGAGATGCAGACCACTCTAGTTCACATCAATGCACTTTTGTAAAAATACAAATCAAACCATTTTTATTTTAAAGCCAACATCTCTCCAGAAAGACCGAATTACTCTGACACCAGCCACGAATTAAGACTGCTGTCTGAAAGACTCATAGGTTTATTCACAGAACACTCAAATAACAAAACTGAGACTAACATTTCTGAATTGGAAAATATCTCCAACTCAACTTTACTCACCGCTAGACGATTTATTCATTATTAGGCCATTTGAATAAAATTAGTTAAAGTTCAGTGTTGACTAATCATGTTAATCTTTTAGGATAGTTTTTTTGAAAAAGTGACAATTTAAATATATGGTGTCTATTTGGGTCAGAGGTTGCGAATTGGGGGGTTAAAAAGGAAAAGCCCAACAAGGCAGGAGGAGCAGCGCCCACTAGACATGTGCAATTTGTTTCGTTCCGAATGTATATTTGGACATTCCGATGCCTACGAATGTCTGAAGTGTGAATTGCTGTATTTCCAAAGTGGGTTATGGTTTAAGGTTAGTGGTTAGGGTTTGGAGTTAGGGTTAGGGTCCGAATTGCCAAAGTCCCGAATTTTAAAAGTATATCTAGAATTTATAATATTATACATAATGCATGTATTAAAGGTGTTTTGTTTAACCTGTAGAGTCAAGGGATTATAGTCAACAAGAAAAGGACTTCTATATTCTGCTGTACGCCTATATCATATGCATGGTTTGTGGATTTTGTGAAATTAAGCATCATATTAGGCTAGTCACAGAGAAATGGATAGATGTGTGAAGGTGTACAAGTTGAAATACCTTGAGGCCACATCAGTAAAAAAAAAGGAACCAAAAAGGAGAAAAAACAAGGTAATTAAAAGTTATTGTTATTTATATAGCGCCAATGCATTCCGCAGCGCTTTACGTTGCTCAAAAAAGTTTACAATGTATGGAAGGCAGGTATATATCGTTAGGTGTCTTGTCCACAGACACTTACTGGTAAGATGGTCTGACCATGATTTAAAGCTGGGTTCCCCAGTTCTAAAGTAGTGATGTCACCACTGCTCTAACCAGTTACGATTAATGACAGTAAAAGTGATAAACCAATGTCACGTGGTTTATATTCTCACTAGTCTGTTTCAACTCTCATTGTGAGAAGCTTTTAATCTACTATTCACATTTTGTGTTTCTTTATGGTCTTACTGTGTGGCAGCCAATTAGAGCTGAGATGGGATCTGGTATAGGTGTAAAGCACATGACCTCTACACACTGATTTAGTAACTACTCATAGAAATACCTTTTCTGTGGTTTTGTGAGTCAGAGAAACAGTTAGTAAGGGAAACTTTATGTCTATAATGTTTATTTTTGCTTTTTAAAATTCGCAGAAAAAAAATTGTTCCAAGTGAATCTGCGCTGACTTACTCTTTTTTGAAAGTGGGAAATTAGGTTTCACACAGAAAAATTTGAAATATTCTTCATAAAGAAAAAAATGGTAAAAAAACCCCCATACCTTTTAGTTGTTTATCAGAAGAGCTAAATGTCACCAAATTTAAAAGAGAAATATTTATTTACTAATGAAGTACACTTTCAAAAATTTCAGTTTTATTCCAATGTTCTTCTGACTCTTGGAAGCCTGCAGTACTTTCTGTTGTCTCCTAGGAACGAATCCAGATACCCCACCCATACATGATCTGAAAATGCTATGGGTGGCCTCTGCCATATGAAATAGGAAGTGTTCCCAAACACATCTAACTGTGTAAATGTAACTGTAAATGTCATAGACCAACTTGTGGGCAATTCAACTATGTGATTGGACTTTGATTGGTGGACTAATTTGATTACCATATTAGGTTTGTAAGTTTAAGCTGATTATAAGCGATAATGTATAATTTCTGATGATAAAAAAAAGGATTTTGTTCTCTTTTATCTATTACAAAAAACTTGAGAATTACCTCATCCGCTACTATGTTAAAACAAAAAAAGAAACGTTAACTGTCACTGTGGAATTTGATATATAAACATTTTAATTGATAGCAAAAAAATATATACATTTAAAATGGGAACAATTTGTCACGTATAATGTAAAAATGGCAAGATAAAATAAATTGATGACACATTGTTTCACTTTGATGCAAATTATTAGTTACTGGTAACCATATCAGTTAGAATCCCAGTGCCCCAGTGCTTGGCATTAGACCAGGGAACTAAATATATTACATTCCATCTGCCAGTCTAGTGAGTGGGCCACTAATATTTGCTGTTAAACCTCATATTACATTCAACATTTCTTTGGTTTCACCTTGATTTCTACATTCCTGTGCTAGTTACACACCACAGAACTGGTTCGGCACTTTCAAGGTACAAAGATAAAGAACGTGAATTAAAACGTATCACTGGTCAGCACGGGCTGCAGACGAGAAATATGAGACGCATTGATATTGACACGAATGTGGCCTCTTTAAGTTTTGCCATGTATAACAGTACAACTTCTTGCTCGATTTTAGTGTTCGATGGAGTACCTTCTGGCTGTTGGTCAACTTCCCCCTAAACTGTTAATGGTATATTTACAATTGGCCTTTAGGTTTCTTTGATTTAAGTATTGTACCATCTATTTTCAAACAATAGAGAGAGAAGGGCTGTGCCACATAAAATTGAAAAGGTATTTCTAAATAGTCTCGTCCCAACAATACAAATTGTCACATATAAAGAGGTTTCTTATCAGGAGGTAGATGCAGCTATTTAGTTCTTTATGCTTGGGGGATGTGGTAGAGTAGATCTGAGTATCTTTAGTCTCCGTATGTGGATAGAGAAAGAGAAGGCAAGCTAATAGTGCAATATGTCAACGCTTAATGTGACAGTATTTGAATAATAACGATGTTGCACTCACATGTAAGAGAGCTATTGCATACAGTGGTACAAACCCACTTATGAGGGATGGTGAAGGTCGTTCACAGCAGATGGGTATCCAGGTACTCAGAAAGAAAATAAAAAATAGTCACAGATAGAGCTCTCAATAAAATAGTAAAAGTTGTATAAAATGAATCAGAATTATACTCATAAGAGTAGAGCAGGCTCACTGCTCTATGATGATAGCGTTGGTGGTATGATCCCCACCTGGGATATTCTTGAGAGTAGAGATGATAAAAATGATAAAAAAATTATGATAAAAATGCCAGGAAGTATAAATTAGGAAAAAATGGTTATAGTCTATTGTGCCATCACCTATATATTTTAGTCTATCATCATAGAACAGTGAGCCTGCTCTACTCTTGTGAGTATAATTCTGATTAATTTTATACAACTTTTACTATTTTATTAAGAGCACAATCTGTGGCTATTTTTTATTCTCCTTCTGAGTACCTGGACACCCATCTGCTGTAAACAACCCTCACCATATCCCATAAGTGGGGATTACACCACTGTATGCGATATACATAAGAGCTGATCATAGCTCTGTTACATGTGAGTGCAACATCATTATTATTGACATATTTGACATATTGCACTATTAGGTTGCTTTGTCTTTCTCTATCCACATATGGAGACTAAAGACACTCAGATCTACCACATCCCCCAAGCATAAAGAACTTAACAGCTGCATCTACCTCCTGATAAGAAACATCTTTATATGTGACAATTTGTATTGTTGGGACGAGACTATTTAGTAATACCTTTTCAATCTTATGTGGCGCACCTCTTCTCTCTCTTTTGTTTTCCTGTGTGTTATTTTGAAGGGTTGAGAGGGATCCCTTCTTAGGGTTGCTGCCTAGTTGTTTATTATTTTCTTTTATTAAGCGCTGACCCAATTGTGTGTTTTTATTTTCAAACAATGCCTAAATAGTCATAAATATATTAATTGCATTATTATTTGCCTCATATATATTCACATACCTTTTTCCTGACTCACCTTTTAAAATGGACATAACTGAAACCAAACTTCAAACCATCAACAAAAGAGATTGTATTTTTACAATATATATTATGTAAACTCCTTTATCAATAACTGTTAAATATGAACGGTAACATGCCTACTTCTCACTTTCAGAGTTTAATTAACACATTTTCTACCAAGATCTTTCCGCAAATACTAAAACTATGCATACACAATTATGTATTTCTTTTTTTTCTGCAAAAATAGTGGTGGAATTTACTCGTGATTAGACAGTGAAACTAGATAACATAACGAGCTTTCGGTTGTTATGACAATGTAAATGTGTATTTATATCTGTATGCATCAAGTGACACATGTAGGCATGGCAGATTACCACGTTTTCTGCAAAATAGAAAATACAGGGATTCAAAATGTATTCTCATTTAAAACATACATTTGCCTGAGAAAAAAATAAATAAAAAATAATGTTAAAAAAATAAAATAAAAATAAGAATAAGAGTATTAAAATGAAATTCAGAGAAAATATAAGACTTCTCTTCAACGCCTACCGAATGAGTTCTTTGAGTACTTTGCTGTTCATACTGAGTTCAACACATAGTCACGTGGCATGTAGAAACAGTCATTTTAAAGATATTTAAAACAACCTTTTTAGGCATAGATGATGACCTCTTATCATTTGTACAGTCTTGTTTATGAACAGGTCACCAGAGAGCTATTTGTACTGTTCATGTATATATTTGTATAATTCTATTTTAGCATATCACCCCGAGACACATTTTTCCAATTACAACATTTGTAGCTCGGCAATTTAGGACAGGAAATAAAAGCTATAATTACCCCTCCTACCAGATAGGATCTCCAGTCTTTGTTCCTATCCTACTGGCTGTGGACAGTTTCTCCTTTTTCCAAGGTTTACTGTTTTATTTTATGCTCACGAGGACACTTTTTGAAAAGGTCCAGCCAGGAGAGGTCAACCTCTCTCTTCCTGGAGACCTAGTACATGCAGCCCTGTTGAAGGTGACTCGTTGGGTGCACCCGTTTAATAACCAGGGGTCTGACCTAGACTCTCTCTTGAAGAAGTTGACGATGGTTTACGGGTGCACAAGGAAGCCTCTAGATTAAATATATCCAGTTTTCAAAATCTTCCTTTGCCAGTAGAACACAAGCCTGCAGGTTTTATCTTATCCCAGTTGCCAAGTTTATTTTTGTCACATCTCAGGTAAGTGTATTGGTAGTATAGATTAGCAGATGACCAAATACGTAATGTCTACTTTTACCATTATTAGACAGAACAGTAATGTTAACAGGGAAGGCTGACATGCAAGCTGTTATAGAAGGCTAGGTTGGTGTATGGCGTGTTGTGATTGTGGCTACAAGTGTGTGTGATATGTAGAACAGTGGGAATTTGAACATGGATTGGTGATTCATAGAGAGTTTTTTATGAATTCTTGCTCTATGTTTAAATTCCTATTATAGCCTTAAATTAAAGTTTTTGGATAAGCTTTTCAAATGATTTAATATTTTTGGATAAACGTTTAAAATGATTACATATTTTGAAAAAAAAAATAATAGTTTCATTTTTTTTTTAATTTTGAAAAAATATTTTAACAGTTTGTAAAAAAATTTTTAAATAATTAAAAAAATGTATCCAACAATATTAAAGAAGGCCTATTAATGTAAATAAGCTGCTAGGTTCCGCCCCTCATGCACAAAAGGACTCTTGACATCATTATGACTAGTAATAGATTATCAACATTTCTTTCTAAGCTTGGAGGGAATAAGCATCAATGCTGGTGAGGTGGGTTGTTGCCCAGTAAAGTTCATCAGTGCTAATACTGTTGCATTCCGTTGCCATAATGGCACAGCTTGCACATTCCAAAGACCCACACTGGCAAGCAATATAGTGTTCATATTATTGCCCAATGACTGTTGACTGATGTAGTCCAAAACATCTGGAGTGGCAAAGGTTGCCTTCCCCTGCTTTAAAACATATTAGTCTGCAACACTCTTGGCTTTGAATTTGGCAGAATTCCATAATCTACCACTGGGTTCATTTTCAGGGTACTATCTTAAAAACATTGCCCACCTTGGCTGCACTTAAAGCTTATGAATACTTCCCAACTTGTACCTGTAGAGATCTTACTTGATATACATACTAGACTTGTGCACTGCAAGCAAACTTGGCTTGGTCAAAGCATATTTCCCAAACGAAGAACATTTCGTCAGTTTAGCCCTGCAAAATTTCGGTACAAAAAAACTGATTCGGGAACCAAATCAGATGAAGGTGAAGGGTTCAAAAATGGAGCAATCGGTGTAACTCAAAATATGTCTGTAACATTTTCCTGCCATTTGGTTCACAGGTCAAGTGAAAAAGTAACCAACAGAGTGAAAAAGAGGAGGAATAAAAATATACATTTTTTGTACCGCTCCTCTTTTTTTCCCATTCTACTCATCACTTTTAAAATTTAGGGATTGTCCCCTAGCCATCAATATTCTTTTTCCACCAATCAGGTTTCAGAATCACAAACTGAAATGGACATACTCTGCCTATTCACGGTTCAGTTGGTTTGTGATTCAGGCACATTTCAACTCAGACATCGGCAATGCGATAGTTCGCCCATTTGGCAAAAATGCTGATGAATTGACATTTGGACTGAAACGTATGTTCAAGTCCAGTCCATACACAATATTCAATGTTCAGTTCAGTCTGCTAAAAAATTCTTAAATTATCTTTCTATTTATCAGGCATCACCGATCACTCTTTTGAACATCATATTCTGTTACCTGCACATCAATCGTACATTACTATCACTTTTTTAAAATTCACCTCCCCAACTTACATTGTCTTGCTCCTGACAGATTCACTTACTTTTTATGGAAGCTTACTTACTTGTGGCTTATTTTGTTATGGAAGCCACCATCACTGCTATACCTGTTTTCCGTGCATAGAGACGCTAATCTCAGACAGAACTGATACAAAAAACTGTATATAGAAGGAAGAACATCTACAAGTTAGATGTCTGAGTTCTGATGACAAAAAAAGTGCTTATATGACAGTTGAGAGATTTCTTGTATCTCAGCTCATTGGTACACCATTTTGACCTATTCCTTCTAGATTAACAATGTTCCATTTGTTTCCCTCATTCATTATCACTGGATGTTATAGATTATACTTACTGTACTCAATCCATTTTCATATACTTAAACTTACTTTCTAAATAATTGCAACCTACTGGCAATCTATAGTTAAATGAAGGAAATGCCTTCCCTCTCCCCCTTCTACTATGCCATATTTAAACAATGTATTATTTCTTTATTATACAAACCATCCAACACACTTTTCAAACTTTGAACCCTTGAATGTTAAATGAACAATTTAAGCAAGATAATCTCTGCAGACCACTGTAGTGATTATGGTGCCAGGAGTGCATAGCCACTCACTCAGAGTAAGTAGTCAAACCATTTGAGAATGGTTTGACAACTTACCTGGTCTAAGGTCTGGGTGTTCTATATTTTTAGCTAAGCTGATTGGCTGAGATCAGTCAGCTGACACTCTCAGACTCTGGGTTTGTGTGAGAGGGCTTCGCTTAGTGAAGCTAATAGAAGCTCCTTGCTTACCCTGGTAGGGTACCAAGGCACTCCTGGCACCATAATCACTACATAACTCCTCCTTATTTTTCACAGCACATTGTTACCAGTTATGTATCGCCACTCTTATGTACTCTATTTATAGTGCTGTACAACACAGGCAGCACAGAGCAGAAGCAAGCATCATTCTGTGTTTTCTATGCATCAATACACTAATCTCAAACATGGTTTGGTCTGCCCAGGATTGGTGGGAGTTATGCTCTCAAGCACCAACTGCCACCATTTTAATTCCGATCATTCACAATGTAAACCAATGTAGGCGACTGAAATAACTACCATCTGGGAATAAGACTCCTGCGTTTATATCCCAGAGCTGCCTTGACAATAAATATCCATGCTTAACCTTAAGTATATTCTTACACTACAGGCTGAATGAATTAGAATCTATTTTTCACTCAACATATATAGATTAAAGACTGGGGCAATTATTAAAGATAACTGACATATATAAATCATTGTATCACTAGAGATTGATATATTTATAGACATATATGGTCTGAATTCAATTTATAGATTATTAAAATATATTACTAATTACTGAAGTAAAAAGAAATACAAAATATGAGATAATAAAACAGACCAGATAACCTGTAGTTTCTCAGCTGTTGAGAAAGTGCCCAAATACATCGTCATTGAACAACTAAATGTCACCTGAGAAACGTGGTTGTTCCAGTGCAACAGCTGGTGGATAATAATAATAATAGTTATTCCTACCATAAAGGGTCACTCATATAAAAATAGGACAAATATATAACAGTGCATCAATTACCATGGAAACCAATGCAATCCACAGAAACAGGCTGCCGTGGTGATTATTTCACTTCTAAAACCTTGTGATTTTGCAACACATTAAAGGCACCAAATGCATTAAACTAAAGAAAGCTTTACCCTGTCAGCGCAATTTAAATTTACTCCAGAGATATGGCACCATTATAGTACAATACCATAAACTATAGTTATTTAATATGTAGAGTTCCGATATACGTTACAGTGGAATAGCAGAAAATCTGAAACCTTGCTACAAGCCTATGACGTTGTTCATTTCATTGACTTTTACAGCACCAACTGATGTGTAGACCTCTTCGTTTTAAAAATTCACAAAATTGTACCACAGTTTTCTTAAACTACACAGTTTATCACCATTGTTCCCTTTATTCATGATGTCCAGTGTTATACAGTCTGTCAGTGTTCTCCAGTGGCTTCTGGTTCTTCATTTGTCTGCATGTTTAAATGATTCTTATCATCGGTGGTATTTTCCTCCCAAACTATTTGACTGTTTTCTGAGAGATCAGTAAGATCCTTACGGCAATAGGAATATCGATGATTCATGTGCTGAGAAAATGATCCAGAGTGAGAAAACCTCTTGCCACACTTGTCACAACAATAAGGTTTCTCGCCAGAGTGGAGTCGAACATGCTCAATGAGATGATGCTTATGCTTGAATGCCTTTGGACAGACTGTGCACTGATGTGGCCGACTTCCTATTGTGAAGAAAAAGGCAAACTTGTTTTCATCATTCAGCATACTCTTATATCATCATAGATTGATCCAGTTATGCATGCTGGAAGTAGTATAAATGGCTAAATTACAGTAATTGGATCCTCCATGCAGACACTGTGCAGCACTGGGTTAGGCAGCACCTCTGGTGGCCGTATGAGTGACTGCCACGAGAGGTGTACTAGACAGCAAAGTAAATACTGCCTTTTCTATGAAAAGACTGTGTTTACAGTGTTAAGAGTGCAGGGACATTCTATAGACACCTAAACACCTACATTAAGTTGTAGTGGTTCTGGTGACTACAGTGTTTTTTCATGGGAATAATGTAAAATTATAAATATCTTAAGGGAAGTACAGAAAGTCTCAGTGGGAAAAAAAAGCCTCCTACGATTGCTATAGCGCCTTTGTCATGTTAACTAATTCTGGCCTGAATTACATATCAGTCAATGACGTGTATCCACAGATTTTCTACTCCCAATAAGTCATGTAATGGTTTGATTCAACTTAATTCCAGCAGTGAAACGCTTAACGAGAGTAGAAAAATATTAATTCCCATTTTGAATCTAAAGCCAATATTTTACATTGAAAATATAGGTTTTAACTATGCAATTCCCTTCAATGGGCACATAGCTTAAAACTATTGATAAATATTTTTTTGTCCACTGGCTGCAATTTAAAAAAAAAAGCCTGTGTGGGTCAGTATGACCTTTCACTAGTATAGTCAAAACATTCCTCATTCCCTCACACACTATGCCGGGGTTGGGGGCATCTCAGTGCTGTTGTAGTCTAGTCGCTAATAACAACCATCACCGAGTGAGCATGCCATGCCTCCTCCCAAAGTCAGCGGGTGGGAGCTACATTAAAACTAAATGTGAGTTATTACTTGGCCCTATGGTGAGACCCATTAATAAATAAACATTAAGGGGCAAATTACCAATAAACACTATAAGACAAAGTTCCCCCTGTCCCCACATGTGGTATTTTGACCACCCATAGTCTTTTGTGCAACTTCTTTTTTAATGATCTTCAGAAAAATAATGTCAAATACATTTTGATTGTTTTAGACTGCAATTACTGTAGATCTGAGAAGTGCAGTGAATTTGATTTACCAAGATATTCATAATATGTAGACACTAATTTAAACAAAATAAATGTATAATGATTGCAAGAGCTGGGATTGGTGGCTAAGACTGGATAAGATATTAATTTGCTGTGGTCAATGGTGACTGTCCAGAATGATGACTAGTTATCAGGCTTTTTCTTCTGAATTCCTGACTGTGGTCATCAGCCATGTCATCAGTGACATGTGCATTGTTTTGAAATAAAAATGAATTTTTTTATAAAGACAAAAGAAATATACAATAAATGAAATATTTTTTAATTTAGATTTGTTTCTAAAATTAAACTATTAACTGCATTAAGATCACTTAACTAGACCAGCTAGAAGTTGTTATCCAGAACAGAGGGAGGAGGGCACTCCAAGAGCCTATAGTGCCAGGAAAACGGGTTTGTTTTCCTGGCACTATAGGATCCCTTTAAGAGATGCATGATAAAAATACAAGCCATACATGTAAGGTAAAAGAATATGTTTCCAAAAAGAAGATCATACAATGGTAAGTACAATATACACTGATCAGTCACAACATTAAAACCACCTGCCTAATATCATGTAGATCCCCATCTGCTGCCAAAACAGCTTAAATGCATTGAGGCATGGACTCCACAAGACATCTGAATGTGTCCTGTCGTATCTGGCACCTTCAGCAGAAGATCCTTTAAGGACTGCAGGGTATGAGGTGGGGACTCTATGGATTGGATTTGTTGTTCCAGCACAACCCACAGATGCCTAATCTGGGGAATTTTAAAACCAAGGCAACACCTTTAACTTTTTGTCATGTTTTGCAGTTTGACAGTGTGCATTATCGTGTTGTAAGAGACACTGTCATCAGGGAACACCATTGCCATGAAGATGTGTACGTGGTCTGTAATAATCTCTAGTTGGGTGGTATATGGTGGTATATGTCAAAGTAACATCCACATGAATGCCAGGACCCAAGATTTTCCAGCAGAACATTATCCAAAGCATAACCCGGCTTCTGCTGGCCTGCCTTCTTCCCATGCTGCATGGTGGCCATCTACCTGGTCTAAAAGAAAATATGACCCATCAGACCAGGCAACCTTCTTCCATTGTTCCATAGTTCAGTTCTGAAGTTCATGTCCCCATTGAAGGTGCTTTCGGCAGTGGACAGGGGTCACTATACAGCCCCATCTGCAGCAAACTGTGATGCAAAGTGTGCTCTGTCCATCATGGCTAGCATTATGTTTTTCAGCAATTTGAGCTACAGTAGCTCTTTTGTGTGATCAGACCAGACAGACTAGCTTTCACTCCCCACATGTATCAATGAGCCTTGGTTTTAATGTTGTGGTTAATCAGTGTATATCTATAGAAAACCTTCAATTTACAATCATCTATGGCAAGTACAGCTTTGCTGTCCTTATAATTTTCATTAATGCAAAAGAGTGCTGATTTTGAACATTTCGAGTATAGCTTAAAGGGACCCTCTAAGCTCCAAAAACACTACATCTTTATGCAGTGGTATTAGTGCTTAGATGCTGTCCCTTAAATATGACATGTAAGTATTGCTGTTTTAAAATAATGACAATATTAAGATTTGTCAGTCAGCATGCTTCTAATGGCTCCCACTAGAGGCAAATCCTCCTAGAATACCTTCATTTCTTTAATGTATTCACGTTCAGCATTATGGCGAATGCACTTAAATCTTCAAATAGAAAAGCAATTGCATGGATGCCCAGTATGGCCATCAATGCTTCACTAAGAATAAGCTGGGTTTGCCTAAGATGACCCTAGTGATGATCTCAAAAGAAGTTGAATCAGCAGCTGCAACAAGACCAGGACACCGCTAGCTAAAAGGTGAGTTTAACTATTATCTTAATATGTAAAGAAGAGCCATGAATCTAAAGAGCAAGATGAACATGCTGGCATTATAAATACATATACATATTTATAACATTCATTTAAATTAGGCAGTAGATTGTGGTGAACAGAAAAAGGAATTGAACATTTCAATATCCAGTCCAATAGGAAAATTCTCCAACTCAGGAGTATTCACAAAAGTGCAAACATTCCCAAGCAAGTCTCACAAGAGATAAGAGTTGTTTGTCATAGCACTTTAATTGGTTGACTTACAAGATGACTAATTAGAGTGCTTTACTATGATTTCAAAGTGCGGAACGCCTCTATGAAGCCTGCACGGAGCCCTTATTTTTTTGTGACACAGTTAACATTTTTGGGTTGTTTTTTTTTTCTGGTCATTTTGTTTTTAAGTTGCATCTAGGTGCAATGAATTTTATCTGGTCTTTTTCGGGGGCTCAAGAAAGAAGACTTCTGAAGGTATGATTTTTTTCCCACCAGGTATTAGATTTATTGCCCCTTCACAAAGCACGAGGGTTGGTAAGATGCCAGGTACGATGCTACTAATAGGCAAATAGTACTTCAAATTACCGTTTGCTTGCATAAAAGCAAGTGAACGATAATTTTTGAATGTGCAATTTTTAAATGCATTCGGTACCTATTTTGTTCCATGGTGTTTTATTCTGAATGAAAACACTGATTTTTTTAAAACCAGACACCAAATACATCCTGATGATTATTGTGTATTCTGTTGGTTTGTCCAAATTCCGATCGGAATTATGTTTAGTAAAGAGTTTGGCAATTATCCATCTCGACCAAATCCACGTTTAGTGATAACCCTGTTAACTATTTTAGCACAACTTTCACAATGCAGATTTTAATTCAGTAAAATATAGTGTTTAGGCAACAAACTCCTGGATGGTCCCAATGCCTTCTTTCTGTCAAGATGATTTCATGGCCCAATTTAAAGGGAAGATATTTTAAAAAAAAATGGAGGCTGGATGATAGAGTGTATAGGTCTATGGTTATTTCAAGGTGATATCATGTGAATGTTCTTACCTGTATGTTCATATTTGTGACGTAAGAGGGAACTGCTCTTCTGGAATGTTTTATTGCACTGATCACAGCCATATAACCCATTTTCTGTCTTTTGTAGCTTTCTTCTTATTGTGCTCTTGTCATCCTCTTCAGATGCACTCTTAAAGAGTCTTCCCTTTAGGTTAAAATGATAAGGTTTATATTACAAACAGATTTTCAGTTTCTATTCTAGAATATGCTCATTAGTTTACCAATGTTATTTCTTAAATCTCTCCCAACAGTTTATAGGTTTCACTTTTATGAAGGCTATACAGTTGCAAGAAAAAGTATGTGAACCCTTTGGAAAGATATGGATTTCTTCACAAATTGGTCATAAAATGTGATCTGATCATCATCTAAGTCACAACAATAGACAATCACAGTCTGCTTAAACTAATAACACACAAAGAATGAAATGTTGCTATGTTTTTATTGAACACACCATGTAAACATTCACAGTGCAGGTGGAAAAAGTATGTGAACCCCTAGACTAATGACATCTCCAAGAGCTAATTGGAGTGAGATGTCAGCCAACTGGAGTCCAATCAATGAGATGAGATTGGAGGTGTTGGTTACAGCTGCCCTGCCCTATAAAAAACACACACCAGTTCTGGGCTTGCTTTTCACAAGAAGCATTGCCTGATGTGAATGATGCCTCGCACAAAAGAGCTCTCAGAAGACCTACGATTAAGAATTGTTGACTTGCATAAAGCTGGAAAGGGTTATAAAAGTATCTCCAAAAGCCTTGCTGTTCATCAGTCCACGGTAAGACAAATTGTCTATAAATGGAGAAAGTTCAACACTGCTGCTACTCTCCCTAGGAGTGGCCATCCTGTAAAGATGACTGCAAGAGCACAGCGCAGACTGCTCAATGAGGTGAAGAAGTAAGAGTGTCAGCTAAAGACTTACAAAAGTCACACTGGCAAATGCTAACATCCCTGTTAGCGAATCTACAATACGTAAAACACTAAACAAGAATAGATTTCATGGGAGGATACCACAGAGGAAGCCACTGCTGTCCAAACAAAACATTGCTGCACGTTTATAGTTTGCACAAGAGCACCTGGATGTTCCACAGCAGTACTGGTAAAATATTCTGTGGACAGATGAAACCAAAGTTGATTTGTTTGGAAGAACAACACTACGTGTGGTGAAAAAAAGGCACAGCACACCAACATCAAAACCTCATCCCAACTGTGAAGTATGGTGGTGGGGGCATCATGGTTTGGGGCTGCTTTGCTGCGTCAGAGACTGGACGGATTGCTATCATCGAAGGAAAAATGAATTACGAAGTTTATCAAGACATTTTGCAGGAGAACTTAAGACCATCTGTCTACCAGCTGAAGCTCAACAGAAGATGGATGTTGCAACAGGACAATGACCCAAAGCATAGAAGTAAATCAACAACAGAATGGCTTAAACAGAAGAAAATACGCCTTCTGAAGTGGCCCAGTCAGAGTCCTGACCTCAACCTGATTGAGATGCTGTGGCATGACCTCAAGAAAGCGATTCACACCAGACATCCCAAGAATATTGCTGAACTGAAACAGTTCTGTAAAGAGGAATGGTCAAGAATTACTCCTGACCGTTGTGCACGTCTGATCTGCAACTACAGGAAACGTTTGGTTGAAGTTATTGCTGCCAAAGGAGGTTCAACCAGTTATTAAATCCAAGGGTTCACATACTTTTTCCACCTGCACTGTGAATGTTTACATGGTGTGTTCAATAGAAACATGGCAACATTTCATTCTTCGTGTGTTATTAGTTTAAGCAGACTGTGATTGTCTATTGTTGTGAGTTATGTGATGATCAGATCACATTTTATGACCAATTTGTGCAGAAATCCATATCATTCCAAAGGGTTCACATAGTTTTTCTTGCAACTGTATATGTTTGTCTTCTTGCTAAACCATCTGTGCTCATTTGAGTGCTGTTGGTGTTGGTGTAAACAAAGATGTGTTCATGCCTAATTTGGGCCATCTGAGGTCTAACATTGAGTACCAAATAGTTAGGTTAATAACCTACTGACCTAACAAGTGATGGAGTAACCATTATTATGGTTCATGAGAAATCCAATCATCCTAATCCACTAATTGCTGCAAGGGATAATACAAACGTTAAATCTTCACCGACTATTTTACTTATAGTGGCAACCCTGTGTGTGGGCAAGCCTGCCCTCATATGAATCATGCAGTATCTGCCAAATGTTAGCATGTGGGTGTCTGCTATGCATTGTAGGATATACCCTTGAGCAGCTACTTGTGGGCTCTGTATTTATCTATGATGATAACATAGCAGCAATTTTAAGGAAATCAGAAAGAATAAAGGAGAACAGCACTATTTCTATAGATTTGTGAGCAACATTGGTTGCCTAAAGTGTAGATAAAATTGTAAAGATGAAGAACATGTTTTAGAAGTTAATTCCTGGAATGTTAGGGGACCAATATATTATTAAGTTCAATGTGATAAACACTTACCTTTTTAAGTGTTCTCGTACATTAACCCACACATTTACGTGCATGAAGAGGAGAAGAGAGGATCTGACTTCTGATCTCTCTTTCCTATAAATATTTCACCTTGTCTTGGAAGTATGTAAACAATGTGCTGAAGCCTTTGTTGGTCAGGTGGGTGAGGCATGTTCACTGATAGGCAGATTTATTTTCTCACTTAAGAGAGTTTAACTACTGATGTACTACTATGCTGTTTAATGATACTCTATGCAGCCACTGTTACAATAAAATGTTGTAGACCAGCGATGCCCAAAAGGTAGATCACCAGATGTGTAGAACTACAACTCTCATAATGCCTTGAATGCATTTAGAATATCTTTAGAATGGCAAATCATCACGGAAGTTGTCATTTTAAAACATTTGGGAATCTACCTTTTGGGCAGCCCTGTTGAATAAGAATAGTATATGGCACATAAGGCTGAATTAGCAATGGCTAGTTATATCACAAAAAGGGGGTAAAAATTATTTTGGTCTCCATAATGACAGTTAAAGAGAGTTCTCATTGGATCAACAACGAACGTATAATTTTATAATTTAAAGGACCACTATAGTGCCAGGAAAACAAACTTGTGTTCCTGGCACTATAAGATCATTAGGTCCCCCTCACCCTCATGGCCCCCCTCCTGCCAGGCTGAAGGGGGCTAAAGGGGTTAAACACTTACCTTTCTCCAGCGCCGGGCTCCCTCGGCGCTGGGGACTCTCCTCCCTCTTCCAACGTCAGTGCCGAATGCGCATGCCCGGCAAGAGCCACACGCACATTCAATCAATCCATAGGAAAGCATCTCAATGATTTTCACAGTGAGAAGCGCGGAAGCGCCTCTAGCGGCTGTCAATGAGACTAGAGGCTGGATTAACCCATATGTAAACATAGCAGTTTCTCTGAAACTGCTATGTTTACAGCTGCAGGGTTAAAACTAGAGGGACCTGGCACCCAGACCACTTCATTGAGCTGAAGTGGTCTCGGTGCCTATAGCGGTCCTTTAATAATGTCCTTGAATATTCTGCTTTTTGAAAAGCATCCAGGCCTTTAAAAAAAAAAAAAAATACCTATAGAGATTGATAAGACAAGCAGAGAATTCCACATCTTTATTGTTCTTACTGTAATGAACCCTTTTGGACCTTATTTTCCATCGCAATGGGTGACCTCTTGTCTGTTGAATATTCTTACTAATGATCAGGTTAGTCCATAGTGGTTTGTAGTCACACTGTATCAGGGCCGGACTGGGAGAAAAATTCGGCCCGGGCATTTTTTTAACACAGCGGCCCACTAAGAAGGGGGCGGGGCAGAGGAGGTGTGTTTTGTCATCACCAATGACAAACACGCCCCCTCTCAAAGTGAGCATGTTGGTTCAATGCTCTTCCAGGGCAGACCATGCGCAGAGCTCTGCTGAAGAGCTCTAGCATGATAAAAAAGCCCTGTATTTGTTCTGCACAGTGCAAGCAAATTTAATAACATGCTTGCACTGTGTTTCCTTGCAAATTGTCTCTGGTGTTTCTATAAAGATACCAGGAGACAAAAATGCCAGGAAAGAGTATTGTGCATGTGTTTGGAGCCTGCTTGTGGTATTACGTGTGTGTAGAGTGTGCTGATTGTGGTGTGGTATTGTGTAATAAGGTTGGTTTTAGTCATGTTGTGTTTGTGGTGTAATGTGATGCATATGTGGCTAGGGGCTGTAGAGAATGTGTATAGGGGATATAGCAAGTGTGTGCATACAGGCTATAGCGTGTGTGTGTGTGTATATAGGTGATGTAGTGTATGTTTAGGGGTGTAGTATGTGTTTGCTTACAAGGAATCTAGTGTGTGTATAGTGGATCCAGAGTGTGTATGTTAAGAGTGTAGTGTGTGTGTATATATATATATATATATATATATATATATATACATATATATATAAATATATATTTGGAAGTATTGTGTATGTGTGTGGTGCAGTATGTTGAGTGGGTTCTGTGTGTATGTGAGGGGTGCAGTATGTGTGTCTGAGGGGTGCGGTGTGTGATGTGTGTGAGAGTGCGGTGTGTGAGAGTGCTCTGTGTGATGTGTGTGTGTCTGATGAGTGTGAGAGTGCTGTGTATGATGTGTGTGAGAGTGCTGTGAGTGAGAGTGCTGTGTGAGAGAGTGCTGTGTGAGAGTGCTATGTGTGTGAGAGTGCGTGAGTGCTGTGTGTGAGAGTGCTGTGAGAGAGTGCTGTGTGAGAGTGCTGTGAGAGAGTGCTGTGTGAGAGAGTGCTGTGTGTGAGAGTGCTGTGTGAGAGAGTGCTGTGTGAGAGAGTGCTGTGTGTCAGAGAGTGCTGTGTGAGAGAGTGCTGTGTGTGAGAGAGTGCTGTGTCAGAGAGTGCTGTGTGTCAGAGAGTGCTGTGTGGGAGAGTGCTGTGTGTGAGAGTGCTGTGAAAGAGTGCTATGTGTGTGAGTGCTGTGAGAGCGGCTGTCTCCCTCCCTCTCCCCCTGACCGCGGCCGCATTATACAGCATGTGGGCCGGTGAGGGAGATCTTTGATCTCCCTCACTGGCCCTTCATGGAAAACAGCGGGGCCGGCGCTCGGATAGCGCCGGCCCTGCATAGACCGGCAGGGGAGATCCTGGGACCTCCCCTGCCGGCCTCGGCCCATGGCCACCGCGGCCCACCGGGCATTTGCCCGGTGTGCCCGATGGCCAGTCCGGGCCTACACTGTATACATTTCTGTACTACTATCATATCCCCTATGGGACACCTATTTTCTAAAGAAAGCAAAAGCAAGTGTAGTCATTCTAGCCTACATATATATATATATATTTATATGCAGGGCTTCCATAAAGTGACTTTATATGGGTTCTTGACAGGACTGTCATGAGCAATGCAAAAGCACTTAATTCAGCCTAGATGTATGTGAAATAAACTCATTTTTTGTTATATGTCATTATTTTTGTAAGTATATGTGGCAATTTTATAGACCTTAAAAATCCAACTACATACTCCATTGTCCTTAAAACACTGTCTAATGTTCTGTATATTCATGGCTTACAACTTCAGTAGACTAGATGTTGCACTTACAAAAACTCTGCACACAATTTACAAACTGACTGTTATTTGTTATTGAAGAACACAATATGACTACTCACTGGAGATATGAGGTCTTCTTTAAGGCTAGTCATCTCAGGGTATTTATTTCCGTACAAATAGTTCACAAGGGGGTAAAGGGGTAATCCATGAAAATTGTGGCTCGCATGATGAATGGAGTGGTGACTCTGGATGATGCTGTGCAACACACTGGGGAAAATACATGACAGTTCTACAGCTTCAGATTGTGGCTCATTACATCTCATTGATGGAATGGTATCTAACTGCACAGACTTGCTCTTCTTATATTTGCAATTGCCATCCTTAATAGATCCTGTGTCAAAAGCTGTTGGAGTTGGCGATCTCCTGCATAATTTTGGCAATGATAAATCCAGAGGCTCAGTTTGTGGAACTTGTTGGTTTGTGTTACATGGAGAGAAAATATGTTTGCTGAGATTTGGCAATGTTTGCCAGCTACGATCACAAACACTTGAAAGTCCAGCTTGTTCTTCAATTTCGTGAACATTTGCAAAAGTTGGCAATAAAGATTGGTCTCTCCCAATGGCATTTTTGACCTTCAGATGCCTTTCTACTGAACTGTGTGAGTTTGTCAATAAACATTTTCTGGGTGAAACACCAGGACTCCAAACTGAACCATTTTGTAATGATTCCAATAAATTGTCCTTATGAAACTCTCTTTGGAACATTGTGGACAAAATAGTATTGTTCTTTATCATGGAGTCTTGTCTCTGATGCCCAAGAACCAATGCTTCTGGTGGATACATGGCATAGTGGATGTCACTGGTCATCACTCTAGGCCTCTGTAAACAGACAGGGAATGGTGTAGCAAACTGTTTTACATTATTTCCTGACCATCCATTATCATGTACTTGGATGTGTTGCAAATTACTGCACCAGGCACTGCCAAAATACCAAGGATCTGGAGCCTCATGCAAATTTGTATTCAATGTGCCCAATTTCATGTCAGTGGACAACCTATCAGTGGATCCATCAAGACAATTACTATCACCGTTGAGCCAAGCAATGTGTGGCTTTGTGAGGGATCCAGAAACAGGACTGTAAATTAGCCAGTTCCTAACACTTTGATCATGAAAGCCTGGTGGTGAGCTGTACTGATCATTTAGTCTTTCACCTTTTCTTTTCATATTATGTGAAGAGCGAGACAGCATTGGTGAAGAGTCCACAGGCGTTACATTGTCAATTGGAAAACACTTTCTGTTGTTAAGGTGGGAGCTATAGGATCCAGAATGAGAAAATCTTCTTTTGCATTTTGAACATTCATAAGGTTTCTCACCTATATATAAAAAAAGAAATGTGACTGGTGAATTCTATAAACTTAACCAATTCACCCCAACATAACCTCTCGCCTTCATTCATACAATTTTGCACTTACTGATGAGATTTTTATCTATTATGTTTTCCATTATACTCAGACTTTCTAATTGTACCGAATATATATATATATATATTAGTAAAATATGTTTGTATTGTGTTGATCTATGAGAAAGCAGCATTCAGTCCACAAATTCTGCTCCTTTGTACAATTCAGTGTTATGTCAAGAAAACCTCCAGTTTATTTTCACATTTAGGTACAGTAGACCACACCAAGGCTCAAGATGATAGTCTGTGTCTAGTCTACAATGTACATTGGGTTCTACCTACACCTTGGGCCATTGGGACCAGCCATCAAAACCAGCCTCAGCTACTTTGGAAAAATATGTTAGTTAAAATATTATAATTTAAAAGGGGGAAGGTAGGACTCATTAGGGTTACTCATTACTGAATGAAGTGAGGAGGACATGGAGCTAAGAGAGGTGTGAGAGGATTGTCCAGAGTAGGTTGGTCATAAGGATGGCTGGGAAGGTACATTTGAGATGAAAGATTTAAGTGCTACGATAAAGTTTTATTAACATTGTAATGAGCATACTCCCAATATCTGTGTCTAGAGCAGGAATATGCAACCTTTGGCACTCCAGATGTTGTGGACCACATCTCCACTGATGCTTTGCCAGCATTATGGCTGTAAGAGCATTATGGCAGATATAGTCCACAACATCTAGAGTGCTAAAAGTTGCCTACCCCCGGTCTAGAGAAACAGTCTGATTCCTGGAAGGGACTAAAAGTGACTAATCTTGTGAGGTATGTTTATGATTGGATGGCAAAGAAGGAATTGTTATCTGGATAGGGGGAGACCTGAAATGTATCTTAGTAGGGTGGACAGGAATGCATGGCTTTTGGTGAGGGAAGAATTGTGTATAAGGTATGTGATCAGACACAAACAGTGTTGAGGAGATAACATAATACAGAAGCAGGTAACAGTCTGGAGAAGGACCTGAAATACAGAAATATAAGTATACATTATACTGATCTAAAGCTAAGTTGTATTTTATCCATTATACCAACTTACATGTGGGTGCATTTGACATTTTTTATTTACCCCATGTTCCCACGAGAAATATTTCTAAATGTTCTTCCAACTATTTGCTTAATTTGGGGGTTAAGTGTAAAACAGTGACTGAGTGTTTATAGTCAGTGATATGGTTAAGGAGAACAGATGGGTTTCTAAAGTGTGTTGCTTACTGCAGTGAAACTTATAAAAATCCTTTTTCCTGTTACACATGTTGTGAAACTTGTAACTATGTTTTGATTGCTACTGTATCAGTAATCTATTTTGTATTTCCTTGTACCCCTGCATACCACCACCCTCCATGTTTCTCATAAGGGAAAAAAAATCTTGATTACTATTAAGAAAGGGCTGTGTTAGGTAACATGAAAACTCTGGAATTCAGTGCGCCAATTTGTCCACATGGTGTGCATTTTTTGATAAGTCTCCATTGTGAAAATGGTGATATGACAATCCTGGTATACAGTCCATTCTATATGATCATAATCTGAAAATAAATCATTCTCTGGTACCGTACAATCTAATAGATAAGTAATGCAATGCGTTGCTAAAAATATACAGTTTTTACTTACCACTATGTATTCGAATATGTTCTTTTAAGTGATGTTTAAATTTAAAAGCTTTCCCACATTCTGCACACTTAAATTTTCTGCTGTCTTTTTCTGTTGTTTTCTTGATCTAAAACAGAGTCACCAGTCAGTCTTAGGTGTTTGTATCAAGACTGCGAGCAGTAGAGGTATTCTCTGACAGCACACATAATGAAACATTGTAGGGTTTATTTACTAAAGCAGACGTTGGGAAGAATGGGCAAGGGAATTGCAAATTTTAGATCAAAATAATTGAAATTGCTGTCATACTTGGCCCCTTAAAAGTTAAACATTCTCTAACAATGTATCTGAAGTTAACCCTCATCTTCATACATGATAAAAGATAATACATTAAAAACCATGTAAGTAAATATTTGCAGATCTGACATGGATGTATATCAGAACTATATCAGAGAAAGGCATATCGTTTATTATGTTAAATGTACATTGCCATTTGATAAAGTGCCCACAGGCACATTGTAAACAATTTGTACTTGTCCTCTGCTGCTTCCAGTCTTCATATGGCATAATAAAGTATCTTGAGCATTCTAGTATTATGATTTAGGACTATTATTTCAGTGGTCTCAAAATCTGGAATATTTTTGTTTCTTTTATTGGTATCATCTGTATCTGTGTAACTCTAAATGTTGTTTTTTTTTAATTTTCTTCCTCACGTCACCCACTTCTGGGTCTCTCTCCATCTCCCCTACATTTTTGTTTCCTTTTGCAGTAATCCTCCTATATACGTTTGGGTCTCTCTACATTTCCTTAATTCATTTAGGGGTCCCACTTTCTCTCTATGAATCCCATGTCCCTCTCCCATCTCCATTATCTACCTCTCTCACTGTGGTTGTTAAATTGTTTGGAATTTATGAAGTGCTTAACCACTCAATCACGGGGGATGGTGGTGTTGAAAACATCTTATTGCAATTATGATATAGACCTTTAAATGTTAACCTATTACTATTTAAACCCGAACTGACAGACAACGCCTTGCCCTGTATTGGTTTCTGTTTTGATTATATTAGAGCTTTTATTAGTAAACTTGTATTCTGTTTAATTTTCTGGTATCTACTTTGGCTTGTCCTTGATTTTTCTTCTCTCTGTTATCCTTGACCTTGGCTCATTTATGATGACCTTTATGTGTTACTGTATAACCCTTGACTGTTGGCATGTTTACTGACTCTCTCTTTGCCTATTATTAGGTTACTGTACCTTTCCTGTGACAGTGTTAAAGGGACATTATAGTCACCAGAACAACTACAGCTTATTGTACTTGTTCTGGTGAGCATAATGAGTCCCTCCATGCTTTTTGCAGTGAACAGTTTTTTTTCAGGGAAAAGGCAGTGTTTGCATTACAGCCTTCTCAGATGGCTACTAGAGGTGCTCTCTGGGGCAGTGTTGCACAGTGTGGAGACACTGAATGTTCCTCATAGAGATGCATGCTGATTGGCCAGGACTATGTGTGGCTTGTGCTGGCTCTGTCCCTGATCTGCATCCTTGGAAAGCTCTGCTAATCTAATCTAATCTAATCTAATCTAATCTAAGGGAAAGCATATGTGCTGATGGGACCTGCTAGCATTTTTACTTATTTTGTTTTGATTAGGATGCATGAACATTACGAAGTGCTAAAGCCCCGGTTATGGGCAGTGTTATAATTGCACATAGAAACATAGAATGTGGCGGCAGATAAGCACCATTCAGCCCATCTAGTCTGCCCAATTTTCTAAAGTCCCTGGCCTTATCTTATAGCTAAGATAGCCTTATGCCTATCACACGCATGCTTAATCTCCTTCACTGTGTTAACCTCTACCTGTTAGGCAGCAGCCTAGGGTGCCCCCTGGGAAGGGGCGCCACCAGGAGCGCCGGTCTCCCTCATGCTGCAGCCGCCCAAGCGCTCTGTAGAGAGCCTCAGGTGGCTGCAGCTTTGCCCGGGCGGGTGCGTCCATGAGGGGGAGAAGAGAGGGAAAAAGGGGGAGAAGAGAGTAACAAGGGAGGGGGGAGAGATTGACATCCATCACACACACACACAATCATACACAATGCACCCCTTACACACAAAGACAATGCACCCCTTGCAGAAAAACACACAATGCATTACACACACAGACACACACACACACACACAAGCAATGCAACCCTTACACACAATGCATCCCTTACACACACAGAAACATACAATGCATTCTTTACACACACTCAATGCACCCCTTACACACACTCAATGCACCCCTTACAGACGCACACACTGCATCCCGTACATACACAGAAACACACCTTGCAGCCCTTACACATACAAACACAGATTCACACAATGCATTCCTTACACACATATCAGGACATCCCCTACTCACTCCACCCCCTGTGAACAAACTCATTAGTGGAACATGAAGGTGGACCCTGGGACCCAAACCTTGAGCTGTGTAAAGGGCCCCAAAAAATGGAGCTGCTTCTCGTTCTCCCAGAACATTGATTTTTGTGACCACAGTTACAAACCGCCTCCAGAGAGCCTGTTCTACACCAGACCAGTGGAGCCAGACTGCAGCTAGAGCCCATCATCATCCTCATCTGGTTGTAAGTAGGCAATCTAGTATATTATTCGTGTCACTAATCTCTAATTTACCTCACATTAAAGGGACACTATAGTCCCCAGAACCACTTCATCTTAATGTAGTGGTTCTGGTGTCTTTAGCCTGTCCCTGCAGGCCTTTTAATGTAAACACGGCGGCACTCCAGCACTGGCGTTAGTTAACATGGCAGATCATATGGGTGGGGCATTGTGATGTCACATGGGGGGGTGGGGGGCGGCAAACTTTACTTTTTCCTAGGGTGGCAAAAATCCTTGCACCGGCCCTGTCTCTACCACTTCAGTTGGAAGGCTATTCCATGCATCCACTACCCTCTCAGTAAAGTAATACTTCCAGATATTTTTTTTAAACCTTTGCCTCTAATTTAAGACTATGTCTTCTTGTTGTGATAGTTTTTCTTCTTTTAAATATAGTCTCCTCTTTTATTTTGGTTGATCCCATGATGCTGACTATCTGGTCCTGTCTGCACATCTGCTGGGTGCAGACCAAGAATAACTGTCTCCAGAACTTGTCAGAACATTGCCATGGCAAACTGTGCTAATGCTTTCATTGACTGCAACTGTAGAGAAAGCTACTCATGGTCTGCACCTGGCATATTGTGGGTATAGTGTGTGTATAAGAGTTATAGTGAGTGTGTATACAGGATACAGTGAGTGTTTATAGGGATTATAGCATGTGTAGTGTATGTGTACACTTTGTGTACAGGAATTATAGTGAGTGTGTGTCTTGAAGGGTATAGTGTGTATATAGTGGTGTATAGTATGTACAGTATGCTAAATTGTGCCCCCCTGGCACACTGGGAAAGCTGCCATGTCCTCTTCCAGTATATTACCACAAAAGAGAGGACAGACTCTTCCAGTGTCAGGGCCCTTGGTCCATTGCATAGTACCCAACTGGTCAGTCCACCTTTGATTTACACACTAGGAGAGGGCCATATGCAATTCTTCAGATTTTTAATATACTGTGAATACAATAGGAAACCATTGACTGGAAATGAAAAGTATGTGGGCGAATGAAAGATACTCTGACAGAGAGAAGCAAGTATCAAAGAAAAGACAAAAAATATTTTTCTGGGCGATGTGATTTAAACCAAGAGTGAGTGCAATCAGGGCAGTCCTTCCGCATGGACACAATGGGCACTTGCCCGGGGGTGCCACAAGCATTACGGGCCCCCAGTGTTGCCCATGTACCGGGCCGACAGAGGAGATCCTTTGATCTCCCCTGCCGGCCCATGGATAGGTGGCCATGCTTACTTGTTTTGGGCCGTCTCGGGACGGTGGGGAGTCAAAGATCTCCCTCACCGACCAAAGGCCCTTCATTAGAGAGAGGTAGGGCAGGAGGGAGAGAGGACCTGGGAGACAGTTCCTCCCGTGAGCATGCTTGTCTGAGCGTTGTCGCAGATAGCCTGCAGCCAGAGGAGCTGCAGGTTGTAGATCTATACTACTCACCACTGGACCACCAGGGTTGCCACTTATTGCTATGGCTGGTGTTCAAGACTGAAAATGTATTTGATAATTGCAAATGACATATAAAAATGTGCCAATACAATATCTTTATTGATTAACTAGGAAAAGTGCAACTTTCAAAATTAGATAGCTGTACCAAGGCAAAAGATGTAGTCTTCAAAGCTTGAACGGTATGTTTGTATAAATGAAACCGTATGCTTTAAAAATTAATGAATGTACAGAAAAACAATTATTTTTTTAAAGGTAATAAAGTCTGATATATGGAATACCTGCACATCCTCTTCATATGCGATGGAGCAAGAACAATATGAGTAAGATATCTCGCTCTTCACATCATGGGGGTTGCTATCGATTATTTGTTGTCTGTATTCCTTCCCACATAGTTCACATGATTTCCTATCTGTTACTTAAAAATAAAATGAGAATTGGTAATATGTGAGATCGTTCTTTCTATTACACAGTTTGTAAACACTAATCATATTTACCAAAAATGAAAGACGGCAACGGCATAACAAATAAAACCAGAAAATGTTGTATGATGTTTTATCACTAGTATCCATTATATAGAGAAAGTTAAACTAGCTATTTAGTCTGCTGGTAGACAGAATATATAATAGAGACTCACTATCAACACCATGTTCATTGCTTCCACACTGATTTTGATGTTTTGTCTTGAATGTCAGCTTTTCAATTTCCTTTCCATGCGCATCTGGATTGATTGAGAGGTCCATGTCCATTGTGTGCTGCTCATTGTCAATATCTGATACAGAAACAGTATGGATAAACTTAATACAACTATTTTATATTATCCTGAACATTTTTAAATTTTTTATTATTACTTATTACATGCATTAATAGTAACGCAAGTAGAGTAAATGTATTTGTTTCAGTATTTAAAGAAATAATTATCAGCTTCCGATAAGCCTTTAACAACGTCTATTTAATAGATCTGAACCAATAAATGGCCTATAAACTCCAGATTAAGACAATCAGCTCTTATTTAATTGAGGCCTCAGTTTGGTAAAGTCATGCCTCCCAACTGTCCTGCTTTTGGTGGGACAGTCACGATTTTGGTGTTCTGTCCCACTGTTCTGCTTTATTAGGGTATTTCAATGGGCACTATGACCAATCAGAGGGCTCTCTGCATGGTCCTCTATGCAGGGGGCTTTCCATGAGACTGTCTATGAGACAGGCTTGCTTGACTCCAGGCTCGCACTCCCTTTTAGTAGGTGGGTCAGCCTACTTTCCAGGCAGGCCAACCCATTTAGGGACATCACCAGTAATGTAAGTCCATATTCCAGCCAAGGCAAAGCTGAGGGGTATGTAAAGTGGCAAATCCACTTTAAAATTGGAATATGAACTGTAGTCCAGTGCTTAGGCTAGTATCCCAACCAAGGTACATAGGCACAGTATTTTGCATGAATTATGTAGTTGGATACAAAGCTGCTTGAATATTGGCTGGATTTAAATTCGGTACAAAAATCATCCAATAATTATAGATATAATTAAATTGAGACCATAGTCGTCTTTGAGAAGCATAACTCACAACAACCGACACATGAATAAGTATCAGCAGTTCAAATTTATACATAGTTTTTTGATCTAGTCAGTCTCCAAAAGGTTTGCTTAATATATAGTGTATTTTGAAGTGAAATAACATGGAATGTATGACCATATCACATGTTGTAGTGATCCAGACTATCTGCTACTAAAATAAAAAGTTACAATCTCAATTTATTTCCATTAGATTCTCATACTCGTAATAATCATTTTTAGCATACAGAATTTGATTGCTGTGCATGGAAAATACATTATCTCAGTCATGTCAGATGAAATGCCAGTACTGTAATAACGATTGATGGGATTTACCCAACACCTTGATAAAAAAGCAAAACATTCATGCAAATGAACAGTTGCTTTGGGTGTTCATAAAGATGCCCATGTGCATGTAAGTTTGCATGATACAAGGCTAGAACTGGCCATCAGCAAACATTTGGTGGGCTGTAATGTCCACGGGCACAGTGCCCGCAGGAAAGGGGAGGGCCTGGGGGCTCTAGTTTGCACCTTTGCCAGGTGCAGACAGAGTATTTCTCTTGTGAGTTCCAGACGCTCAGTTACCACAATGTCGGAGCTCGTAAGAACAATGTACTCACGTAAACAAAAATGGACCACTGGGTTTTTCATCACAATAACGTAATATAAAAATATAAATGTATTCTAACACTGTTATATCAAATCCTAAAGCAGTATTCTATTTGTAAATATATATATATATATATATATATATATATATATATATATAAACATTAATTAAACATTTTAGAAGATTCATGTTCATGATGACAGCGATTTTGGAATTCAGAATAATCATCAAATGAAAGCTAACATTTTTGTACAGAAAATATATTTTATTTTTGTTTTATTATATGCCCCTTACAGTGTGATGATTAAAAGAAACACAGCAACTGGTTAGCCCCACTGAATATGACCAGGGCCTCCACAGTTCACACAGAGAATCGGAAATATTTGTAGAACTGTCCTAATTCTTGATGGTATTTTGCTGCTTATCATTCTAGGAAGCATTATTAAGGACGTTTATTTAAATGAATTCATGTAGAATCTCATGACCTGTGTCACTACTTGGGAAACAACTATGAGACTAACCAGTTTCACCATTTCTTTTTGTCATTGCTTTAGAACTACTGTATGTTGCCTATGCACATGCTTCCAAGTGAAGAATTAGCCCATATGAATGAATCCATTACATTAATTTTGAGCTATAATCCCTAAAAGACACGTGCCCTCATATCTAGTAGGTCCTTTACTCAGGAAGTTAGCACTAAATTATAGCTGTGCATATGAACCAGGAACAGCCTAGCTGTTAGCAGTTTCGCAAAAAATTAAGATGCACCATCTTTGCAACTTTGCTAAAATATATCTTCTAGCTAGCAATAAGTAGATGAGAAAATGTATGTGACCACATAGCTGTTTACTAGAAGCAATTCTCAGAATCACAGTAATTAAAGTCTTGTATGAAGAGTTAACCAGAAGTGGCACGTACCAAACATGACAGTTCATGTGGCATTAACCAGAAAAGGTAAAGTTTGTATATCACTAGTTTTTGTTATTTTCAATATTACAGACATTTAAGGTCCTCCTTTGAGCAGGGTCCTCAGCTACCTGTTGTTCATGTTACATTTTGTTATTGTCTCATTTGGTAAATTCTCCTCTCATTGTAAAGTGCTGTGGAATAAGCTGGCGCTATATAAATACCAATAATAATTATAAAATAATAATACAGTAGGTATTAATATAATGGCATTGGTTTAAATACTGGTTCTTGCTTACAAAGCTATTTGCAACTGTTCTTAAAACTACACATCATCTCTAATAATTAACTAGACATTTATTCTACCTGTGACTTTCATCCTTTGTTCCAAATTCCCCTCTTGCAGAACTTTTCTAGAACTGCTTCATGCTTATGGAATGTTCTCCTCTGCCTTATGACATCTACACTGTTTTCAGGACTTTAAAAAGTCCCTATAAACCCCACTTTTTCAGGAAAAGTATATAAATGTACTAGTCATTGTCTCTCCCAGTAGTCTACCCGATTCCTACTTTACACAACTTACCCCTGACCCTGCTGGCTGTCTACTGCACATTTTTATTCCACAGTTTCTTCATATGTATGTCTGTCTCGATAATCAAGAGGAATTTAAACACTTGCTTGTACAGTCCCTATTTATCACATATTGCTGAGTAAAAACTGATATGTTGAGCCAATGTTCTATATATATAATTCAAATTCAGTTGTTTAATGTTTTATTTATAAAATGTTGGAAAAATATAATATAAACATTCAAAACAGCTATCTCAGTTATATATTGATATTCATGGATTTTTCAAAATATATACTATACAGTGCTTATTATTTGTATTAAATACTCCTTAATCCCAGCTTTTGTAGAAATTGGGATTAAGGAGTATTAGATTTAGTGGGGTACTCTAAATGTTAATTTCGATGAGTGCAGAAAGATGATCAAAGCAGGATAAAGTGCAATAAATGTTTTATATATAAAATATTTTACCTGGATGGATACATTGAGATTTTCTCTCGTTTTCAAGTATATCCTGGGTAATAATGTACTGTTTGTCCAAACAAAAATAAAATTACAAATGATCAAATGCCTAGCTGCTAGTTATTTGTAAAGTGCAACGTCACAAATTTCCATTAAACTGTAAAAAATTATGATGGTAGCTCTGTAATATTATGGAGAAGAAACACAAATGCTAGAGATGGGGTTTCCAAAATGAAGCTCTCCAGGTGTTGCAGAACATCATCTACCATAATGCTCTCAAAGCCTTAATGTTGCCAGAGCATCTTAGGAGGTATAGTTCTGTAACAGCTGGGATCTATCTTTTGGTAGAGTCTTTCGTTAATACCAGACTAGGGTAGTGGACCCTAGAGCAAGATTCGGAAAATAATGTGACCACTAATTCCATGTTAAAGTTCATAATAAAGGATGGTCTGTTATGAAAGGATATAAATGAGGAGTTGACAGGAAATGAAACCACAAACCTAAATACATCTCAGGTGCCACATAACCACATAAATATAATATAGTATATTAGTGTACGGTTCAAAGAAGAGGTGTCAAAATGAAAAGCAAACAATTTATTATGTTCTTAGAAGAACACACAGGAATTAAAGATAATCATGGGATCCAAATTCATTGTTAATAAATTAATAAATAAAGCCCAACAGGTTCTCTTTAAAATTAGATTAAAAATGAGATAGAAAAATCAAGACAATAAAGCCCATTTGTAATAATTCTCTAACTAAGCTATTTTTCACCTTAACAATTTCTGGCCTGAAATTTGCAATTGCATTTATGGTTTTTCAAAATACTCAGTTTCATTTCCAAAGAAATTAAATGAATTGAAAAAAATAAAATAAAATACAATTCTAAAGTGATTCAGATGAGGGAGAGAGAGACGGAAAACATATTTTTACAAAAGTGCACGTACTTAGTCCTGATGGTGATGCCAGTAATAGTTATTTTATTTTTTTATCTGTCATGCATTTCATGGACCTTACCTGCTCCAGCATTTTACATTTTAAGCAACTTACGTTCCCTATATGTTATGCCATAAATGTGCCTTGGTGACTAACTGTGACACCTGTTATGTGTTCAAGAAATCAATACAGCTGGTGTTTGTAGGTTATCACATTCTGGCACATGGTTTTAGGGCAAGTTTTCCACCCCAACAAGCTTTGCATTTATAGTATTTGTAACTGATATAATTCACTCGGGACTGGACTTACCATTAGGTACCTACCTACCAGAGCCTGACCACTAGAGGGTGCCGGTTCTCAGCATTCTTCATGTGTCTTTTTCAGCTTTAATAGGATGGTGGGGAGATACAAACCTGAAGTCTTGGCCAGTTCCCTCTGTAGCCCAGTCAGCCTTAATAGCAGAGCTGCAGGAATAGTTATAGAGCGTGTGAAACTCAGTGCTGTCCCAGTTCTTCCACTGTAAGCTCGTTTGAGCAGGGCCCTCATCTACCTTTTGTTTCTGTGCCACTGTTTAATTGTCTCATTTATTGTAAATTTACCTTCTTTCCATAATATTGTAAAGCACCGCAGAATTAGTTGGTGCTATATAGATACAGAAAAAGATACTATTTTTCATAATCAGCCAAAAGGGAACAATTTCAGCGCATTCTGATGAACTGCCCTAGAGCATTAGCCATCTATGTAGGATGATGTCCACTACCTGCATGCAGGAAGTCATTCACATCAACCTTCTTTTGATAGGTTTTGGTGTAGATGCCTCCCTCATGCCTTCTCAGAGTAAGATCTAAAAAATCTCAGATTTATGTTTATTGTGCGTGAACAATAGGCCCCACTCGTTATGGTTGAGGAAGGAAATTAAATCCTCATTTACCTCCCACTCCCCCTTCCGATGTGATCTATAAATTCTCGATAGAGGGCGAGTTGCCCCATCCAATACAATTTGTCTAAAATCATCATCTACTGCCAAAAGCACATGAACAAATTCGCATAGGATGGAGCGAAACTTGCCTCCATCGCAGTCCCTTTAGTTTGCAGGTATTGTTAAACTGATACGATACTACTAATAATAATAATAATAATATTTTTGAGGCTAGAGAGAAAGAGGAAGGGATCACTCTGCCCACAAGTGACCTCTTACATAGGAAATGCCTTGCAGGAGGAGCAAGGGAAGCTATTATTCATACACACTGTATAACGTTTCCTGTAGCACTAATATCATCAATGTAACTGGCCTACAGGAGACAAAGGAGGGTGAATACTTTGCAAATAACCCTTCAAACTCGAGCACTCACAGTCTAAACCTGAAACCTTTACCTTAATCTTAGTTAGTTCAACCAAACGAGCAAACCTCATTAAGTACAGTCTGGTGTGTTGTTAAAATTCCTAATTCTGAAGAAAAATCTGCAAAATCGATTCAGATGCTTTCTGCTGTTAAATGTATTTAAATCTAGGATATTTATCCACTGCCCATATGAGACTGGAGAGATCCAGTGACAGATGAGCTAGTTTTTGTGCTATAGCTGTTTTAGAACTGTTTTAGCTGATGCCGAACGGAAAGATACTCAGTTCACAGGCTGCCTGAGGTGGATCACAACTACTACAGGAACACAGCGGTGATAGGAGGATAGCACAGCCATATTTAAACCACTTGAGCCCTAGTGAAATCCAAAGCAACTGCCATGTTATTAGTGACATTTTGGTAAATTATTGAGGCAGGCCTCTAAACAACATAGTACGCAACTTATTTTTCAGCAATGTGTAATTTCATACATAATACAGTAATTAACATTTTGGACCTTCTTTATGGTGTGCTACGAGTTATATATTTTGAATTCTTAAGATTAACAATTTCTCTGAAACGGCAGTGTTTACATTAAAAGGCCTGCAGGAACATGCTACAGACACCGGGGCAAGTACATTAAGCTGTAGTTTTTCTGGTGACTATAGTGTCCCTTTAATATTGTTTTACAGACATAACAAACACATCGTTGTAATGTATAGGGAATAAGTTAACATAATACTGAAAATAGTAGGAAGTGACCTCTGAAGAACTACTGAACATATTATTTAGACTTTAATAACAGCTACCCTTGTCATTCATTTCTTAATACATGCTTTTAGGAGTACATATTCCAAATAATGAGCCTCCTGAGCCATCCGTTGCTGGGAAATTGTGGAGTCCGTTCTAAGCAATTGTTGCCTGTTAATATGTCAAGATAATTTAACTACGGGTATTTTTTCTGTGAGAACTGAAATCTTCTCAAAACTTAACTAATTCCCAAAGGACATTGTGGTAACATCAAGTCAGAGCTGTATAAAGTGCATGTGTAAGACAGTAAGAATCATCGGTTTCACAGAGGCTTCCTGGTATTTTGGTAATGCTCTAATGAAATTTGCTGTGGTATATAATCCTGGTAACCTTCTACTATGTGAATATATAAACTGTTGTTTTGATGTAATTTAATTATCTCAATTTACAATGGTCGATTCTTTTACATGCTAATTGATTGTCTGGCAGACACGGCCGGTGAAATATAAACACAAAGGGTATATTTTAGAAACTCTTCCTTTAGTATAATATATAATGTAAAAAAATAACTTGTCTGTAGTCACTAGTGTTTGCAGTAAATTAAATCATGTTTTATTCTTCCTAATGTAAGGCAAAGATGTTTGTGCAGTTTAATAAACAACGTGTAGAAAGATTTTTGCCATGGTAACCTTTTGTTTTGTAGCCCATAGCATCTTTGACTTTGTTTGGATCTATTGATTAAACTAAGAATTATCTTCATAAACTCTCAGTTGCAAAATTGTTTTTGTAAATTAAGTAAAGAGTCATAATTGAAAAATAGAATTCATAGTTAATGACTACTCCACACTTATAAGGCACTTGCTGAAATGCTCTATGGTTGAGGTGTTTTTCATTTCATTTTTGAGGACATCAAGCCTTGTTTAAAACACTTTACGTGTTCTAAGAACACGGAAGTCCCTCTAGTGGCTGTCTGATAGACAGCCACTAGAGGAGGACTTAACACAGCAAGGTAATTATTGCAGTTTATAAAAACTTATATGGTGCAGGGTTAAGGGGGGTGGGAGTTGGAACGCAAACCACTCAACTGGGCAGAAGTGATCTGGGTGCCTGGAGTGTCCCTTTAAGTGCACCTGCCTCCCCCTATCTCCTTCACAGACTTCAGATTAGAATGCTGGGCAGTGCTCATTCATGAGCCGACGGCCGATGTATACATGCAATCATCAGCGTGCTTAGAAGGAGAGCTTCTGAAGCTTCTCAATGAGAAGCCTCTGATGGGGTATTTACCCAGGAAAATACCATTATTCTCTTCAAGAGAAAACAAGGAGGGCTTGAAAAGGCTGTAGTTGATAAGATCTGCAGCTTTACAAGCTCC